GTATTGTTTTGGAACAAACAAAAATGGTAAACAAAATTATTACATTGGGACGTATGGAGTATTATTTATTAATAATAATTAATGATTGTATTAGTAAAAATAATTATTATATAATAAAAATAATTGAAGATTAAGATCTAAGATAACTAAATAGTTTAATTAAAATTAAAAAAATTTTAAATTTTAAATTTTATAATAAGATTAAATTGTATAATTATATTTCTAAAAAAATAATGAACAAATTATGTAGAATTGAAGAAAATAGAAAATAAAAATAAATTACGTGGACAGAGAGAGTAATTGACTGCAGATATATATTCTTGTCCCTTTCAAATTAAACATGATTCATAAAATTAATCAATGGTCTATTTGTTTTGTAAAATAATTTAAAATATGTATCAATTGTCATGGGACAAAATAAATATTATATTAAATACTTTTTTTTTTTTACTTTCAAATTTCTAAAAATTCAAATATTTTTGTTTAAACGGAACCTAAATGTTGGATCGTTAATTCTGGGTGGGCAGATTTTGTCTAGCCAAAAACACTAAAAATAATACTCCCTCCGTCCAGCTAGAAAGTATACATGTTTATATTTTGGGACGTCCAATTACAAAGTAAACATTTCATTAAATACCTTACTTTTTTCCACAAATACCCCTAATTTACATCACATCATTACTTTTACATCAAAAAGCAAGGGCAAAATTGTCATTACACTACTTTTAACTACCCACTATAATTAAAATACTATTATTTCTTAAACACCGCGCCAAAAGTAATTGTATACATTTTTTTTAGACGGATGGAGTAATTAATAAATTATTAGTAATAGTGAAAGACTTTTATATCTTTGTACATTTCATTATAAATTTTTAATTATACTAACATAAATAATTGGAGAATCATTCATTTATTTTATCAATAATAATTAGTTATAATTACGAGATATAATTATTAATATGGAAGTATATTAATTGTATAATTTATTAATATTATATTATATACATATATAGTTTATTAATATCTATATGTTTATCATTTAATATTATTTCTTTTGTCTATATTAATACATAATTAATAATTATTCTGTTATGGACAGAATCTACCGGTTTCGCAGCGCCATGCATATTGGATATATGCAACCTACAAGGGTTGATTTGGATGAAAATATTTAAATGGTGGGTGAGACAAAGTAATTAGTATAGTGGTGGATTCATTTCTCATAAATATTTTGCATTGGCACGAGTTCAATCAACGCTGCTACTGCTGCAGGCCTCACTAATATTCAACCACAAATAAGATACAATATTAACTTTTGATAGAAAAATATATATATTTTTTTTATTTGGGTGATGTGAGGAGATAAAACGTGGGGTAGAGATTAAGTATAATTATTTGTTTTTTATTTCGAAAATATTGTAAGATATTTGAGATATATCAAAAAAAAGAAATATTGCAAGAGTTTGGAACAGAAGGAGTGTATTTGTCTAAAATTTTATATTTACAAAAAAATTAGACAAGTAAAGTAAAAGGAAGGAAGTGTATATAATTACGGCACTGTACATTCTTTTAATAAACCAAATTAGAAAGTAATGATGATGAAGCGTAGGTGCATGGCTCGACACAATTAATAGTGCCATCACCCTGCACCATTATTATTATTATTATTATTATTTATTTTTTTTAAGTATGCAATGGAATTAGAAATAATAATATTAATAATAATAATAATAATAATAATAATAATAATAATAATATTGATATAGGGATGAAGGATATGATTTTGTTAGATGATGATGATGATGATGATGATGATAGGCATGAGTGGAATGATTGCAATGATCCCAAAAAGCGTGACACTTACTGACCACTCTGCCCTCTCTACTTTTACATTAAATCCATTTATTTTTTTTTTAATCACCTTTAGGACCTTCTTCCGAAAAGCCAACCAGCCCACGCCTTTGTGTTGTGGGGACCACCCACCACCCACATATTATTACCATTATTATATTTTAATTTTATTTGACCCAATTTCTGTTATACACACTTTATTTTATATATATAATACTTTAGCAGCCCTAAATTTAGGTAGTCTTTGTTTGTAGTGTAAACCTGATTTGTTATTAGTATTTTTTCTACTGGACATTATCTTATCTCATTTTTTAAAAATGAAATTTAAAAAGGGTTCAAAAACATCCAGCCACACACACACACACACATATATATATATATTAGTAATGGGTGATGATATACATATACATAGTTGCTGTCTGATGTCTGACTTTTCTTCAGTTGATGAAAATTCTTTTTCCTTTTTGTTTTCTTGTATTTTAAAAAATAAAAATAAAAATACAAACAAAAACGACAAGTAGTGTCTCGTCTCGTCTCGTGCGCGTTGTTGTAATAATTAAATCAAATATTCATTCATGTCATGTCATGTGGTCACAACACACACCAGAAAGGTTTCTGTTGCTCCAAATTCGCTTTCTTTATAAAAAGTGTTTTTAAAGCTGACATGTGGTCATTTTTATTTATTTGTTTTGTTACTAATCCTATAATATATTGGTTTTTTTTATTAGTATAGATACTGTTGCCAAAAGAATATACGTAATAATAATATCACTAGAAAATAAACAGTGGTCTGATTTGATCAAATGTAAAAAGAATTGTCGGTAAAGAATAAATAATCAATCGATTGTGGTTAATAATAAATTTTATTTGTTTATATTTTCGCCTGTCTTGGAATTGTAAAAAAAAAAAAAAAAAAGAAGAGGTGATGAGTTGAGTTGTCTGCTTAATTAAGACATACGGTTGGAAGAATTAGGGTCAAATTTGGAGTTAACCCGACCAAACTTCCCACTCTCTTCACAAGTCCGTGCTTTTTTTTTCTTTTTAATTATATTATCCTCGTTTGAGTAATAATAAATAAAAAAAGAAGATTATTCTATTTTATTATTATTAATACAATACGTACAGGTGGCTTGGCTTAGCCACGAGCACATACAAAATAATATTGTTTTATACGTATAGTTGTGACAGATTTATATCTATTTTTTTTGTGGATGGCTTTTAATAAAATTGAAGGTAAAAATTAATGGTTAGGACGGCTGCCACCAACAAATGTTTCCACGCGATCCATTTCAATTACTGCCATTTAACATTTTGGTCAACATGAAATGCCCCCAAATAATAATAATAATAATAATAATAATAATAATAATAATAATAATAATAATAATAAAATGATTTGGAATTATGCAATGAAATGTTGAGACAGGACAAAAGAAAGAGGAGTGTGGTGTGAAATAGATTTATTGGATGATGATCAATAATTAATAAGATTCTGTTACCTATATATTTCAGAATTTTTATGTAATTTCTCTTTAAGATATATCATATTCTAAGTTTCATTTTATCTTCAAAATATAAAATTCAACAAACAATAATACAACATAAAAGAATCAACCGGTTTTCTATTCAAAATTTTATTACTCTTTAACTTTAAAATTCTTTTTAAAAATATAGTATATCGAAACAATTTAAGCAGTTAAGCCTTGTCTTGTGGTGGCTAATTTTCATATTTGGGCGAATCAATTATCTTTTCTTCAATATTCTCATATCTCCTCTTTCTAACATGCATCAAATGTGAATTAATTATTAAAGTATAAATATTAAACATGTATAAAGTTTGTCCACCCAATCTATTGTTCCGTAGCACGATTTTCTATAAAATATCACAAAAAGATAAATATATATACATATACTATTAGGGTCTTATAATACTAATATAAAATATTTGTACAAAATTTTTTTACAAATATAAATATATTTTTAATGTTAAGTACATTAGTTAATGCAAAACTTAAATGTGACTTTTAGAGGCGGATAGATAGAGGGAATATTATTTTTTATACTATCAACACAAATTTTCATACTAAATATAAAAAAGGCATTAATAAAAAACACAAAGTGAAAGCCCATCAAGTTTTACAATTTTCCTTTTAAAATGATGTTTGGATTTTTTATTTTTCGTTTTTAATGAGGCTGATGATTTTATTGAAAGTAAAAAAATAGTATATATATATATATTCAAGAGATGTCGAATCTAAATAATAAAAAATTACATCCAAACCTAAATAATCACGGTTTATATGAGAAATTAATTGGTAAATGGAATGGAATGGAATTACCAATAATAATAACAACGAGAGCCGCCTAGCTAATTGAATTCTAGAGCTGCCGCCAAACCTATAAATTATGGGTCCATATATATATATATATATATAGCTTTTTGAGATGTTAAAATTTTCAAATATAATATTAATAAATAATGCTAAAATATATATATAATACGGAATAACTTCAAATTTTTTAAGAAATATATATAGTTGTTGTACTACTTACATTATAAATAAAAAGTTCATAAATTTAATTAATTAATAAATTAACAAATAATTCGTTTAATTTGAAACTTAATAATGATATGGAAATGTAAAATAAAATAAATCAAAGTTGGATCAATAATTATATATACATGTATGTATGTATTTGTGTGTGGGGGTGAGCAGTAGAGCTAGAGCTAGAGCATAGCTCAGCAGTGCATTATTGAAGTGGAGATATGATTAGTGGTCTCCTTTATTGACAAAAGCATGGATTATTGTAATAATATCCCAAGAAAACAGATACTAATAAATAATAATAATAATAATAAATATAGATGATTGCACGAAATCAATCACCTGTGTCTCCATGTCCATCTGTATGTATATATAGTGTATGCATGTATGTATGTATATATATATTTATTGGAATCACGTGCGTTGTTTGTCAACCCTGAATTCCATCCCCTATTAACTAAATTTAATTCTACACCACTCGGGTCTTATTTATTTTTAAAAGTATTTCATATTATAATTCTTTTATTTTATTTTTTAAAAAGTAATTTTTTCAATGCAACGCTGTGCTATATATAATTTGGTCCCTTCCCTTCATTTGTTTTTAAATTGCGATTCTTCCTCTCATCTCCTCAGGTTCACCTTCAACAATCTCTCTCTCTCTCTCTCTCTCTCTCTCTCTCTACTGGTTTTTTGGTTTTGGGTTGCGATTTTCTGCAAACGGATAATTAATTCCTTCCTTCATTCTATGGAGTTAGCTTTGAGCCTGGGTGATACCCCAAAACCTTTTCCCTTTCTCGAAAAATCTCCGACCATGATTTTAGGGAAAGATTTAGGGTTTTGCATGGCAGCCGCCGCCGCCGGTGATGTTGGTGACGATAACAATGGCGCCGGGATCGCCGCCACTAGCAGTAAGGACGCCGACGCCCGAGGAAAAGCTTCTTCCTCAACTCCGCCGCTCCAGCTTGAGCTTCTCCCTTTCTCTCCGGTTCACAAAACGAACCAACAGTCGTCTTGCCCTTCTCTCAACAAGATTCCTTTCCCATGGCTCCATCACAACTGTAATCATCATATCTCCTTATTTTTTGGGGATTTTCATTTTTAATTTCAATTTCAATTTCATGAGCTGATTAAAGTAGGTTTCCTGATTTCGTTTGCAGCAGATTCAGGGCTAGGGTTTGAGCTCAACCGGAGAAGTGATAATAACGACGGCGGTGATGATCAGGCGGCGGCAACGGCGATGAATTCATCGTCTCCAAACAGCGCAGTTTCTCCCCCTCCCCCATTTCTGGTGGACTTTTCCATGTTCAGATCAGGGAAAAGAGATTCGGAGCAGATGGAGGGCAGCGAGGCAGACAGAGGGACATCTTCAAGGGGCAGCGACGACGAAGAGAATGGAAACTCCAGAAAGAAACTCCGGCTAAGCAAAGACCAGTCCGCCTTTCTTGAAGAGAGCTTCAAAGAACACAACACCCTTAATCCTGTTAGTAATCCTGCCTTTCTTATTTCTTCTTCATCCATCCATTTTCGTAATCTACACTACACTCGCTGATCCGCCATTACTTTTCATCTTCTTAATGTTAATTGCAGAAGCAGAAGCTTGCTCTTGCTAAGCAGTTGAATCTTCGTCCTCGCCAAGTTGAAGTGTGGTTCCAAAACAGAAGAGCGAGGTAGGTACAGTTTTCAAGACATACATATGGACGACATTAATTTTTTTCTTTCTTTCCCGGATTGATTTTGAATTCTCCTTCATTCATTATTATTATTCCTGTATTCAATAACCAAAAGCAAGAAAGCTCTGCGCTAGCTGTAATAAGCATTAAGCAGCCTCCCTTGATTGTCGTGCAAGATTAATTTCAATTGGGGTGAGCATTAATTATTTGTATTGCAATGGCAATGGCAATGGCAGGACGAAATTGAAGCAGACAGAGGTAGACTGTGAGTATTTAAAGAGGTGCTGCGAGACGTTGACAGAAGAGAACCGGAGATTGCAGAAGGAGCTCCAGGAGTTGAGGGCCCTCAAGGCTTCTCAGCCCTTTTATATGCAGCTTCCGGCCACCACCCTCACCATGTGCCCTTCCTGCGAGAGGGTTGCCACCACCGCCACCGCCGCCGGAAACATTAACAATAAGTCTTCTAATCCTAAACCCCTTTCGCTCTCTGCAAATAATAACAATAAGAATGAATGAATGAATGATGATTAATTAATTGATTTTAATTAGCTACCTAGGTGTCTTTGCTCCAATTTTTTTTGGGATCATTGTATGTATACACAAGCACAGATGGGATGGGATTGGATCCTAATGAACTATCTCATCTAGCTGATGATAAATTAATTGTTACTTGATTTGTAATTGTAATTGTAATGGGGTGGGCTATTGCATATTCATATTATCTTGTTGAGAAGGGATGGATGCTTCTTGGAAAAGCATTCATCCAACAATCATACTTAGTTTGACAATATTGTAGTGTTTGAGCAGTTAAACAAAAGTATACATGTTTATTTTTCTTGTTCTTGTTCTTGAGAATTGAATTTCTCGACCCAATCAAATCAATGATTAGTATTTCTTTTGTGTAATGTAAATGACAGTCAATTTAATACAGCAATTGTGGCGGAGGAGACTTTTAGTTGGTTAGTGAAATCATAAATTGAAGCTAATCATTGTTTTGTTGCCCAAACAATGATGATATTCTAGAAATCGCCAAATAATCATCATAATGGGAAATTAATTAGTAAAAATTTCATGTGCAGTTGAGATGATCAATGCCCTCAAAATTCAATTCTTTCTATATGTATGTATAAACGTGAAAGTTGTAGTATTATTTTGACTGGACATTATATGATTTCATTGACAGACGAGACCATTGCGAATACAGTATTGAATTAATTATATTAATAACACATTTTTGCATATGTGTTGGGCCTGAATTGGTAGGCTGTGTGTGACACATGCCGGAATGAATGATCGTACGAGAAATTTGACTCAAAGTTTGAATTAGTAGATGACACATTTGTGCCTAGTTTAATTTTCTTCTATCATACCCAATTAAATTATGTTTATCAGTGTATCTTATTGGGAAGGTGACATTGCGTGTGTGTGTGTGTATATATATGTATGTAGATAATATTAAGTATGAGTGGTAGATAATAAGATAATTTTGAAAAAAGATTTGATAGGAAATGTATGAGAAAAGTATAACACGAGCAGCTAATAAATCGTTGGTTTATATATAAATAAATAGATACTATTTGGCGGCTGGAGGCTGAATTAATTAGCATATGTATATAGTTCCAAACTGAAAATAAAATATAATTGCAACATGAGACATATATAAATATTCTATCTTTATTTCAGCATCTGTGCACTGACGGAACCAATTTTTCTAATAATAAAAAGATACATCATCTTCCATTGATTTTCAGAAGCTTTCATATTTCAAAATTTATTAATTCCAATCACTTTCAATCTTACAAAATCGAGGACCATCTACTTATAAAAATATACTATTATCATATCCTTGAAGGCTTCATTTTCAATTCATCCTAAATATCCAATAAATTAAGATATTACAGAGTTAAACTTTATTAATAATAATATGAATATGAAGCACTGCTGCACTCTGCAACGTAACTTCCGCACCCCCACCCCAACCCCAACCCCACATATATATATATACACACACACACATATGTGGGGATTGTTCATGTGGAGCATGTTAAAGGTGTGCACTCTAAAATTTAATACGCTTTAATTGTGAATGTAATTTTATGTTTTAAAAATCAATGATAATACGTATTGTATTCTTGTATTCTTGTATTGCTTTTTGTATGTGTTTGGTGTGCTGTCATGTCACCGCCAAATTGAAACTATCAACTTTGTTTAGAATCATCAAATCATCATCATTGAATCCTATGATGCTGATATACCTGTCCGAGTGATCTGAGCAGGAGCTAGCTGCGCGTAGAGGATCTCATTCCAGGCGTCCGGCAGACACCAATGGCTGCAGTCCTCCGGCTCACCGATCGACTTCCGATTCCGGTAGCCGGAGGGATGCCCGTCCTTGCGTTACTCCGTCATCCCCGTCAGGTACCCCACGGGGGTCTTCATCCTCCGCAGCACGCCCTCCGCCACCCCCATCATCGCCGGGTACCGCGCCAGATCCTCTTTCTTCTTCACCGGCTCCGTCTCCCCCGCCGCCGAGTACCCGCCGAAGAAGACGGCCGTCGAGCAAGTGTTCACGTTGGCGTCCACCCATCTCCCCCACGTCGTCAGACCCCTCCGGAAGGCCTCCAGAACATTGAGGTGGCGGTGCACGTGGCCCCCCTCCCCTCCTGGTACTAATCCTTCCCCGCCGACGTCTTGTCGTGGGTCCACCAGTTGCCTGTGTTGAACATGTTCCCGACCGCGTCTTTGCATCTCTCTGCGTCTCTTCGCATCGTGTCCAGCCGGAGCGTTTCCTTCTTCTCCCGGAATATTCCCATTCCTGAACCAGGAATGGCGCCACGAAGAACTCCACCGTGCTGTTATACTCCTAAACCAATTAAATTCAATTCAATTCATTAATTCAAGACATATATATATACATACATACATACATACATACCTGAAAGACAAATGAGAAAGAAGCTGCAGTAGCAGCAGCTTGGGATCGGAAGTTTCGGCGGCCGGATTGCTCGAAAGCTTTGTTGGGATCTTGGAGGGAGTTCTTGAGGATGCAAACGAGGGATTCCCACATGTTTCGATTCAGGGAATCGCTGACAAAGACGAGCCTCTTCCCTCTCAATAGCTCCAGCATTCGCTTGCCATCCATCCTGGAATTGATTAATTAATGAGATGGATGATGATGATGATATCTAATATGAATGAAGGAATGAACCTGGGGAGGGTGCAGGCAGAGGCAATGGGCTTCCATCTGAGTTTGTAGTAAGCATGATCAGAAGCAATTGAACTGGTCATCGATGAGGGTGTAAGAACCTGCAGGCTTGTAGAGCGGGTACGATGACGACTCATCCCTAACCCATTCCCCCTCGGCCTCGAACATGTCACACCCCTTCATCAGGTTCGGATCTGAAGAGCCCGGTTTCGAATGATTATTAGTATACGGCTGCAAGACTGCTGCTGCTGATTTACGAGAATGGTGAGTAATATTGTTGTGATCCCGACGATGCAGTAGTACTACTCTTGGACTACTGGGAGGAGGAGAAGTAGACGCAGACATGGAAGGGGTGTTGGAGAAATAAGAGCGGTGGGTGAAGAAGCAAGGAGAAAAGTAGAGGTGAAGGTGAAGGCTAGGAAGACGATGAGGAAGTAGGGGAGATTAGCAACTAGTGTTCTCCGGCTAATCAATGATCTGTGGGTTGACGCCTGACGGTGATGAGACTGAGATTGTGATGAAGTTAGCAGCGCCGCCGCCATGAATGCCCATCTTTCAGCTTTGCTTAATTAAGCAAGTAATTAATTCTTCATCACTCACTTATTATCTGATCGATAGTGGCGATGGAGAAAGGAGAGTTTGGAGTGGTGCAGAATCGAGTCGCTTGGTCTCTCCTACTTCAAATTCAATCAATAGAACCAATGAATATGATCAGATCAGATATATGGATGGATGGATGGATCCTGAAATTAATATCACAACAGATATACGAATCAAATCCCATGGGCAGTGGGGCAGTCGCAGTCCTACTTAACTACTACGTGTTTGTTTTGGTTTCTATAGGAAAATAAAGTTCACAGGTAATAAAATATCTACGTGAATAACGTAAATGCTATTTTGGGTCTAACAGGGAAGAAGTTGCCGCGGTGACGGTGATGTATACGGACCGGACCGGGTCGACACCATAATTAATAATTATGTGTTGTTACGTTGGATAAAAAAATGTTCACGTGTATTTATTACGATCTTAGCGCATGATGGATGCTGAGCGTGCGTGTGTATCCATTATTATTATATTATTTTTTAATAAAAGTACATTTTAAAAGATAGTATATAATGAGGGTGGGGAAATGAATTATTTTAGATATTAGTTCAAAAATTAAATTTTAAAAGACAAACGAACTAATTATTGTCACTAATAAAATAAAAAAAATTCGATATGAGGAGGCAACCATAAACCCTAAACCCTACTAGTCTGTAAAGAACATTTTACATTACATAAATGGAGTTTTAATATCCCACAACCACCACAATCAGCCATTTCTCCCTCCCAATACATGAGCAAAGAAACCTTCTTAACAAGCAAGCAACCATAGCATGGACATCAGTTGGCTTACAATGGCATTTACTTCACTCCATTGATTCTACTTTGAAGAATCAAACTGCTCGCTAAAAGAAACTAAAGAAGATAGTATACAAAATGCAGCAGCTTGACCTGTGGCTGATGCCGCCAAGATCATCTTTCTGGATAACCCCCTCGTCGATTCGTGACTGGAAAACTGCTCCCGAAACCACCAATTCAATGGCCACCGTGTTCATGTTGATGTTCAGATGATATATAAATATATCCAATTGAAACTGAGACGCAGGCGACGCTAACCTTCAAATTAAGGTTAAATTGTGTGGAACAATGTTCTCCTTGACCAGAGCAACAGCACAACCACCCCATCCATTTCCTGTAAGCCTTGCTCCCAGAGCACCATTGTCATGGCAAACCTCTCTACAAGCTCTTCCAATTCAGGACAGCTGATTATAAAGGCAAGTCACACAAAGGATCAGATTAATAAGACCAGGTATACAGAAAAAAAAGTTTTTTTAAACTTTCTACCCTGTAATTCATCGAGTGTGTCATGGATTCGCACCTGCACTCGTACAAGACACTGCAGCCGTAGTGGCTGTCATTCATCAGGTCCCCTATCTTTTTCAGCTTCTCTTCTTGTTTAGGTGCGAAGCCAAATGGATGGATCAAAATCAATCACATACAGAGATACATTAACTGATTACTAGAGTAAGAAATGCTACCTGTCCTGTAATGATGTTCCATTGCATTTCATCACTTACCACCAAAACATACACTTACAAACAACACTCAGATGGATAAAATCGAAATAGTGCAGGAAGGCCGACCGGCCAGGTTAATAATCAATGAAATCAGATAGATAGATAAACAGATCATGGAACACACCACAAGCAATAACACTCCATTCAAATCATGAAACAACTCCGAATCAATCAAAGAGAACAAACAAACAAGAACAGTAGTAGTAGGGTGACTAACCTGTCTTCCTCAGGCACGTCTTTGTGTGTCAGCTTCACAGTAGTAATTCCAGGTTCAACCTCATCAAAAGCATACACACATACATAAGCATCAACAAACATCCCCACACACACAGAGCTTATAATTCTAAGCTATCCAAAGCTTGGCGCCCTCGCCCATCCTTGCCATTCTTGTCTCTTGATATGGTGTGGGTGAGCGCAGTTTTCAATTGGACAGAATTCAGTGCGTGGGGTTCAAAAAAGAAGAAGAGGGCTGGTTGGCTGGTTCGGTGCAGATTGTTTTTGTGGAAGGAAAGGAAAGGAAAGTCGTAGTTGATCCTAGAAGGCTATAGAAGTTTTGCTTTAGCAGTTTCACAAGTATCAGCAATAGTTGCAAAATAATGACAAAAATTAAAAGGAGAAACAAATAAAATACCAAATCATTCCTCTCACAAGTAGGCAAGCCATATCAATCACGTATTGCACAACCCTAACATATTGAAAACAGAGAAATCAAGAAAACCAATTACAACTTCTCTTTAAACACAATAATACCAAGCCTATCCATAGGCTTACAGGACCATGAGTGATATATAGCTAGTAAAACCATAGAGAAAAAAACCTTAACCAATCAATGGACAACCTAAAACAACACATCAGCTTAACTAATCAATGGCATGGAAAATCACTGATATTGCAAACCAAAACACTATACAAGCAAGACCATTGTAAGCTAGCACAAGACATAGATAGCACTGGTTCAGAAGATGTGCACCAGTATGAAAAAACATGCTGCTGATAAACTGCAGTGCCCTTCAGCATATTGTCGAGGTTAATGCTACAAAAAAGTCCCACCTGTGCCGGGTCTTAGTTGGCTGTAAAATTCAGTGAAGTCCAGTCTAAACATGAGGAACTTCAAGTCCACGTGTTGTTGTATGGGCAATAGAGAAATAAAACTCTCAAAAGCTGATGAAAACTCCTTGGCGTTTGCATGGATATCCTGTCCCATGTTTCGAAGAAACTCTCCAGCACGGCGGGTTAGTTCTTTCCTGCCTTCACCGAGCCAGGAGCTAGGTTCTGAAGATTTGTTACTTGGTTTCTGTAATTGAGCCTTATCCCGAGAGGAGTCCATGGCTCTGAAACACAAAATAAATTAGACGACTTATATACATATATATAATATATACTAGTTTACTGAAACATATATATTCAATACCTTGATTGCATCTCACTTATGCCTTCATATAGTCGATCAGCATGACTTTTGAAGCGCAATATGTGATCAAACAAGGTAAAGAGAGTCTTATTCAGGTGTTGAGACCGTTCCCCAAGGAGAGACTTTTCAAAAATTGAATACAGGTACTTCTCGTGTGCCTCAAGCAGACCATCAAGATCTTTAGCTGCTTCCAATTCCTTCGACAAAATAGACCAGGACACTTCCAAAACTTCAAACATAATATAGTACTGCAGATTTGAAACAAAATGATTCATTTCACCCCAAAGCACTTGACACTTCCTTGATGTCAAAATCAACTGTGATTTAACAGCATTTGGCAACTTAGAAAAGAACCGGGGAGTGACACAATTCGGTTTCATAGTTTTCCAAACACTAGTCAGCGCATGCTCTACCCTTCTTAGCTTCCACAAAAAGTTGAAGATTCTTAGATACCTAGACATAACAGACTCGGTAAAAATAGTATTTAGTGGAACCCTTGCATCATATTCCAATGAAAAAACATCCCATCCTCTATCTCCAGTGTTATGTGGCATCAATTTTACCCTTAACCTTTCAAGAATATCAGGATCATCATACTGTGCATTTGATGACCTAATTGCTGTTTCCAATAATCCAGCAAGTTTGAAGTAGCTTATGGTGTTGGCAGCTTCAGAAAGCTCTGGGCCAACAATATCCATTAGGTACTGAACAAAATCACCTTGTCCAAGAAGTAGATATCGCTTAATTGCAAGGCAATGCTCCTTGAATTTGTATTGTTTATACATCACATCCAACAAATGCTTATCTATCCTCTTTGCAGCGTCAGTAACTAGGGAATCAAGAGCATCGGTTTCACCATATCCAAGACCACCTCTCCTAGTACCGGTCCCTGCTGCAGCATCAGCCCATCCCCGGTCCTCACAACAGACTCTCAGGAAATTAATTGATTTCCCTGTTCGCAGGATGCGTTGAGCAAGCGATTGTGAAATGAAAGCAGGAAGCATTGCATCATGGAGAAGATACCCTTCCCTCCAAAGAGACTCTGCCTTTACAGGCTGGCTTAAGACAAAAAACTCTGCAAAAATGTCCTCAAGCTCCCCTTCCAAAACCCAGCTCCTAACCATTTCAAAAAGCGGTGAACAAACCCTCCGAAGTAACCTCTTCATAAAATCATTCACAAGGGGATCACCGTGTTGAGCATGCATATGGATTGCCCCAGCCATGGCCCCTCCTTTCAAGACCTTACAGCTATCAACTAAAACAGCCATAAGCCTCATCTTCACCAGGGGTTCAGAAAACCAAACGGATAATCTCCTCAATGACAGATAATTCCCTGAGCTTGCATTTTCTTGAACCAATGGAATAGGATTCATAGCCTGTGCTTCAAGCACCGCCAGTAACTTATAATACTCCGATAACTCATCTTGTAAAGCAGCACAAAAAGCCTGCCCAACAGTCCCAACATCCTTGGCAGGAAATTGATCCATACTTACAGTAATGTACTGCTTCACTTTCCTAAACAGCCAGCCGAGTTCACAAAGCTTCCGTATCATAATCCTTGTAGCCCGAGGCACCTTAACCAACTCTGGTAGCACATAAGCATCTGCCTTCTCATCAAACTTCACATACTTTCCATTAATCCCTTGACAAACATACAGCACATCTCTAACCAACACAGCTTCTGAAACCTCACTTTCTTCCTTAATCAAATCGATCAACTCCCTGTAGGCCATATCACGAATATTTTCAGGGTCCTTGGACAACACCAATATGCCCCCATTTTGCAGCTTCTCCACATGCTCACTTGCTCTCAACCCACTGAATTCATCACTCAAGCTAGCACTCAACTGCCTCTCACCTCGATTCTTATCCAACATTTCCAAATTACCCGAATTCCTCAACTTCCTAACATTTTCAGAACCCCTTAAATCGTCAAATCCATCTGCAAACCTTCCAACACTTAAATTATCGCTATTTTTCCCGAGTCCACCAGAACCACCACTCAGCCCATCGCCCCCAAACAATGTGGGCAATCCCCCGACCAATGCGGAATCTAAAAGCCCACCGGAAATTCTACTGGGAAACTGATTTTTCCCCACTTTCCGATCCTCGGATATAGTTTTCAACAAATAGAGTACAGCCCACTTATTTTTCACGCTCCCCTGACCATTTTTCATCGAAAATTTTGTGCAAAGATCGGAAAATGTTAGGGCTTCGGAGGACTTACCGGCGGTGGCAAGACGTCGCTTAATAGATTCCACCATAGCGGACTCGTCGGCGGCAATGGAGGGCGTCATTCGGCTGGATAGTATCCGGAGGGAGTACTTGAGGGCTTGATCGTATCCTTGGTGGGTTTGAAGGTTGGAGGTGCTAAGTAGCCTATGCACCAGTTCCTTGACTAGATCCACGGCTCTTTGGGCGTCGTCTTCCATGGCAGCGGACGGGAGGCAGGAAGAGGGTTGCCCAGAGTGGCGACGGCGGTTGGGGCGTCGCGTCAGGAGAGTATTCTGAATCTTCAGTACTCGGCGGGCGGGGAAACGAAATGAAAGTGAAGAGAGTGAAGCGAAGGATTTACACTCGCCCAATCTGTTTTCGAACTGGCGGTTCGGCTCGCAGTTTTCTAACCGAACCGGAATCGAAATTCGAAAGGACCGCCGAGTCGCATTTCATTAATTTTCACGCATGCTTACGTTAATATTCATTTCTTTCGAATATAATAGTCTTTTTTATTATTTTTATCAAAAATATTTTATTTATATTTTTTACCTATTGTCAATATAATACTAATATTCATATTTTTTATTCGCTATCGTATCAATAGTTTTTTTCATTATCAATATAATATTAATATTTTTTAAATTTTATTTTATGTCTAATCTAACTAAAATTATAATTCTGAAGGGAGGGAGAGTATAATTCATTTTCATAGCCATAAATCAAATGTTAAAACCATAAAGTTGATGATGAGATGGAGAGGGGAGAGTGAGCGTCTTCGCTTGTGCCAGCCGCATCAAACCTATCTTTCGATTCTTGATTCTGATATGTAAATTTATTAATTAATTAATGCATACTTCCCTAAATTGTGATTACTACTACTACTACTTTCTCTCAACAACGAACCAAATTGGCCCAAGCAGTGCAGTGGAAGCCGAACTTTGACTGAGTTGGAGTGACATTATTATAATATAGGTGCTGAGTGCTGACAGACAAATTCAATTCATTCAACTTATTATTAGGTTGCGTTGTACTACTGCTAATGCTAGTGCAAGTCCTGGGCTAGATAAGTTGATCTATATAGCAATCAATTTAAACGAGCATTCCCATCTTCCCCATACCAACTCTCCCTCGCAGTCAAGAAAAAGAACTTACAGAAAAACAGAAAAATGGAGGACAGCAGACAAGAAAAGATTAATCTTGCGCCGTGCCCTTTCAATTTCTTCTAACTCAGGTAATCCACGCTGCTTGATTCTGGCAAAGATCTTGTTTTCTTGCTTACTGTTCTGCGGAAAGCCCTCTCGTATTTGCTATTCTCTCCAGAGAGCAGATGAGTTTGATAATATATCTATATATATGTTTCCCCCCCTCAATGTTCGGTTTCGCAGTAAAAAAAATCCAAACTATTTTCTTCGGAATTGATCACTGTTTGATTGCGGAAGACACGGAGGGGTCAAAAATCTCAAAATGAGCTTTCTTTTTCTCGCCTACTGTTTTTGGGCGTGGGGTTTTAACCTGTTTCCAAAATTTTTGAACTTTCTTTGACTGGGACAGACCTTTTTGGGCATGTGAGATGAGCTTGTCTTTATTGCTGTTCTTTTCCTCCTCAGAAGGGTTTTAACTGGTCTGAATAATTACTGATACACATGCGAATTCCATCTCCGTCGAAACAAAAGTAGGATTGTGGGAGAGAACTGCTGCAGTACATACTGCTTTCTGTTGGACCATCTTCTTCCATATACATAACATACTGAGTGTGAGGTTACTGGTTGTTGAACATGGTGAATGTAAGGCAATATACTAGGTAATCATTATAACTGCTTTGGTTTCGGCAGCAGACCTGAATTTATTAATTTTTATTTGTTGTTTGTTATATTCAGTGAAGAGGTTCCTAAGTAGTGGTGTTTGTTTTTGTGTGGACTTGTTTTTCTTCTGGTTTGTCACTTTTATTTATTGATGGTAAGCAACAGCTAATCATTTCCATTTGAAAATTCAATTCCTTCATTTCTAAATTCATTGGGTGCCACAGAATTTTAATTAAATAGCTGCAGGGTGGGGGGTGGAGGAAGAACCTGGTAATGGTTGTTCGGCTGTCCGTTCATATGCATTACCTTAATAGTAGCTCTCAACCATGCTTCTTTATTTCGTGTTATCCCGAACATTTTAAGTTTCTTTTTTTATGCGACGTGTATCTCCTTTTCCATTATCTGAAGGGAAAACTAAGAAAAAGATCTTTAAGTATTGCTCATACTAATCATTGGCATGTTCGTCGGCATTTCAAGTCATGAAACCAGGCTGATTCTTTCCTGTTCCTGAAAAGGAAAGAGTTGTCTTTTTGTTGATTTTGTAATGAAAGGTTGGTGGTGGAATCTGATCTGATCCAAGTTAATTTTATACCATCTACCAAACCCCACCAAAAATGGAGAAAGCAGCCAAAGGAAAAACAAAGTCTTTTGAGTTGGTCAGGGCTGATTAATTATTAATGGCAGACTTCAATTAGTGTTTCAACCATAATAGTATTTAAGAACCATAGTAGTGTCTGTGGTGTCCGTCCACTACACACATCACTGCTTATTCCTGTTTGACCAATTAGCCAGAAAAGCAGCATTATTCTGTATTAGGTGTTGCTAATGTTCTTCTAGTTTAATTATTGATTTCAGGATACATTACATACTTGTAATCTGGAGGTTAGATCAACATTCACTTGATTCGTGTCAGATTTCTCACTTGCCCTGAGCTTCGAAGCTGCGAATAATGGCTAAAGGGGGTGCAGTGTGCAGAGATGGTCTTGAATCGAATCCCAAGTACGCAAATTATGAAATAGTGACGAAGAAGATAGAGAGCAGCAGTTCTGTTTCTAAAAGTAGTATTTTGGCGGCAGAAAAGCGAGGGGTAAATGGCGTGCACGAGCTTCTTCAGTGTCCTACTTGCGCAGAGTCGATGTATCCTCCAATTCACCAGGTTGGTTTGTACATGGTTTCTTGCATCAATCCCTTTTGTTGTTCATTGACCTGTTAGATATTTGGATTGATTTTTTGTATCTCAGTCGGGAATACGATGTGCTTTTAGTCGATCACTTTACTACAGAATTTGTCTCTCTTGTACAGTGCCCAAATGGCCATACCTTGTGTACAAACTGCAAGAAAGTCCATAGCTGCTGCCCAAGTTGCCGGTTTGAGCTTGGGAACATAAGGTGTTTGGCTTTGGAGAAAGTGGCGGAATCACTGGAGCTTCCCTGCAGGTATCAGAATCTCGGGTGCCATGAACTGTGCCCTTTCTACGGGAAGCACAAGCACGAGAAGCACTGCTCATTTCGGCCCTACAGCTGCCCCTACGCCAGCTCGGAGTGCCCTGTGACAGGCGACATCCCCTTTCTGGTGGCCCATCTTAAGGAGGATCACTCGGTGGACATGCACGACGGGTGCACTTTCAATCATAGATACGTGAAATCCAATCCACTGGAAGTTGAGAATGCCACGTGGATGCTAACCGTAAGTTGTCGAGTGATGGCAGCAGCAGCATCATTCTTTCGATCTTCAGTGATGTTTGTTTGTTTGTTTGTTAGGTATTCAATTGTTTCGGGAGACAGTTCTGTCTGCACTTTGAGGCTTTCTTGCTGGGGAGTCGGGCGCCGGTGTACATGGCGTTCTTGCGATTCATGGGGGAGGACGGCGAGGCAAGGAAGTTCTGCTACTCGCTGGAGGTGGGGGGAGGGGGGCGTAAGATGGTGTGGCAAGGCATCCCGAGGAGCATCCGCGACAGCCACAGAAAAGTCCGCGACAGCCAAGATGGGCTCATAATTCCACGGAGCATGGCGCTCTACATGTCGGGCCACGGCCTCGGCGGAGAATCGGTTGCAGAAGCAGAAGCAGGAGCAAGACTTAAGTTAAGGGTTACAGGGCGGATTTGGAAGGTGTAATTCATCAGTGAGACACAATAAGCTAATTAAGCTTGCGAAGTTGTAGTTTTCGATCTGTTTTTTTTTTAAAACGAAATATTTTATGTTGAATGGATGAAATTGGGAATGGCAATGGCAATGGGATTTAAGCACAGAAACACAATCGACAAGCCTAAATCCTAATCTGAATCTGAATTGATGGATGGATGTTGCTTAGGACAGGACAGGACAGGACGACCTTCCTTTACATCTTGTTCGCCATTGCCATCTGAATCTGATCTGCCTCCTGCTGCTGCTGTATTTAGTTTTATAACATGGATGAAACGAAGGAGGTTAATTAAAAAGATGAGAATGAAAGATATATAATTAGGGACGTGCAAGAAGAAGAGAGGACTAATATAGTACTGCAATATTAATTATCAATATAATAATACTCAGAATTTGTTGAATTATTATTATTATTATTATTATTATTATTGGGAACATACTATTATATATCCCTATCCCTATCCCTGCCCTTTGGTTTTTGTTTTTGGTTGGTTAGGGTTCCATTCATTATATAATTTGGGGAGGGAGGTAGGGAAAGGGAAGCAATTAGCTAGCAAAGGTAGGTGCAGGTGCAGATGGCGGAGGAGGAAGCCCCTGGAGGCGCGGCAGCAGTAGACGAGCAGACGCCGTTGCCGTTGTAGCGCTTGAAGCACTCCGACTGGCACACCGGCAGCAACAGCGAGCACGATCCCACCTGCTTCAGCGCCACTCTCGCCGAGCATACCTTCGCTGCCCTCCCCCTCCCCCTCCCCGCTCCCATCACTGCAAATTCAATTTCAATAGTTTTATCTTTATCTTTATCTCTATCTATATCTATCACCAGTCTCTACTCGATCGATCGATCTCTAGTAGCAGTAGCAGTATATTAAATTAAATTAATTAGTTAATCAAAACAAATTAGTATGGATGGATGCATGCCTGTGGTCAAAACGAGGAGGACGACAACCCAGAAAAGCTTATGCGCCATATCACCCTCTTAATTGATGATGATGGAGCTAGTAGTATATATACAATATCGCAATTTGCAGGATATATAATATGGCCTCGATCGAGGCTGTTGTATTGCAATCTTAATCTCAATCTCAGGTTAGCACATATAAGTAGTTATACTTCAATTAAGCCTATATTATATATATATATATATATTGATCTTCTTAATTAATTGGCAACATACGATTAAGGTAACGAAATAAATAAATAAAATGATTCTTTCAATCTGAAAAATATATTACTACAATAATTAAAAGGATATTATTATTATAGTATATGGTAATAATTCTTTGTACAATTAATTAAGATTGCTGCAACCCAACCCCCCTCCTGTTTATACATATATATATATTCTGAATAAAATCGTAGAAAAAGGTAAGGTAAGGTGCGTTTTATCTATATATATATCTATCTCTCTCTTGCATGCATGCTGAGAGGTTTAATTAATTACTATTAATTGATAAGTCCTGTCCTAATAAAATCATGAAATTCCATGCATCATCATCACATTAGTCAGGAAATAGAGATGATGATGGATGGATGGATGGATCATATTGATGCGAGTTGAGTTGACTCAGAATTAAATTAATGAAGGGATGCATTGCAATGCTACTGCCTACTGCCTCCAAGGAGCAAATAAATTACTAGTACATCCGCATCAAATAAAAAATTAATACACGGCCGGCCCTGCCCTGCCATGGCCCACCTGGACCCATGCTCACGGCCCAAGGGGCCTTTTTTTAATAGAAAATATATATTATTAAAATTCATTTGATTTTATTTAAATATATTTTGATAAGATATTTTATAATAGAATAAAACAAATTCAAAAAATAAAACCCAAAAACAATTAAGAATAATTAAAAATTATTATTTTTATATCATTAATATAAAAAACAATTAAATAAAGACTCTATTTTTTATTTTTTCCTGGGTGCATCAAAACTCAGAACATCCAAATTTATGTTAATTTATATAAGTTATGATAAAACTGAGAGTCTTCTTACTTAACATTATTTAATAAGTAGCTTTGCTTACTTTGCTTTGGTGTCTATATGTGCCCTTACATAGGACTTTTTCTTTCATTAAATAAACAATATATATATATATATATATTTATTCTACTTCTTATGTTCAATTTCATTTTTTATTTTTAACTTCATCATGGTATCAAAATATTTTATTTTAGGTGTCTTTTTCTTTTGCATGTCTTTTCCTAGCTAAACTCGGTACGTAATTATGCCAAATAATAAATGATGAAGCAAGAACAACAATTGAACTGGCTTAATTTGGGGTATCACATTCACAGCAATTGATCCTAGCTCAAATTTTGCAGACAAATTATATTGCTATTGAAGATGCTTTGATTATGCAAAGTTCAAACTTGAGATTTTATTGATAGAACAATACAAATTTCTGAAAAAAATGTAGCATGCAGAATGAATATACACATTGGAAACAAGCTAAGTTAAAATGAAGATAATCAATTGAATTTCAAAATAAAGTTTCAAAAGCCTTGAGGGAGGCTTTGAACGACAAATTAAGAAACTATATATATATATATATATATATATGATAGAGTTTGGTAGAGATTAGTTATGATCAATGCCAATGTCAATGTCAATGTCATGGACCAACCTTATAATTTTACATTTTGCCTTTGGAAACTCTTTTGTCTTTATTGTATGTATCAAGTTGAACTTTTCTTTAATTACTTTTAATTTGTTCAGCGGTGTTAAGTTATGATAGACCACGCCACATTCTTCTCAGTTGACATACATATATATATTTTAATAGGGTTTTTTCTTTCAGTAATTTTTAAATTGTGCTCTTTGTCTTCAATTTTAATTTGTTCTCATTCTTCATCTATACATAGTTTTGAATGCTATTTCCAACAATTAGGTTTTTTATTTAATCAAATCCCAACGTGTCCTTCGAACAAATTAAAATCAAATGAATACGCACACCATTTCAAGTTAAATTAATTTCACCTGCATGCTTTTTGCTCAGACGGACCTTATTAATAGGAATAGCAACAGAGTTGATAGGGGACGGGTTTCATAATTTCATAGGCCCCACAACTTGTCTGTTAGAAAATTTTGAGAATATAAAAATAATATTTTATATTATATTATATGTAATTGATGTATATTATATTTTTCAAAAATAATATTAATAGATAATTGTATTAATATGCACATCAAGGAAATGAAATATTACAATAATTAATTAAAAAGATTATACCTAATAAAATTACTAACGGAATCAGGTATACAAAATCAATTGTGTACGTTAGGAAAACATTTAATTTAATTGAGCATATATATATATATATATATATGATGATGATCCTGGCTAATCGAATCTATTATCAGAAGCCTAGCTCGTTTAGTTTGTACAACATTGTTGCAACCAACCCTCCCCACAGCTGCTACATTGATTAATTAATTAATTATTAATTGGATCTGCATGCACTTTCTATGAGATTTGACTTCTATATATATATATATATATATGGGCATGCAAATTTATACAAGAAACGTACCCATACTCGATTCAAACACACCTATTTAAATAGTGTATATACAAGAATTTATAAATTATAATTAATAAGTAATTAAAAAATGTATTAATAAAAATAATTATTATTCAATAAAAAAATTATAGATTAAAATTAAAATAAATAAATAGTTTAATTAAAATTATAAAATTATAAAATTTAAAATTTAAAATATAATTATATTTCTAAAAAATAAAAAATAAAAAAAAAATTATATATTATATTGAATGGAGTAATAAATTATTAATAATATTGGAATGGGTTCAAGTGTAATCCTCAGCTCCAGCTCCGAAGCCCAATAACTTACTTAAAAACAAATAAAATCCTTCCACACCTAGCCCTATGCCAAGTCTTCTTTGCTTTGCGTTGCGCGAGAAGACGAAGACGAAGAAAGACAGACGCACCTTCTTTCCTCCTCCTCCTCTTCTTCTTCTTCTTCTTCGTCGGCCGGTGAGAAAATGGTAAGTTAAGTTCCATCCTCCCCCCATTCCCATTCCCATTCCCATTCCGAGATGTAGAAGAAGCCTATGGAGCAAATCTGACGTGTTTTTCTGTTTTGTAATTTCAATCGATTCGGAAGATATCGTCGACTTTCTGCAAGTTTTCTCTGTAAATCGTGAGGTACGCCAATTCCAATTCATTGACGAAAATAGCCGCTGCGAAATACTACTTCTAATAATCGGATCGATTCGTGATTTGCTGCCGTTCTCGTCCGATGATACAGAACAGATCGAATCGAATCAATCGTGGCCAACCATGGTGATGAAGGAGGTAGCGGGCGGGCCGAATGCGAAAGCGAAAGCGAAGGCGAAGCCACCATCATCGGTGAAGATATTCGTATATGGAACTTTGAAACAGGGGTTCCCTAACCACCCCCTCCTGCAAGATATGATGGCGACGGGCGACGCCAGCTTCCTCGGCTCCTGCCGCACCGTGCAGAGGCTCCCTCTCATCTGCGGGCCCTACCGCGTCCCCTTCCTCCTAAACTTCCCGGGCCGGGGCCAGCGCGTCTTCGGCGAGCTCTACGCCGTGTCGGCCGCGGCGCTGGCCAAGATCGACGAGCTGGAAGGCGTTGTGAAGGGGCACTACGAGAGGCTTGCGGTGGAGGTGGAGGTGGCATTGGAGGGGGAGGAGGAGGCGGCGGCGGCGGAAGCCTACTACGGGCACCGGAGCTACGCGGAGGCGCTGTGGAGGAGGAGCGGGGAGGAGGGGTACGATTGCTACACGGAGGGAGTGGCGGGGGGGTACGTGAGGCGCAAAGATAGGCCGCACCACCTCACCTTCTTGGACCATATCCACCATTACGTTTCTTCTTCTTCAGATTCGTCGACAGTCCCAAATTCTGATTGATTGATTGATTGATTGATGCATCTATGAGCCATCATCATCTTTCATTGTGTTATTCCTTAATGTAATGTAATGTATGTAATCATGATATGCAACAACAGACAGACAGTAAGTCTAGTCCGCTTTGGCTCTCGATTGAATCTGCTGCTGCTGCTGCTGCTGCTGCATTGTCATCTGTCTTTGCATTGTCCGATAAAGAGTTTGTTTGTTGAGACAAGAGTGACTTGGTTGTTTTTTGAGTTCTCCACAACACAGATTGACCGACTGACTGACTATAAACATATAAAGCAGCAGCGACAGCGAGTGAGAGAGTAGAATGACAACACAACATTCTGGGAGCTGGGAGCTGTGAGCTGAGCTAGTACGCACTTGCTATTGCTATTTTCCATTTCAGGTCAGGAGCCAAGGCGGCCATTAAATTATTAATTATCCCAATCAGGTTTGGAGGGAGTGATTCACCTGGCAAGTAAGTAAGTTGTTTTTCATCACTCTTGATTTAACTCATATTTTTTTGAGTTGGAGAAAGAAAGAAAGAAGGAAGGTATATGTACATCTGATCTACTATCTATCTATCTAGCCATTACTAATGAAATGAAAATGTTCATGTATCCACCGGGAATTCAGACTCTGTTATCATCCATAGCAGCAGCAGCAGCAGCACTCACTTGTGAATATATCTATGGGATGGGATTGTAGTTAGTTTTAGTGGAACGTTTTAAGCAGCATATGCTTTACGCATCTATTATATCTATGGAACAAATAGGCACAATCTCTGGATTTGGTGTAACAAACACAAACACCGCATTGTTTATACTAATAGAATACAAAACAATTGACAATATATATGATATGATAATAATTTATACAATATACAAGAAGCACTATTATTGATTAACATATAAATATTGGATGCTAGTTAGAATTAAGTGAATTTCTGGATTGTCATGGTTGGCTTTACCGGGCCGAACAAGCGCAAGCAAGATCAAGAGGCCGTCAATCACAATCCTATCCAACCCCACATGGAATGTGTCTAATTGCAGATTATATGAATCGAGGAGACAACGTATCAATTTGTTTGTTTAGCTTAAATAAGAAGCTTCTTTGTGTTTAATTCTGTATAGTATATATACATGATCGATGATGTTGTGAGAGGGACTAAAAAGTTTTTGTATTCTTACACTCTATTTCTCAACATTCACTATACTTTTCATTACAAACAATCAAGATTGGACTCTGTATATCTCAATTAATACAAATTTTGTGCAACTCAACTCTTGATAGAATTTGAGTCAAAGTATCGTATTTGAAAAACATAGTATCACAATATCGAGTTAATTATTTCCAAATCATTTTTATATATTTGTGCAGAGATGTTTGTAGGTGAAGGCAAAATTATATATATTATTAATAAGTATTCTTTAAGTAATAATAAGCACCAAACAATTAATATTATTTCAGAGAGTGCAGATAAAAAATGAATGAAGTATTAATTAATGATATTGGATGAAGATGATGATGAGCCGCAGTTGTAGAAGCATGTGCAGATGAAAGAGGAGGAGATCCCGGCGGTGCAGACGCCATTGCCGTTGTACTGCTTGAGGCACTGAGCTTGGCACTGAGGCAACATGCATCCCTTGTTGTTCAGCACCACACTACACCTCTTTTGCGCGCTTACGCTGCCAATAGCTGCATCCATCCATTAACCATTCATTAATTCCATACCAACTAATTAATTAATCAGCATTCATTTATCAACTAATATGTAATGTATGATTATATAATTAATTAGTTTATTGCATCATCAGGGTAAGAATGAATGAATGCATGCCTGCAAAAACGAGGAAGATAACCAAGAAAAACTGCTTGTTCGCCATTGCCATATATATATATATATATATTATATGGGTACTAGTACCGTACGTATATATAATTATAACCAAGAAATGTAATGGATTGTGTTGTGGGAGGAACAAATGCAACCCACTATTTATATACTTACCTACCTCCCATAATTCATAATGCTATTGTGTGGGTAAGATTACAATAATAATAATATTATAATTATATATATTAAAATTATGTATATAGGATTCACTAGGTAGAATAATTATGGCAATCACAAGATAATTTGATTTTACCAATCAGGGGATTACATTTGAAGAAATAAACATGCAAATGGAAGGTCCTTTAATTAATTGTACAAAAAAGAAAAAGAAAAAGAAAAAAAATCACGTGAAATGTTTAAAATTATTTCAAATATAAAAAGATACATTAAAAAATAAATCAACTCTAACAATAATATATACTCTCTTCTTTTTCAACATAATTGAACTATTTTATAGCGACACAATATTTAAAAATAATAATATTTAATTAGTTAATAATAATAAATTATAATATCATTTTTTTATTTAATTAATAATGTTAATAACTTTAAAATAAAATTAATATATAAATAATTAAAAAAATTAGAATATGTATTTAAATATTTTAAAAATTATATCGCAATAAAAAAATATGCAATATCGATAACATTTTATAGAGAAAAAAATTATTAAAATACAAGTAAATAAAAAATACTTTTATTTATTTAGAATTACAATAAACTAATTTTATAAAAAGATGTGAAGTTTTAAATATATATAAAAATATTTATATAATTATATGTTATATACTTAAATTAAGTTAATTTATATTTGTTACGTATATTTTGATTTAATGAGTTTTAATTAAAATAGAAAGATGTCAGTTATTAGAAAAAATAGAAACAAGGTCAATTATTATGGGAGAAAGAGAGTATTAGTACATAATAAGTTTCTTGCGTGTTTGTTTGTGGGGTTTTCTAGTGTGTACTTTTTTAATTAAAAAAAAATATATGTTTTTCGAACAAAATTAATATATTATACACATTACTTATTTTTATATTATCTATACAATTTTCTATATTTCATATAAAAAAAATATTCATTTACTGGTTTACAAAACAAAACGCACCCTTGCAATAATTATTTGAAAAAAAAAATAATAATTATTAGTCTCTCCCTCCTTTTAACAATTTATTCATTTTTACATTTTAGTTTGTCCCATAATAAAATATCATTTGTAATTGTACTATTTACCTAACATTACAAATACTCTTCCAATTTATAATATATTATACAAATGTTACATTTACATCAAATAATACTAATAAAGTTAATTTAGTTTTTTTTTTTACTTTTATTTATACTATATCTTAACATAATACTAATATTTTTAAAATTTTATGCAAAAATTAAATGGATACATAGAAATAAGAGGAAGAAAGTATAATTTTAATATTTTTATCTTTTGTACGTTATGTATATATTAATTATCCATGTAATATATTTATAATTTATGTAAAAATTAAAGATATTTTAATATTAAAATTTAATTAATTTTGAGTTGGACAGATATAAATAATAAACGTGATAGTTTCAATTGAGGGGCATAATAAAACTTCAAAACTCATTTCATTACTCACCAATACAAAAGATTCCAAAAGTTTACCAATTATAAATTTAAAAATATGTATATTATATATAATAGAGTTTAGAAATTTCCAAGATCATGTAAGTGGTACAGAATGAACTCAAAATCTTTGTGTTTTTTAAATTTTAATAACATTATATGTAATGTACTTTCCTAATTTCCGATACTCGTAGTAGTAGTAGCAGCCATGGAATGGGTTCAGTAATTCGATTTTTTTTTAAAAAAAAAATTAAAACAATATTAATAAAGCTCAAAAATTTCAAAATTCATAATAGTTGCCATATGTCGGACTTGTAATTATGCATTTTTTAAAGTAAAAATATTATATATATATATATATAAAATAAAATTTTGGAATTTTTGAAGCCATAGTATTGGCTATAGAATAAACTTGGATTTTCTACATTTCTAATATGTTAAAAATACTCTATATAATAGCCTCGGAATTACGAAGCCTATAGCAATGGCTAAATATTGGACTTGGAACTTTGAAAGTTATTTAATTTATATTATTATAATAGTCCCAGAATTAATTTCGAAGGTATTTTTGAAACTGTACTGCTTCGACCACTGCACTTCTTCTCTTCTGCGCCTTCTTCTTCTTCTTCTTCTTCTTCTTCTTCTGCGCCTTCACTTCCACTTCCGCTAATACATGGATGGATGGATGGATGGATGGATCCTCATCGTCCCTTGCATTGCATCACTCATGAGTGTAGAATTGAATGACTCGACGAATTGATAAGAATAATAATAGCAATAATCTATGTATGTCACGCATGCAGGCGACTAATTATTTTAATTTAATTGGATGGATCGTGACCGTCCAATACAATGAACGGTAAGCAGACGACGTACGATCTGGACGCCGCTGTGTTGTATTGCATTAGCTTGTGTTGATAGGGATGGCATGGGAAGGGAAGGGAAGGGAAGCGTTGCTGCCGAGTTTCCCGCGGAACAAATCAAACAGTAGTAATTCTGAAAGAATCATCTTTCTTCTCTGATTCTGATCAATCATCTTTCTTCTCTGATCGATCATCTTCTTCGCCGGCGTCCGCCTTAATTCATTCTCCGATTCCGCGCGCACCATTCCGACGTTTCAATTTCATGCCTGTCTACCCCATCGATGCATCTCAAACCGCCCGCACTGCGTACCCTCTTTCTTTTCTGCAGCAATTGTAAATGTATGTATGAATTTCAATACTTTCAATCGATGAGGAATTCCGCAGTTAATTTAATTCTTATCTTTGAGTGCGCATTTGATTTTATCTGTAGGATGGATCGGATTTGCTTCGTCAGGCAGCTTTACAATTAAGTAATTAATTAATTGATTGAGCATACGAGTGCATGAATTAGGGCAGGCTTGGCTTCCCGAGACGATTTCATCTGATCTGATTCTTCTGTAAAATTGCGAAACGATGTCGTGTTGTGGAGGTGGAGAAGAGGATCCAGGCGCTCCTCCGCCCAGCAACTACGCTGCCCCAAAGGCCGGTAATCCATACGCAGGCGGAGGAGGTGGTGGAGGCGGAGGAGGAGGAGGAGGTATGCATCAACTCGACCTAACTTTCATCTCTATTTACATCTACCTAGTAGCACTTACCACTAACTACTTACCATCACCCAATCCAATCCAATCCAATCCAATCCAATGCATAGCATAACATGATCAATAATTGTCATTATTATTATTAGGCGGTGAAAGAGGGGAGCCGAGGAGTAGTGCGAGAAACGGACCTCCGCAGAAGGCTATGCCCATTGAGAAACCAGCACTGTCGTTGGACGAGCTCAACAGATTGACAGATAACTTTGGACCAAAGTCGCTGCTAGGAGAAGGATCCTACGGTCGAGTCTTCTATGCTAAATTGAAAGATGGAACCCCAGCAGCAGTCAAGAAGCTAGACACAACTTCGTCCTCTGAGCCAGACTCTGATTTTACATCACAGGTTACAATGAGCACCAACGCATCCTATCCTAAATCGTTTGTTTCTCTCCTGTTCACTAACCGTAATAATTTTGTAACCGCACATCCATCTGGCATCTGTTCTCGTACATATACGTACACAGCTCTCCGTGGTTTCAAGGCTTAAGAATGAAAATTTTGTGGAGTTGCTCGGGTACTGCTTGGAAGCAAACAACAGGATTTTGGTGTATGAGTACGCCGCAATGGGGACCTTACACGATGTCTTACATGGTGACATTATCTAGAATCGCAAATGACACTGATTTCTTGTGTCAGATTATATATATGACTATCCTTCATTCAGTCAGTAACCAGGGTGAGGGATTCATGCTGCAGGGCGGAAGGGGGTGCAAGGGGCTGAACCTGGTCCAGTTCTTACCTGGATTCAAAGGGTGAAGATCGCCCACGGAGCTGCAAAGGGCCTTGAATTTCTGCACGAGAAGTGCCAGCCTTCGATTGTCCACCGTGATGTCAGATCCAGCAATGTGCTGCTCTTTGATGATTTTGTTGCCAAAGTTGCCGATTTTTGCATCACAAACCAGGCTTCTGATACGGCAGCTCGGCTGCACTCCACCAGGGTCCTTGGAACATTTGGCTATCATGCTCCAGAGTGAGTGAGTTAGTTACTTGGTTGATATTTCCTTGATATTCCTGTGCTGATTAAGAAACACACAGTCACCACCCACAATAGCATGGCCAGAATGAATGTGGATGTTTGTTGTGATGGTGATGGATGCTTGCATGCATTCTTTAGGTACGCCATGACTGGGCAGATAACTCAGAAGAGTGACGTGTACAGCTTTGGAGTGGTTCTTTTAGAACTGCTGACAGGGAGAAAACCAGTGGACCATACCATGCCCAAAGGCCAGCAGAGCCTTGTCACTTGGGTGAGTTCCCGTTTATTTGTTTCCGGGTGATTTGTTCAAGTCAACAGCCTGTCCAAATGTCTCAGAGTTAATTTACTTATCCAGGCTACACCACGGTTGAGTGAAGATAAAGTGAAGCAATGTGTAGATCCCAAGCTTAACGAAGATTATCCACCCAAGGCCATTGCTAAGGTGCGCTAAATCAAAATAAAAACTAATAGGTCTATTGGTAAACAAAGCATGTACATTATTCACATACCATATTGCCGGTGTTTCCATTCTTTCAGATGGCTGCGGTGGCAGCCTTGTGCGTGCAATATGAAGCAGACTTCAGGCCAAACATGACCATCGTGGTTAAAGCTTTGCAGCCACTTCTAAATGCTAAACCAGCGGCAGCCACTGATTCTACTGCTTAGGTTGGGCGGGCACAGATAGGGGCAGGGCTGTTGTTAGCACCAGCAAAGCAAGCATGTAAGTAAATGTCACATAACATGTATAAATGCATCCCCACTTATGCTTGTTTCATCCACCTTATATTGCTTAGGCAAGATATTGTACAGAGGAACCAACCAAGTTTTAAAGCTTTTCCACAAAACAGTGCAATTGCTGCTGTATCACAGCGAAGAGAGAATACCTCCCTGATTGTCAGCTTTACCAATATTGTGCCTTATTCGCATCATAGCATTTGTTCTTAGTTTGACAATGTCTAGAACAGAGTTAAACATAAAAGAGATCTCCACTCGGGAAAGGCTCGCTATAGTTCTGAAACATTCTAATAATATCAAATTCTACCACAAAATGGTTATTAAATAGCTGCAAAATCTCCCCTCTACCAGGCCAGGTAAAGAAGATTAAAAAATTGTCTCCAGTGCAACAATATTAAAAACAATAAAAGAAAAGCCCCAAATGAATAGATTTGTTTGGCACCATGAATCAGTAACCACCCTTGAGGTCATTGACGACATCGTATGGGATGGGAGTGACAGTTTCCAGAGACATCCCTTCAACCATGAAGCCAGGCTTAGGTCCCTCTGGCTGCCTCTTGGTGCTTATAATTTCCCCTCGCGACTTTGCTTCGGCCTTCAATTGGTCATTCTTTCTCACCCTCACAAGAAAATCCTCGTGGCATCTCGATGGCTGAACATGCTCGATGCGAACATGAATCCTCTTCTTTATGATCCTATTACCAACCTGCACTCATGATATTAGCTTCAATTAAACAATATTTGGGAACCCATTTACAGCTATAAATTCAGACTTATAAAAACAACCAGTATCACATTATACAGGGTAACACAACACGGTACTGATTGATTATATGAAAGTTTATTGCATCATAGAAATTGAAACAAAGACAGACATGATTGTTTCTGAACAATAAAAAGAGTTGGTAAAATTTAGAAGCAAACAATCATAATGCATGTCAGCTTCCAGATTGGGAGAAGTCAATAGTTTGAAGCTATGTGGGAGCCATGAACGCTCCCAATGCTCACATTTAAGCTTCCACATCAAACATGTTCGTAATTAAAAAGCTGGACCAATGTCTTCAAAGTTCTAAACGAAACAAAATCAAGACCGTGCATAAACAATGCATACAATCACTTGCAGAATCCATTCCAGATCATTAAAAACAATCCTCTCCACCAGTATCACAAATTTGCGTTAACCACGAATCGTCAATAACAAAACCGCGAAGGAGAAAAGTAACCCCATCTCTAGCTATGGTTCTTGAGACGAGATATATATTTTCAAAAACTACAACTGTAGGCCATGCATTCTCTGGGTATGGGACTTAAGGAAGGAGGACAACGAATCGCAAAGTAGTGAGTCCGGAGAAGGGAAATTCACAAGGAGTAAATCTAATCAATTGTACACCAACTCTAATTGAATAAATGACGATAGAACACACGATGTGCAAGAAGAGCAGCCTTGTACCTGCTTGTTCATCTCGACGCCGACAGCACGCTTAGTTACGTTCCAGACTCTACCAGTGCGGCCATGGTAAAACTTGTGAGGCATTCCTTTGTGAATAGAGCCGTTAACCTTGATATCCACATAATCTCCAACCTTGTAGACTCGAAGGTAGGTGGAGAGATGAGTCGGACCCTTCTTCCTGAATGGCCGAGCGAAAAGATCCCTCGTGCGCGCTCTCACACCGTGCCCCGCCGGCATTGCGTCGTTCTTTTTTTAGCCTGCGAAGTGTGCTAGGGTTTCAGCGACGGAGTGGATATATAGAAAAGGGAAGGGGAAGCTGCGACCATGGGCTTTAGGATAAGCCAGCCCACACTCTTACTGGGCCCAGATTTATGGGCTCAATAAGGGGATCCAGCCCAACTACATTTCAGCAGATGCAAAATGCAGGGGCAAGGCGGGCGAGAACTAGAACGAGAACGAGAACGTAAAGCTCCCTCTGCCTGCAATGAGCGAATCCACACATTTGGAATTGGAGCTGTAACTGGAAGCATATGGGGACTCGAGAAGTGTATCAGGAGAAGCTTCGGAGGGGGAATCTGCATCACGATCCCACTATCAGACCGGGCCTCGGCTCTGCCCGCTGCCCCCGTTGTCTTTCTCTCTTAAATCCTACGGAAGTTCGTGCATCCTCTGCAGTCAAATTATGAACATCACCTATTTGATCTCATCTCATCTGATTATTTATTCATCTTTTTTTCTGTATATCTATCTATATATATATATTGTTGAATTTTGTGAAACAGGCTAATTCGGAATGGAAAATAACCCCAGTTCTGCACGATGCCACTTCTGTGGTAGGTGGTCTGCTTCTTAGAATTTTATTAGAGCTCTGCGATTGCCTTTGCTTCTCCAATTACTAGCAGCAATTATCAGGCGTCTAGCTTAGCGGTGTCCTGTTTATCAACTATGTCTTATTTTTATTTTATTTTTGATCGGCATCAACTATGTCTTCTTCATTGCAGAATGCTTTGGTTTATCTTAATGGATTCTGCTAATTCTCTAGTTATCTTTGTGGTAGCCTATTCGTGGTTATGTTTTTGGTTGGATCTTTTAGCAGCATTTAGATACACATTATGGTATAAAGCTCTTGGGATATCTAAATGCTGTAGAAAGAAAAAGATAATTCATATACAAAGGTTTTCAGATCCCTGGAGACGTAATCACTTTTTAACTGTGTCGTTCAGCTGCTAGTCCGAATCCTTATACTATAAGCACTGGCTACGAGGATCTATCCAGAAACAAAACCTTTGAAAAGAATTACATGGAGTGTTCATCGATGTTGCTCAATAGCTCCCCTTTCATCATGGCCTCTAACTTGTCTTTTGGACTTACCTTAACTTCATATGTATATGATTTGGTGGAGGTTTACTGTGTGAACACGTCACCATAGTGTTAAGCACTTTATTTCCCAAAAAAAAAAAAAAAAACACCTTATTTCCCAACGAATGGCTACACTTTCTTATCACTGTTGGACAGCTAGATTCTTGAAATTTACTTTCATTATTTACTACGAGCAAGGACAAGTGAACTCCGCCATCAACTCGTTGTTCCAAGAGGATGGTGAAGCAATTCTCATTGCCATAACTCACTCGTTGTAGTGTTTTAGCATCGGCCTCTATTTGTTGCTTCAAAGATTAACTGAGTTTCCAGATTTCTGCCTTTTAGACAAGACCCTTCAAAGTGAAGGAGAATTTATAGGTCAGTTGGTGGAACTACCTGAGTAGACACCTCCACCTCTAAAGGAGCCGTCCAGTCCACTGCACCATGTCTACGCTTGAATAACAAGCAGCCTCCTCTCACTTTAGTCTAGTTGAGGCCCTAGAATAACAGTTGTTTTTTTCTATGTAATATTTTATTTAATTTTGGGTACCTCACATTTACTCCTTTTTGCAAGTCGGACCTATTTCTATGTAAAACATCATTTGGGTTAGTGAGAGATGGATCAATGATTTATCTAGAGTCTGAAGGCTACAGTATTGGACACGGTAGTTCCCTATCGGCCTTTTTTGTTTGCTCTTTTTAACTAAGCTCTTATTTCAATCATCTTCAGTGTTGATTGCCTGTGTTTAGCATGAAGGTTGTGGTCATTTTCTATATAAATATATATATAGATATAAATTATATTCAGGGTAATAAAAAAGTGCATTCATGTATGAGCTCTCTTATAACCCGCCCAAGTAATGTTGTAGTGAGTTAATAGATGGTTTTGTTTGTTTCCTGTTAGAAAACTGTAATCCAACTTTTCTTAAAGACCTCAAAATCAAGTTCCTTGAACAGCATGACGATACACTCCTGATACCCATTACTTTCATATTATCAAATAGGCTGGCACTGGGATTGGTGGAATGCTTAGTGCAGTTCATGGTTTCAACACAGGTATGACAATGATTGTCTTGCTCTGAATTCTCTTTCATATTTCATGTTTTTTGTTCAATATTTTTATATTTAATGTTGCAAACATTCATTCAGGAATTCCGTATGTCCAAAAGCATGTGAAAGGGCCAAAGTGGCTTCCTTTTGCCATTGGGGTATGACCAGGCTAGATCTGTTTCAACCCTCTTCTTGATGTCTTTAAATCTTCATTCAACACTTTTCTTTATCATATTTGTGATTTTTCCCCTTTTCACTTTGGCAGCTTCCTGCCCTACTGATGTTTTCTTCAGCTAGTGCTGCTTTTGGAGGTCTGCCCATCCTTTATTGTGCTCAACTATTCTAGAAAGTAGACATCTTTGTGTGGCATAAACTCAAGAAGTCGCAATTCATCATGTTCTGCATGTTTTATATAATGTTCTACGTGTTTGTGTTAATGACTACTTTGTACAGAATGGAAGGTTGTCACGGGAACATGACATGAAATAATCTATGTAACATTTTGCTTTTCATAAAAATTATCCTTCTGTTGAAGGTGGGAATTACCATTTGAGATGTAGCATGTAAGATGAATTTGTTTTATTGCTTTTCCTGAGTTATTATGGTCATAGATTCTTCTTGAAAATGAGAAATTATCTATTTAATATTGTGTTTTGCATGAAAGATCGACCTTTTGTTGAATAGAGGGATTACCATTTGAGATGTAGCATGCAGGATGTATTGGTTTTATTGCTTTCTGTGAGCTATTTTTGTGATTAGATCAGATCTTTTAGACTTTCATCCCTAGTCTCTAGTTCCATAAATGCTTCACATTGCAGGCATTTATTGAGGGACATCTAATGTTCCTATGATAAACAAATTACTTACAGAATATTATTTAACTTTTTTTTGACTTGAAGAAACTTAAAACTTATGTGTTTTTAGGCAGAACTACTCGAATTCTTACCTTTCTGGATGTGCATTTTCTTGAAAATTAGCCTCTCTTTCAGTGCCTAAGTTGCTTTTTTTTTTTTTAATAATTAAATTTACAGGTTATGCTCTTCCAATGTTCATGCAACTTACTGTGACATCCTACTATGCTGCTTCAAGTGCATCTCATTATGGAATTTCATTGCTCACCAGACATGTCGAAGAGACTCATGCTACCAGAATTCAACAAAAGGAGCTTAGATGATTAAACTACTTGTTTCACTTATGTAAGGAACCTCAAAATTATTAGATTCATAATCTTGACAATGTGTTTTCTTCCTTGTTTGTAAGAATTTCAGTGTGCTTGTAACAAGTGTCAGTTGTTATATATGGGAGGACATGCAGATGATTTCACATTGTGATTGAACAAAATTCACTCAAGAACAAGTTCTGGAATGCAGTTTGAATAAAAATGATGCTTCCGTGCTTGTTTGAATAGTCCGCCATTTTGTTTTTTCACAGGCAATGGCCAGTGGCCACCCACTATATACAAGGTCTGGTACTCCGTACTCATGTAAAAAGTGATTTCTATCAATCAAATGCTAGCATTATTTTAGCTGGATGGATGGAAGCATTCAAGTGGGTCATCAAGGTACACGACCTGGGGCTTGCGCAGAGATTGGAGATCTATTAGTTTTTACTCATTATACATGTCCTTGCTATTTGATGGGGATGTGTGAATAATCATGTCTGGAGATCAATTAACCTTGATATTTGATAGGGATGTATGAATAATCATATGTCGGGGGATCAATTTGTTTAGTAAATTAGTTCACCTAAACTGACCCTGAAATGAAATTCACCAAGTTAGGATGTGGATGTTGACTATGATATGATATGATATGATGGTCCAGTTATTCATTGTTGAACACTAGATGATACATACATACAGGTGGTACCAGCACAGTTGTGTGGTGGCAGTGAGCAGTATCAGAATCTCTCCTTGTCGCGTTCGCGTACATTTTGATTGACTGTATGTGGTACATGTACTCACCTAAGAGTTGCGACCATCAGTAAAAAATGAAAAATAAAAGCAGGTGTATTGTAGTGTGTCTTGCCCTTCCATCTTAATGAATGATCTAATTCAAATTTTGTTCTCTTTCATGGAAGTAACAGGTGCCTGGCTGTCTGCGCATGTTAGCATGAAAGCGCTGTTCAAACTGTCAACCTCGTTTGCAAGCTTTATAGGGATGTGGGCCGATGTAACTTGAATTCCATTGTTGTGTGTTCTTGGAGGTGTGGTCCTAAGTTGCACAATGAAGGTACGCTTCATGTGTCTTTGTTCTGTTCCTCGGCCCTTTCATATGTCAACTTTTCTGTACATTTGTTTGTGTAGGTATACTCAGTAGTCCCCACCCATGTATTAATTGGTGGGCCTCCAGATAGTTGGCCTGTAATGTCGCCATGACAGTAATATGGTATGGCAGTACCTCTGGTCTGAGATTTAATTCTTGTACTCTGTTGTGAGATATATATATTACTGGAGATTTTAATGACTCACTAAATGCAGTTACCCCCCCTCCCTCCCCATCTGACCACACACAGACTTACCTAGAGATCTTTTCTTTCACATGAAACCCAATTCCTGTGCTGCCTAAATAGATCTGTGATGATGATTGGTATATGGCTGTGGTTGTCATTGTCGCTGTTTACAATTACATGCTATTGTCTGTGTGTATGTGCGGGTGGGTGGGGGGTGTAATTGGCTGCAACAAATGGGATATCATAACATGTTGCAGTTATGTTGTGGAAGCAGTGCAGCCAGTCATTCTGAGTACTAAAATAATGTGGCTCCAATCTAACTAGTGGACGTTACAGAATCATTAGGGGTGAATCATGGTATTTTCTGGACTTTTAATCGCAGATTCTCATCGTTGGATATTCCTTTCCTGGTGCCTGTTTGGTAATGTCATCACTGTACTTGTCAGTCAACTTGTATACAGTTAATTAGTTGATGTATTGATTAAAGCTAGCTAGCTACGAGTTGATCCAACAGCTTGCCTAAAAATGATTGAATCGAAGCTACCCTTTTCTTATGCATAGAATGATGCACGTTAGTTACAGTCTAAGCTTGATTTTGAGGAAATAGGTGGGTAGGTAGACAGGTAGGTAGGTAGCAATGGGGGCGGGTCCATAGGGACTATATTTACTATGAAACGTAGAAGTAGTAGAGGTAGAGGTAGAGGTAGAGGTACAGCAGCAGCTGCAAGTGGACTCAAGAATGCCGCCTTAGCTTTCAATGCCATGTGGCGATGGTCATGTTTCTCTCCAAATCTTCTAACTAGATTTGCCTTTTACATCATTTGAAGTTGGACAGCTACTAATCTATGCAATCAATAACAAAAATCTCTTCTCCCAATTAAAGCTGATGATGACCTTGTAGAAATTTAAATTTGTGACCCAGTAAGGGCAAAAGAGTGTTCATAATGATTTTTGTAATCACAAGCAAGGATGTGCAGTATAATTATTGATGCTAAAGATTGATGTATGTGCTGTTAGCTATATATATATATTTATATTTTTATTAATTACCTGAAACTGCCCAGATGCTTTCCTATTTCTTGCCTGTTATTTAATGTTCTGCCTTTCCTTGTTTTTACTTTTAACAGCGAATCAACACCCCCCTCCCTTTTCTGCAGCAGTCATACTAGCATTTATTCTATAGAATACAAGTGGGAAGACTTGCTTTTCTGAATGTGAAAACTTGGAAAATACAAAGCCTCCCTTGTGAATATGCAGATAAAAAGTTGCTTCTACTCTTGGAAAAAGGGTAACAGAAAACACAAACATGCTAATCATTAAGTAGGTTGCATATATAACTCTAAGGTCGATCAAAAGACAACTGAGAATTGAACTAATTGGAAGTGAGGCTCATCAAATCATTTTACTCATGCAATAACAAGCATTACTCCTTGAAATTCCTCATATTAATCAGCAATGAAGTCCCAAGAAAATATTCAACTGACAACTCTCTGTGCTTGGAAAGATATATTGTTATGAGTCCATCCATCCATATACTTGATTCATAGATGCAAATCCAAACTCACGTGATTCTGCATGCCACTCTTTGATTCATAACTGAACCGACTCTGGGGGGTTAGAAGACTTGTACTATTTCTTATTGCTGGAATTGGCTTAATGCAGTCATCCTTGGAAGTGAACGTTGGAATCTGCTGGTGCATTGTTTCTGAAGCAAATGCTGATGAACTTTGAGAAAGTGGAATTCTCCGCAAAGTCAAGGGGCTCCCATTTATAGGCTGGGGATGATGATGATGAAACTGATGAATGCTATACGAGTTATGGGTTGCATAAAATTTGGCACCGGCGTTAGCACTGTAAGGGGTGCTGCTGGGATTCCAAGAATGATGATAAGCCATAGGAAGAGATGGCACTGATGATCCGTGGCGGCCATAATTTACTAGGCTGTAAACATGCGAATCAGACAAGTTTGCATGCATCATTTCAGACTGTAAATGTGCACGCTTTGCGTGTTGTCGCTCCCTCTTGTGGGCATTTTGATGGCCACCAAGTGCTTGAGATGTAGGGAAGTTCCTGCAGCAGTAGTGGCATTCGAATTTCCTGCTCCTCATCTCTGTATTATCGCTACGGGCCATTCCTTTGGTTGCTTCTCCTTCTGCAGAGTGATCTGAGTGGTCATCCGTGGTAGTATTTTTACCTCCGAATTCTTTGCCGAAAAGCCTAATGGCGCCGCTCTTGTCTTTACCCTGTGGTGCAGGTCGGATAAAGGGCAGCTGAGAGAAGGACTCGACGTCCATGAAGTCACGGGTTTCTCTGATCTCACTACTCTTGTCCATGGAAGTAAAAACTAAAGGTTAGTCCCCCCCCCACCCCCCCACCCTTGTTGATTTCTTCAAGAAAATATCATTGAAGGGAGAAATATGTATTGGTATGTGATGGGTGGATTATGTTCTTCGATAAGGGGGTTGAAGGAATGAAAGGTGGATTTTATTCTTGGGGGGAGGTCATGGTGAAGGAATAGAGGGTGCGTGGGACCTAACATGAAGTGGTCAAACATCCATGGTTTTAAGCTATATGCTCTTTTAATTTGATGAGTGAAGGGACATGAGGTCCCCCCTAGTTGATGTTAATATGATAGATGAATGGAATATTGTCGTTAATTATTAGTAGAACTCTTCTTGTCTTAGCTAAGCTAGCTTGCTTTCAATCAAGGTATACATACATACATACACACATTATATGCTTTAGCTTTCAAATTGCATTGACGCTGATTAATGTTAATGACGTGTTTTGGAGTTTATTGGTGCCCGTACGTGTGGTTGATTGATGGAGACGACAATATTAATCAAGAAGAGATGGCAATGATCATGAAAGAAAATCAGGAGTGAATCCATATATATGTGTGTGTCTGTGTGTCAATGGAGCCTGTCATTATAGTCATATTGTCTGATAATCTGATATACTTTGAGTGTCGCATGACCATTTGCTGGCTAGCTCTTCCTCACTCTGACGTTAAGTTAAGTTAAGTTCAATTATTCAAAGTATGTCATGTTCTTGTTTTTAGATTTCTTTGACGTGTGTAGCCAGCCAGAGTTTTAAGCATGTATGTACGCAGGTAACTAATAAATTTAAGAAGAGCTTGAAAAGAATGAAGATAAGACATTGATGAGAAGCAGCTTGCAACTTGGTGCTGTCACTTTTCATATCCCTATTGATAATTAAATGCAGCATTGATGTTGCCCTAAGTTGAGCAGTTAATCATATGTGGAGAGAGGGAGAGAGAGAGAAGATTGGGTGGGTGATGGGAAATTGGGAATGGTGGTGAGGACCAGCTAGGAATAATAAGTACCTGTTGCTGCTGCTTCTTAATTGATACTTGGCTTGTTATGATCAGTATTTCTTGGAGCCATTATTATATATACATGGTGGTGGTCCTTCAAAAGGTATGTCTTTTTCTGATAACATGGGAACTTGCATTCGCTACTCTTCGGGTGTGCTCTGAGTGGCAAGTCATGCTAACTGAATCATATGTGGAAGAAAAGACCTGGAGGCGTTGGGGTTTAAATCCACGATCTCAGGGTCACGAGTCCTTCCCCACGCTGCCAGACCATTCTTTACGAGACACATATGCATCTATTCTTATTACTACAAGAAGGAAATATACACATGTACGTAGATAGATAGGCATATATTAATAGCTAATCAAACATGCTAGTACCCCCCCTTGAAACTTTCTCCACATGCATCAAGCATAAATATCCATACATTAGGGTCCGCATGCATGCAGTTACATTGATTTGAATCAGCAAGTGCATTGCTGGTAGTTATTGTGGAGAAAAATGCAAGTGTGCAATTTGGGTAGAGAGTGAGTATCTGTAGCTACGAAAGAAGGGGTGTGTATGTATGTATGCAGCAATATGCATGTGGGGTGCATTGAACCTGGCACAGGTTGTTGATTCTTTATTTGGAATGGCATTCATAGGCATAGATAGGCAGGCTGGTGCCAGCGCGATGTTATGCAGTTTAATTTGTTGTGTTTCCTTATTTGGTGCAATGCAATCATTTAAATAAGAGGGAGCACAGGAGAGTGTTGTGCTGTCTGTATAGTTTAGTAACTATAGCATAGTACACAGTAGAGTACAGTCAATAGTGTATATGATAGCAGTGCAGTGCAGTGCAGTGCAGTGCAGACATTCATCCCTCCCTCGCTAGCTCCATTGTTCTTTATTTAGGAACTCCTTTTATGTGTACAATACTAGTATAAGTGGAAGCGGAAGAGGAAGAGGAAGAGGATTAGAAACTAGACAGACAGCCATGGATTGGAATTGGATCCATCCATATATGTGCCTGGGCACTCTGCTGCTCTTGATCTGATCTGATCCCCTCCCATCCCATTCCATTTTGGGGAAGGTATACATATACATGTATCGTAAGTAGTCGTACTTGTTGTGTATGTGGATGGGTGGATGGATAGATACAATCTTCCTATAGATATATAATCTTCCTGTGTCAGTGTGTATAAAATATGTATACCAAGTAGTTTACATATAAAAGTAAAAAATAATGAAAATATTTAAAAATGTGTATCTCCATTGGAGATGGTCTTATATATATGTATTGCATGCATAAATTATTATTATCTCACTTAATTAGCCTGCCCTGCCGCCTGTCATGCATTGGAATTGAATTGAATATATTTAATTTAATTTAGTACTACTATTCTTACCTATATTATGGAGTATAACGTTGACGTCGCCACGATGATCATTAATATATACTAGTATCAATAATAATAATAATAATAATAATAGCAGTAATAATCATGACGCCACGTACAAGAAATGCATTGATTTGAAAGTAGCTAGTTCTCACCCATATGTTGTCGTTTGTTGTGCCTTGCTTTTCCTGCTACAAATATATCTATGCTTTTATGCGTACATATGGGAATGATTAAGATGCCCGATTGGGTTAATCAACATATATAACGGAACTAGAATATTAATAGAGAAGGGGCAAAATTTTTAAATTTACAAAATAAATTTTTTATTTGTAAAATAATACTACTATCATTCCCTTAATAATTTTATATTTATTTTTTTGCTTATTAATATTAAATATTAATTATTACATCAAATATCGTCCAAATAAAAAAAAAACAATATTTTTTATTAGTAAATATTGATATATTATATTTTGAAAAAAATAAAACTAATGCACTTTCTTATTAAAAAAAATCAACACTTTGACAAATAAAAAAATTTAATAAAATAGGATAAAAGTGAGGTTGGAGTGAGGCCCCCTTAATAGGTCCGCCACTGTATGTATATATATATATATATGAAATCAGCATATGATTTGCATAGATACATTAAGTATGTGTTGCGGGGAGATTGTTTTTGTATTTTTATTTTTTTTAAGCTTTATATTTTATTTGTATGTTGTGTTTATTGTATTTTCTTTTTTGGGTTTATATTGTATTTGTATGTTGTGTTGAAAATTAATTAACACTCACGTGCAGTGGGTCGAGTGAGAGTGAGAGTGAGAGTGAGAGGAGTGAGAGGTCCTTGTATAATTCCCCAATGAAGGTCCTTAATTTTATTGAATTAGTTAACTATAAAGTAGCTAGCGTACCCCAAATTAAAGCTTAACTCAGATCCATGCACCACAGCCACAGGCTCACAGATGGAAGGAACACTAATGCAATTAGCCAGCCAGCCTGCATGCATATATCATCATCTCACCTACTACTACTACCATTGTTGCCATGGCGAAGTCTTAGGCGTGCTGGCGGTGCACTTCACCGCCAGGGCAGTTCGCCTCACCATTTGGCGAGGCCGGTGTCTAAACATCGCTTTGGCGACGCCAAACAGCGAGTTTCGGTCATGGATCTGATCCGGTCTATTATTATTGTAGGTTTATTGAAAAAAAATTCTGAAAAAAAAATTATTAGAATTTTAGTAGTGATATATTGGTATTTGGTATTTTGATGGAGATGATTAGTAATTTAACATTATAATTTTGCATTGAATTAGAACTTTGTTTGATATTTTATTTGAAACTAGTAATTTAAAGTTATATTTTTGTATTATATTATAAATTTATAATAAGTAAGTCGCCATATAGCAAAATTGTCACCTAGGCAATATGGCGGTCATACATAGCCGTGACAACCTTGACTATTACTACTACTACCGCTACTAGTTGAAGTAGTTCGTATATAGGACACTAGTTTATATATATATATATAGCCATGTGCTATCCCTTTCATTGACCGTGACCGAGTGATAGGAAAATGTACATATTCATCAATCAAACTATCTGTCTATCTATCTTTCACCACACAAATTTTAAATCAATTCAATTATCTTTTTCTTAACTTTTCAGTAAGGTAGACACTTTTGCGGGATGAAAGAAGTAAATATTTTTTTTCCGTTTCTTGCTTCAACCTATTACTATTATTATTATTGTTGTTGCATTTAATTAATTAAGAAACTATTTGGATTTTTATTACTCATTACTAGCTGCTCATCATCATCATCATCCTTTATATAATAATTAACTTAGTCTATACAAATTAATGTCATAGATCAACCTTGGCTTTCTTGATAAAGTTTTGCCTAATTAAATGTTAATCGAGTTCTTATATTCATCATTGTCTTTTTTTTTTTTTTTTGGTATTTTTTCTTTTATTAAGCTTATGTAGTTAAATTGTTTCTGGGTTTCTAGATAATCAGAAGATTAAGGTTTATATATTTTTCCTCTCCCCTATAATCAAATTAATACATGTATAATGATTCATTTCTTTTCATAGCTTTTCAATTGAATTAATACATGGTGTTTGTTTTATACACACTCTCTCTCTATTCTCCGTCTTTCTCTGCATATCTATCCATCCAAAGTATATATATATATATATATATATATTCTTTTTCCACTAATGATATTTATGGTCAAAATAAAAAACAGATAATTGAAAAAAAGAATATTCAATTTTAGACTAAATTTTCTCATTATAAACAATCTAAATTTTTAGTCCTTATAAACAATCTAAACGTAGCGGTTTTGATGTGATATGTATAGGATGATGTTTCTTACTAGAGCCCATTCCTAGCGCACCAGAGAGCTACTTATTCGGCAATGTATCTGCCTACGTACTTTTGTAAGAATGATTTTGCTAGTCCTGCTGTCTGTATTCATGCCTCTGGACAACGCATATATACGGAGTTCCGGCGCCATCTAATGCCGGAGCCTGTCGACGTACAGAGCTCGAGCCACAGCTTGCTCCTCTGCAATCCCGCGAACAAATGGACAGAGAGAGGGATTAAGCTTCCTTCAGATGGACCGCAACATTGTCTCCGGCGAGAGAGGGAGTGATGTCGTGACAATTCTCGGCGGATACTTGTATCATTACAACTTGAAAAACTCAAGTAATGAAAATGGTGGCGAGATAAAAATAAGATAATAAATCTAACATGACTATGTTAGCCTAGTAGAATTAGATCTTCGAACCGGGAGGCATTCTTTCTTGAAAAAACTTTCAGTTACTCTTGCCATCCTTTTCTACTATAAGATAATAGTAATATTGTTATCGAGATCTGAGATTACAATCCTAATATATTATACCCGTTTAATAATTCAATTAATAATTTCTTATGAAAAGTGGTGGTTTGTGTTTGAAATAGAAACTAAACACAATTGAATTTGTGAAATTTTGCTAAAAAAAAACTTATTTTGTTTTTTTTAATTGTTGATAGTATTATGTAGAGTTTTTAAAATTAATAATGGTCTCATAACATTAGTTATATCTCTTTGATTATATCATAATCAAAATCAATCATTACAAGAATTCAATCAGTTTTGGAGGGGGATTGAGTGTCACCAATCTCCTCTCATTAGTTTTTTTTTTAAATAAAAAATAAAAAAGAAAAAACACGAATTCAATTAGTTAAAGAAATAAACGCGAGTCGGACTCCGCAGACGTCAAAATGAGAAGTTGTTGGGCTTGGGTTTTTGTTTTATTTGGGCCCAACTAGCGCTTGCCAGATATATGTACACTATTCATTTCTTCTAACCGTCGTCGTTTTGAGATGGTTGATTTGATATGAACTGAGAAGATCGTTGTACCGCACCGCATCGCATCGCATCTCTCGTCTGTCGTCGTAAACTTGTGGGTGAATCTTGCGGAAACCCCAGTTCAGGATTGTTATCGCAAACAAAACGGGTTGGGCTTGTGAGTTACCGTTATCTGCATTCAAGAACCGACTTTTCTTCTGGGATGATCGAAGTTTCTATGTTGAATGTCCCGCGATTCCCTTTTTTTTTTTTTTTCATATGGTTGATTCATTTTATTATTGTCATGAAATTCAGTGATGAAGGAGAAAAATCAGGCCACGACGTCTCTACTAAAGAAGATCCTGGTCAATTGCTCAGCTCAGGTTTGTTCCGTTGACTTCGCAATGTTCAGTGGTTTACTTAATTCTTGCATTAGCTTCTCTCATTGATAAGTAGCGTGTTGAGGCCTCTAATCCTAGTGTTTGTGATAGGGCATTTTGAAATGTAATTGACGAGAGCATATGTAATGCTGAATTGAGAATTGCCTGCCTGGCATGCTATACCTGAATGAGGACAATATGCTCTTCTTTTATTCATTGCCAAATTGCAGCCTTAGGCTATCTGTGGAGTGCAAAACAACTGGGCTCTGCCCTAATGTGGTTATTATTATTAATAAACCATATGACCTCTGTCCTTATGATAGATACGGTGTGGACTCACACATGAACCGTATGTTTGGCATCTGTTTCTGTATTATTCGACTGTAGCCTTGTGTTTGGTTGAGTTACTGGTCTGAGCATGTGTTTCTGCAACTTGTATTTTATATTCTTGGAAATATTCCTGGCTTGGTGGCAATTTGAAGTTTTTAAAATTTTGTTCTCTGTTCTAAGTTGTTTGTATACTATACGTGTTGTTGCTCATTGCCAATAGACTACACAATCTTACCTTTCTGTAACTTAACATGATTTTATTCATCTTTATATTGTGTATGGCTTCCTTCTAGTTTATTTTTCAGTAGCAACGTCTGTTTCAGTCCAAAAATGTGATCATTTTGTCTTTTATTCGTGTTCTTTGAGTAATTGTTTTGATGCCAGCATATTTCTGATTTCCTTGATGTGTAAATGGTATTTTTGGGCAGGCCAAACAGTATGGTAGTTGTGTTTCCTCCAGGGTTCCTCAAGTTGAAAAAGACATGTGTTTAACAGAATTCCTTGCATTAAAGAGTTGCATGCAGAGTGTGGTATTGGATGCATATATATGTGTATATATATATATATTAGTTTCCGTGTGACCGGGGTTACATGTGAAATCTACTATTTTACCCACCTACTTTCTGTTTGCGCTAACATCACAATGGATTGTTCTCTGTTCTCTTCAGCTGCGTGGGAAATTTTAAATTGGTAAAATACATCAACTGAACATTACAGACTTCAACTGTCTTGGTAATGCTTATCGCTCCAGATATTTTTTCTGCTTACATTTGCACTCTATGTATCTAAAACTTATCTGTGTTTAGATTCATGTTATTTCTCAATTTTACTCATTCTAAATGTCTCTCATCTGTCACTCACTTACAAGGTTGACAAGACCCATCTGCCAAACTTGTTCTTAATCAAGGAGAGGGATTAACATGATTGGCGAAGCATCTTCCTCTAATCAATCATCTTTCAGTGGATCCAATGCATTGTCTCATGTTTATATCAATTATCCACAGCTGAAATGCCATGTTCCTGGAGCAAGCAGTTTCTTTTATGATGATGGGAATAAATTAATTCTCTCATTGACATCTAGTCAGGTACTCATTTACTGAGCTACATGCAGAATGCTATTTTTAATATTCTTCCTTAAATAATTGTTGTGGCTTCCATAGGTTTTTTCATGGAAAACTACGCCATATAACCCTTATGTTGCTCCTTCATCTGACACAATTAGTGAAGGGCCTGTTCTTTCTATTCGATATTCATTGGATCTCAAGCTTTTGGCTATCCAGCGATCTATATATGAGATACAGATCTGGAACAAAGAGACTGGAGAGACATATAGTCAAAAATGTAGGCCCCAATCAGAAACTATTCTGGGATTCTTCTGGACGGATTCTTCAACCTGTGACATAGTGTTTGTGAAAACCAGGTATCTTCTTGAAGCTCTGTCTAATGAATCTCTGTTTGCATATTTGCTCTTGCATTATATATGACAGTGGGCAATAAATTGTGATGCATTTCGAGGGACCATGTCTGTTTAGGAACCCTGCTGAATGATGCCAATGATTCCATTGTAGAGCAATCTAGTTTGAGGCATGATTCATACTTGGCTGATGTGGTGCCTATTTTGTTCATGATAGTTGCTGATGTCAAGTCTGAGGTTCGCTTTTCTGTGAATGAGGCACTGCTGGTGCTTCTGTCTTAAATCTTGTAAAGCCACCATATTCATTTTTTGGTCAATGCCTGCTTTGGCAGTGTGATCTTAGTTTCTCAAGATGTGCTGCCACTTGTACCACAGGCCAAATGAATTTCAATGCAGCACTACTTAAAAATCTACTTTTTGAAACCAGCTGCGCCACCAGCCCACTACACATAACTATTCCAACTTTGCCAAACTGCTAGCCTTCACTAGTAACATAATTTTGGATGGCATGGTCTGATTGTTAAATTGAACATTATTGCCCCATGATCAAAACTTGGTTGATATACTTGCCATTGTGTGACCACAGCTGCAATAATGTCTGTGAAAACTCTGTGTATAATGGCTGTGTTATTTTGATTTACTAAACCCATGTGTGATTGCAGTGGGCTGGATTTATTTAAGTACGATGATGAGTCCAGGTCTCTTCATTTAGTTGAGGCAAAGAAAATGAATATTAGCTGGTATATCTACACCCATGAAAGCAGATTGGTGTTGCTTGCATCCGGAATGCAGTGCAGGAGCTTTACTGGTTATCAGGTAAGAGATGTTCTAATTGTATTGGGCCCAAAACCTCCATGTACTTTTGTTATCAAGCTCAGCTAATTCATTGAGTGCTAACCATGAAATCATGTTAGCAATGATCAATAGTCTTTCACATTGATAATTTAACAATGATGGCTAGTCTTTTCACATCGATAATTTAATTATCCAGCTGATCCTCAGATCATCATACTTGTAGAACCTGTTGGAGTGGTCCTTATGAAATGGTGAGGAAATTAACGAGGTGTCTATGAAGAAGGGGGTGCTTGTTGACTTGTTAAAAACTCAGTGATGAGAGAATTTCTTATAACCTCAATTTGGTTTTGTATTTGTTCTATGTTTTATGATGATCCAAAAAATGAGTCACAAGCTTACTAGTGATGGTAGTTTTTTTGTTTTTTTATTTTTAATGGTTGAATCAAGTACTCAATTGCACATGTAATATTCAAAGAAAAATAACTTATTTTGCCAATGCTATGTGCTATCTACAGATGTCATCTGTTGGAACTGTCAGATTACCTAAGTTTGAGATGATGATGGCTAAATCTGCAGCAAATGTTAAGCCCATCCTTGCTGCTGAAGATGTGCATATTATTACAGTGTATGTTCTTTTAGATTTCTTAGTATAAATGAACTTTTGGTTGGAGTAAAATTTCGTAGACTTTTTCTTACTGTCCATGTCCGATTACAGGTATGGCAGGATTTATTGCTTACAATTTGATAGAGTTGCCATGGTCCTTCATTTGTATCGATTTTATCGAGATGCTGTCATACAACAGGCAAGTTTTACCGCAAAACATTAATGAAATAATGTTTGAATATCTTCTTTAGCTGAAGATCAAAAGAGTCTTATTTGCATAAATATATAACATTTGGAATTTTTTTAAGAATAAGGAAGAAAAACACTATCTCCTACAGAGGTTAAAATAATTCAATCTAACTGGAGTTGTTGAGAAATGAGAACAAAATCAAGCTTACCACAATATGTGATGCTTCTTGTTTGATTGTTTCCACAAAAGCAGACAACATGGAGGAATCTTTCTTACTGCTGATCTCATAGAAATTCATGTTATAGTCAGAGATTCCTAATTTACTTGGAAAATTTTCAATCTTTTGTATAATTTATAATGGGAATTAACTGAGTTCTCCTGAAATTGGTCCTCAATCTGACTGACATATATACATTGTAATTTTCATTCCCATAGTCAACCAATGCCTTCCAAATCTTAACATAAAAAATCTTCAAGGGTAAACTAGATTATTAAAATAGAACTCACCTTGTACCAACTCTATGATGATTTACAAGGCATTTGTCTTTGCTAATATGCAGAATGCATTCAAAGATATTTCGATTACTCTTTATTTGGTACACCTAATTTTATTCTGTTTCTGCTATGATTTTCTTCGTTGTATTACAGGGTTCTCTGCCAGCTTATTCCAATAGAATAGCTGTGAGTGTGGTTGACAATGTTTTGTTAGTTCATCAAGTGGAAGCAAAGGTTGTCATTATATATGATCTATTTGCAGATTTACAAGTGCCTCTCTCTGCTCCACTTCCACTTCTGTTAAGAGGGTTCCCTCGAGCAAATGTCACATCCTCCCAAAAGGCATCTTCAGACTCAAAAAATATTAGTGATACCGAATTAACTGTCTATGGAGATCAGTGGAATTTCCTTGTGCCTGATCTTGTGTGTGATGTTTCTAATGGATTTCTATGGAAACTCAATATTGATTTGGAGGCAAGTTTTGACATCTGACAGCATTACGAGAGAGTGCCAGTTTTTAGTGTTTTACCTGATTAAATTTTGTTGGCAGGCAATTTCAACCAGTAGCTCAGAAGTTCATCTGATCCTTGAATTCTTGCAAAGAAGGAAGTTGGAAGCAGAAAAGGTAAACAAAACCAATGTAGCTAATTCATGCCTCAATAGTTATGGTTGGTATAAATGCATGACATCACTCTGCAATACTAACTAAACTGATATGCAAATAACCGATGGAATGCTAAATTTTTAGGATGTAAGATGTTTCAAGCCTGTCTTAATGTTTCATGTTTTTATTATGGAGTAGCATTAATCTGATATTACCTATGGTTACGGTTGAGCCGGAGTGATTCTTAGCTGATTATCAGTGGCTCTAGCAAGATAAACACCTTTCATATTTGCTTGTCTCAGGCTAAACATTTGTGCTTGGGAATTGTTCGCACTATTATTTTGGAACGAAAGCCTATCCCAGTTGTTGCAAAGGCCATAGATATTCTACTCTCAACATATTCTCATGCGATCAAAACAGGAAGTTATTACAAAAGAATTACTGCTGAAGAAACTCCATACGGTTCTTCCAGCAGACCTTCTCATGTTGTTGAGGAGTCCATAAATCAGATTGACTCATCTGAAAATTACATCAAACAAGAATCTGAAGGTGTCCCTGAGAATGTATCTTATGACAGATCTCAGTTGGAAACATCGGATTCTGATAGCAGTCTGAAATCGAACTCACGTAATCCCGATTTTTTAGTTGGAAAAGGAGAGAGAGCTAACTTGTTGGAGCCTGATACTGCAGGCTGGGAAGTTCCTCCCAGTGGACAGTCTCATAGTCAACGCTCTGACAATGACCAGTTAACTTCTAATCCTTCGGAGCAGCGTCAATCTCAAGTGACGTCGTCTGGTGCTACTTCACCTGCTGATTTGTATAACTATGTATTTGCTCCGGTTGAGGAAGAGATGGCAGGAGATGGATCTTACTTGATGGCTATCATTGTTGAATTTCTTCGAAGGTATTTTTGGCAAAGGATATTACCTAAAGTTATTTCATTATTATATAGCTTCTGTGACAATGAAGCCAAGAAATTGATCAAACTCACCTGAAATTATTGAAGCATTAATAAATTAATATATTCTTTCGTTATGGACTGTTGTTTCTTTAGGAAAGGATACTCACTGAAAACATTATCCTTGTGTCCTTATTATCCTTTTCCTATTCTTGCTTCCCTGACTATTGCTAAGTTAGGTATTGGTTACCTTTCATTTGTGAGGTTGATGGTAGTCACTAATCACTTTGCTCATCTGTTATGGACCCTTTGCAGTGCTAATTTTGAAAAGCTAAAGGCGCATCCAGATACCTATGTCTTGATGGTACAAATACTTGACAGGGATGAGCGACATGCTGATATTCAATTATTTGTGACAAGCAAGGTACACCTCTCACTTGAATTTGTGGATTGGAAGAGAATAAAATCTGCTATCATGTAATTAGCAGATCATGTTTGGCTGAATATGAGTTCCCAACTTAAAAATAGATAATTATAAAATGCAGATCATTGAGCCTTCAAAAGAAGTAGCATTGCAGCTAGTGGAGTCTGGCAGACATAACCTTCATATAAGGAAGTTGGGTCTGGGCATGCTGAGGCAGCTCTCCTTGCATCATGACTATGTAATGTTACTTGTGCAAAATGGATATTATCTTGAAGCTCTACGGTATGCAAGGAAAACAAAGGTGATGTTCTGCTAGTTGCGCATTTCAATTTTACTTTGGAGAACTTTCCATCAGCAAGCAAGCACGTGTGGTTTTGGTGGTTTGTTTTGCTTGGAATTGCATGGCTTGCTGAGCATAAAGAATTGCCGTTGGTGTGGATGTTGAACTTTTTACTTTCTTATCCCTCTGTCTGATCCATGGATTGCAGGTGAACACGGTGCAGCCCTCTTTGTTTCTTGAAGCAGCCAAGAGCCATGCATCCAAGGATACACAGCAAGTAGCTGCAGTCCTGAGGTTCTTTTCGGATTTCATACCTGGGTTTAAGCAGTCGAGCAATTACCACGAGTACTTGGGCGCCATTGCTGCAGATATGAATTCTTGAGTTCCAGATTTCACAACAACCAAGTGGCAGGCATCTTATTAATAATGAATGGATGAATGATGTATGCTGCGTGCCAGCTACCCGTCTCTCTCTCTCTCTCTCTCTCTCTCTCTCTCTCTCTCTCTCTCTCTCTCTCTCTCTCTCTCTCTCTCTCTCTCTCAATCTCATGATTCTATATTAATTATATTTGAACCAGACCTAGATGGCATTTTTGGATGGGTTTAGGAATCCTTCCTGTTGCATGCATGGTCTGTGTACTAGATTTCTGAATTTTTAAAACTTATGGGGAAATCAGGTGTGTTGTCTTTCCCCTTGGCTGCAATGTTTGGTGCCACAGACATAATTTACTTACATGCAGGCATCCATAGATGAGAGTGTTGTGTAAGGTGATAGTTATGATTCAGTGATGATATTAAAGGATATACATTATATATGTGTGTGTGTGTAGAAACGGAGAGTTAATACTGTGAAGGAGCGATGCAATCAAGGTGATTGGCAGACAGGTAGGAAGCAAGCAAGCAAGCAACCTTAGTATATATATTATTAGATTTCCTAAGACTTTCAATCTGACAACCGGTGGTCCAGAATCCAACAATTCCAAAAAAACAAGGGCATCTATTTCAAAGCTCAAGGGAGAGAAATAGCTGCAAAGCATAGAATGTGGGGTTGAGAAACTAGTTTTCGAGAGCATTCAAGGACTGTGAACTCATTTTTGCTTCCATTGGAGTTCTCTTTTTCTATCTATACGCAATCAAATGCAATAATATTTGAGAATATAAGGAGGATATAATATCAAATTATTATTATTATTATAATTTCTTTTCAATAAAAATAAAATTATAAAGAAAATGAAATTACATGAGAAGGTTCTTAATACAATGACAATACAACAAATAATAACCGAATTTATCTAATCCAAGCTAATAATAAACAAAATTCAACAAAATATGATATATTAGATAATAAATTTAATGAAACATAATGCCAAAAAATAATAAAAATATATCCGATCAAAACAAATAATAAAATACAGAATAAAAATAGCAACTAACAGGTGTGATAAAAACAAGTTTATTTTAGTTCCGGTGGACTATTTGAACAGATGCTCCGGTGGTGAAATTCCGGCGCCGCTGAGGGGCGGTGACGGCCCGGCGTCTGCTCTGCTGGAACACCACCAGGACTACCCGCTGGATAAGAAAGAATTGAATTCAAGAAATGCTAAGAACATCCATCCATCAAAGCAAGCTCATTGATCCCAAATATCCGGGAACTTTGCTACCACCAGAATCAAGACTGCTAGCATGTTCGACTACACCATTGAGTTCCGGTAGTCCGTCGTGTACATGTATATATATTTATACTACAAGAGGCATCACGAGAGACCGTATTTGAAATTGATAGAGAAACAGTATCCGAGAGCTGAACACAAAAAAATATATATATAAAAACACTTAAATTTCAAAGCTATGCTTCCAAGGGAAACAAATTTCTTAAAAAGAAACATTAAGCTATAGAAAAAAAAAAAAAAAAGACAAAATTCATAGTTTATGTATTCTCAGAATGTGAGGAGCATTTGATTTACACAGTAGAAGCTACGTCTGCAATCAATAGAAATTAAAATGAAATCACTCTCATCAAAAGTGAATAGCCTGAGGCGAAAGGAAAACATGAAAGGGAGGCGCGTTCTCCGAGTAGCAGACGACCTACCTTTAATTTGCATGCCGTTGAAGCCAGTTTCTGCTATCTCCCTAACTGCCAAAGGGTTTCCAATCTCCCTAGTCGGCCAAATATCATCCCCAATCGACCATTTCTCTCAATCTCCCTAATCGGGCAATGCGGAATGGCTTGAATCTTCCTATCGGCCTATTCGCATCCACTTATCGGTCATTTCCTATGAGCTCCAGTATTATTTTTTTTTGATCGGAATTAGCTCTAGTATTGAATGATGGATGGGTGGGATGTGCAGAATAATCCTCTCTTTTTTTTTCAAAAAAAGTATTATTTTAAATTATATTTATTTTTTATTATCATTGTATTATTAAAAATTTTTATTTTTATGTCCATATTGATATGCTTGCGGTTTTAATACTATTTAATAATTATATTATATTGATATAAATGTAAATATTTTGAAGGTAGAGCCAAAGATCAACCAAGAGAACAATCAAGGAATGACATTTTGAGAGTAAGTAAAAGTTAAAATCAAGAGAGTTGTATTAACAATCAGTACCACAGCCAGCCGAGGAACAGAAAAATCATTTCAAGTGGCAAGCGTTACAACAAGCCATATATTACTAGTGTTTTGATATATATTTGAATCCCTTTATAACGACTTAATGATACCATCAAATATTACTCTCTCACCTCTCTCAGTCTCAGTTGAACATTTGGGTCCCACACATGAATTAAGAAAAAATAAAATATTATTAAAAAATAATAATAATTTGGATATTTTTAAAATTTAATTAGAAATTAAAGAAAATAAAAAATATATATATAATAAATGTAGTATATTTGTTATAAATAAATATTAAACGAAATATAATCCTTAAATATTGATTTATTGCATTGTCAAAATGAATAATATAATAAATTTAACAGGCAAATTAAAATAAAAAGTAACAATAAATTTAACTAACTTAGATAATACATATTTCTGTTCGGTCCTTTTTATTTATGCATAATTTATTTATAATAAATAATTTTATTTACTCATAACTTTATTATATCTACTTTAGCCCACAATAATTAATTTATTATTATTTTTAATTTACTTTACAATTTTTTATCCTTTTTTAAATAAATTTTTCATAGTACTACTTTATTTTACTTTCATGTCCGGGCAAAATGACATAAGAGGGCAGAGGGAGAAAACATTACCTTAAAAATGAATAATGAAATATAATTCAAAATTACAATTCAAGAAAGCCAAACTATTACTATCTTTGTCCCATAAAAAATGTCTATTTAATTGAAAGCAGATATAAAGTAGAATGTAAAAGAATAAATTATTATTATTATTATTATTATTTATTTTTGAAGGGTTTTAAAAAGTATATTAGAGTAATAATTAGAGATACTGGTAAAAAAATATAAATAATTTTGTTGTAAATTGGAGACAACGATAATTAAATAAAAAAAAATAAGACAATTATTTTGAAATAATGGAGTATTATTCAAAATATATTAAACATAATATATATTTTAAATAAATATCAATAAAGAAGTACTAAATAGATATAAATACATTAAGGTTTTACTATAAACTCTCAGTTTTAACTATTTGGGCTATGCATTTTCGAAAAAAATATATATATTTTTTTCACTCACAAAATATGTTATTATACATTAGTTTAATATTAAACTCAAACTTTTTCCAAATCAATCAAAAAAACATATTCTAAGTTGCAAAAATTAGATTAAAAGAAGAAAATTCATAAAAAAATAAAAGAGAGAAAGTAAAAAGAAGTATGAAAGAAAAAAAATAGTAAAAAAAACAAATAATAGGTGTGTTTGATTATATTTCAAACATATTTTAATATTATCAGCATAATTTTTAATTTGTCTTTCATAAATATCATATAAAATACTATATAAATCAAATTTTAAATTCAAATTAAAACCAAACAAATTCTTGTTTTAATTTTGTGTATGCAGGATAATAAAAACACACACAAATATATATAACAAACATGAATGAGTAAAATATAACTTTGAAGTATTCAAATTTTAGATTGGTATATATTGATATTAATATATAAATTATTTTCATCTTTTTTATTATTATTAACATTATAACAAGATAAATACATATGTGTGTATATATATATATATATGTGATCTACAATTTGAGAGTCAAGTCCAGATTAATTTTATCACGATCATCATCGCCGCCACCGCAAGGTGGTGCTGCTGCTGCTGATCTCCCTCTGGCATGGACAAGGCTGAAATGATCATCGGCCGCTGCAGCAGCAGCAGCAGTAGTAGTGCCATGGCTTTCCTCGTCGACGACGACGACCCCCATGAAATTCCTCGTAACCAACCCCGCGTCATCCCCGAAGACTATATGATCATTAGTTTCAGCATTAATATTATCATTATTATTATTGGGGATGGTATCGATGATCGGAGGAGGAGGAAGCGGAGCTGTGTCTAGATCGGAGGAGGAGGCGAGGGGGGAGGATGCCCCGGCGCCGGCCTTGATCTTGTTGTTGCTGTTGGTCTTGTTCCTGAGCTGCTGGGCCTGGGCTCTGAGGAAGTTGCGCTTGCGGTGGGTGATGGGGTCCTTGACGAAGAGGCGCTTCTCCTCCAGGCGCTCCCCCCGGTGGGCGTTCTGGTGGCCTCCCATGGCCTGCGCCGACGGGAACCTCTTGAAGCAGAAGGAGCATGTGAACTCCCACGCCCGAGCCTGCTGCGTCAGCTTCATCATCGCCTCCCTCTCCGCCTCCGCGTCGGCCGGATCATTCTCGATATTCATATTATTATCATCCATTAATTCTGCAGTACCCTTTCCCATCTCCATCTCCCTCTCCCTCTGCTGCTCCTGCATCTCTCACGCACTACAATTACTACTACTTACTGCAGAACCAGATCTCGACCGTTTGTGTGTGTGTGTGTGTATACATACATGATACATACATACATTATATATACATATATGCTGATGGATGCAGAGAGCGGTTTCTGAACTTTGGTGTTGCTGGTATATTGACGCAATCGTGTATACATATTATCCGCATTTAATTCTCTTATTTGGGGATCGGCTTGGCTTGGCTTTGGCTTACATACATATGATATTACATAGATATGAATTGAAAGCGAACAAAGGGTAGTTGAGAGGCAGGCAGGTAAGGTATCAGAGAGGGCGAGCGAGCGAGCGAGCCAGCCAGCCAGCCAGAGAGAGAGGCTTTTTACACCAAATTTAATTAAATAAGGCTTCTTCCACTCACCAAATCTAATTTAATTTATCCAATCATATTTATATATATATTTGTTTTATTTGGTTAAGGGGATTAGGGCAGAGGCGCCGCAGACCGACGGTTACGATTATAAGGCTGGTTACATTTTTATTTTATTTTATTTCATTTCTGTATTTTCTTCCCCCAGTCGAGAAATTACAAAAGAAAAGCACAAATAATAAAATTATATGTATTTATATATAAATACTAAAATACAAATACAATACATTAATACAATCCTGCTACGCCCAACACTCTCTATTTATTTATTTTTTTATGCACTGTTTCATACATTTTTCAAGAGGAAAATTCTATGCGTTAGGCAATAAATAGATTAAATTTTCTTATAAAAATATTATATCAAAAAAATACTATTCAAATCTAAATTCTAATTATAAAAAAAAAAAAAAAAAAACTAAAAAAATTCAAACCCTTCGTCTACTCGTATACGTACAACTTACTACCCATTCCTACAATCAAAATCTCACCTTTTATTTTCCCTACTACTACTACTAGATAAATAAATTTCTCAAGTTATAATATCATATAATGAAAAATTATATATATTTATAAATTATCAATTTACATCAATATTATACTACTAAAATATTAATTCAAGCGTTGTAATTTAATTGATGCATAGACATAGTGATGCTTATTTCAGTCAAAAATTGATTAACTATTTTATTATTATTAATTGGATACATATAAAATCAGAGTGTGAATTTTACATACATTTAAAGATGATATAAAAGAATATCTACTGTTCATAAATTTTTTCAATGCGTTCCATACTACGTAAGAAAGAGAAGAATCTCGTTACATATGCTATCAGCTCCTCGATACATGCTTCGACTTTATCTATTAGCGATCCATGGAATAGATCATTAAAGTTACGTTATACATGGCAAACAATATCATTTACTACCCGACATGCTTTAATTTTATTGCGTCATTATATTTTCGATCAAATAATATAATTAAAAAAATGTCGGTCCACGGCGACCATGCATGCATGGGATTGCCAACATAATATATATGTATGTATATAAATACAGTTTCACATGATTTAGTATCTAGTAATTAGAAATTTCAAATAATCCATATACTTTTCATTGTGTTCTCTTCCGTATGTAAATTCTATTATCCAAGATGATTCCGCTAATCTCAATTTATTATCTAATAGTATATTTTGTACATGTGTACTATTAAAAAATGGTATTACATGCAAATGAAATTGCTATAATATATATATCATCTGATTACTTTAGAGAAATAGTATTATATTAACAAGAAAGAAGAATTATTGCTTATAATAAAAATAATATTTCACGTGAATAATATTGAAATATTTGAGAAGATATAACATCCAAGTATCCCTTTGAATCTTATTAATTATAACATCAAGTATCCCAAGCCCAGCCCAACCCATCTCACCTAAATCCGGTAAGCAAAGCAGACCAATATCAAATGTTTTATTTACTTACTTTTTAAAAAAAAAAAAAAAAACTATTTATTAATAGCAATTTTTTTTGTATTATATTAAATATTTCACTTGTTATTATTTTAAAAAATTCAAATCTTAAAATTCCTCGATCCAAATGGAGCATTTTTGTTCTATTCTCATCCCCAACCTATCATATATAACAATGATTCTACAAATTCTTTTTCAGAAAAAAACAACAAATGGTTCTTCAAATTTAAACCAAACATGGTTTGCAGAGTGGAGTGGGGGCTTGACTGCAATAACAAACATGGTTTGTAGAGTGGAGTGGGGGCTTGACTGAAATAATTAAGGGAGAAGAGACGAGAGCTTTAGAAGGAACAAAAAAGAAAAAAAGAAAAAAATTGTTTGTAGAGAAGTTGAGTGACTCACTGAACATGAACATGAACATGCAATACAATTGTACGATGAAATATATAATGCATGATACAGCTTCTCAAGTTGGCCGTAGACCAAACACAATGATCATATCGAACTAAAACAAAAATCAGTTGGCTTTAGACCAAAGATAATAATCGAACTAAAAAAAATCTCGAAATATAACATGTACATATTGAATCAAACTCATATATCACCGTTGTCGCCTTCCAAATCTCTCCATCTCTATTGCCATCCCCTTTGTGATGCCTCCGACTTCATTATCTTTGCTCTTTCCAACTGCGGACCGCTCCTCCTGTGAGTCTTCACACATCGGGAAACAAGTAGAATTAGCTAGATAAAGTACAGAAAAATAGGTCATTGGTCGATTAATGTCATTGTTAGAATCCATATTGTTGCAGGTTCTCCAACATATATTTTTTCTATGATTGATGGAATTATTCATAATTGTAATTACGGGAATATAGAAATGTTTGGTATATGAAGACAAGATCTGATAGCTAGTCTTCCATTGTCCAAAGTAGTACTTAAATTTATAATTGTAAAATATAAACAACCTTAAATTCTTCTGAAGCTTAAATCTTTATTTTTAGTATTCGTTGTCTCTCTTGTTTTGCCCTTTGAAGACATGAAAAATCAAAAGCTCTGTCGAAGGAATCGCGCGTTGAAAGAAGCAATTTGATATAAAGGAGCGAAAAATAAAGTAAAAATAATTTGAATGGTACTTTAATCTATTTTTTGGCATTCAAATATTATTTATTGTGTCAGTTTGTATGACTTCAATGAAAAACCTCCTCGGAAGCAATCCAAGTTTTTCTAGCATTCAAATATTGTTTAATTGTGTATCATTTTATTTTTACTTTTTTTTAATCGACTTCAGTGAAAAAGCCTCCTAAAAGGCTATCCTATTATAATCGACGTAGATGATATATCATCAATTTGTGGACGCCTGTCTATCGAACAAATATCTAAGGAATATTAGACCACGTTGCAATGATTGTACATGTAATGTTAATTTGTATTAATTTTCTCCTATAAATAGTCATGTTATGCAATGAACTAATTTCACCCGTCCGCTCATCCTCTCGCATGTCCTCTTCTTCTCCTGTCTATTTACGTTAAATTTCTCTATACATATATACTGTACATATACATAAATATATAATAATAAATAATATACATATATATTATCACACATAACACAAGCCTCGTTCATACATATTATAATATATTTATATTATATCACAACACGTTATCAGTACGATTATATATTTTATTTTTCACAAGGTAATATTTTATATTTTATCTGTTTATTATGTCTAACATAGTCAAACAGGAATTTCTCCATATCCTCGTTTCTAGCCAAAATTATATGACATGGGCTCGCGATGTTAAAATGCATCTGGCATCAATGGGCTTGGAAAATACCATTGTCCGGGATAAAAACTCCCCGAGTCAAGATCGTACAAAGGCCATGTTCTTTTTGTACCATCACAGCGATGATGCACTGAAAATGCAGTATGTCACGCTGGAATCCCCTCTTGAATTGTGGGAGAGATTGAAAAAAATATATGATCATTTGAGGCTGACATTATTGCAAAGGGCACGAAGCGAATGGCAAAGCCTACGGCTTAAGGACTTTAAAACAGTCCAAGAATATAATTCTATTGCGTTTAAAATAACATCACAGCTGCGCCACTGTGGCGAAAATATATTTGAATCTGATATGATGGAGAAAACTTCCTCCAATTTTCATGCCTCTAACATGGTTTTGCAGTAGCAGAATCACGAAAGAGGCTTCTAGAAATATTCTGAGCTGATCATCTGTCTTTTGCTGGCCGAACAAAATAATGAATTGCTATTGAAAAATCACGAATCTCGGCCGACAAGTACAAATCCATTTCCATAGGCAAATGCAATACAACCGGCAAATCCAGTGTGTAGTCGTGGGCAAGTCAGAAATCAAAGAATTGATCGCGATCGAAATTAGAATCACGGACGGGGCCGGGCAAACGTATACAGTCACAATAATTATCAAAATAGGTCCCGATATGTGCCAAATCGGCATTATAATGACAGAAGGCCATACAGACCTCAACAGAGGTTCAACACCGGGAGAAACAGAAACAATGACGAGGAATGCACCCGATGTGGAATCAAAGGCCATTGGGCCCATGTTTGTCGCACAGTCAGTCACTTGGCTGAACTGTATCGGGCCTCAAACGAAAGACAGGGAAGAGTTGCTGCCGAAACAAACCACGCTGCCCACGATGACACATTTGACAATGTGATAAATGAAAATATCACGCACCTGGATGCCGATGATCTGCTTGACATAGCTGATGATGTTAAATGATAAAATATTGTTGTATCTCTTTTGTTATTTTGATGCTTTCTGCTCCCCTTTTTGTATTACCCTTTATAATATAAGTCTATTTTGATTATGTTATTAATACATGTCTTTTATTATTTTTACCTTCTTGAAAAGATATGGATGCCAAATACTTTGGAGCCGATGACAACATCTGCCTTATCGACAGTGCTACGACTATTGTTACTATCAGTGGTGCATCAAATGTTATTCTCCCACCTGAATATGAGAAAAAACCACTATTGTTACTATCAGTGGTGCATAAAAAATGATTGAAGACTGAGGAAAAGCTATTGTATATCTCCCAAAAGGGACAAAAATGACAATTGAAAATGTCTTGTTCTCGAGCAAAGCTCGAAGGAATTTGCTGAGCTTCAGTGATATTCGGAAAAATGGGTATCACATTGAAACATTAAATGAGACAGAAAATAGTTATCTCATGATTACTCAGATTGTGAATGGCAAGAGAATTGTGAAAGAAAAATTGTCATCATTTTCTTCCGGTTTATATTACTAAAAAATCAGTGCCATTGAAACATATCACCTAGTAAACCAAATGGCTACTAGCGAATTTAAAACTTGGCACGATCGTCTTGGGCATCCTGACAATGTAATGCTAAGGCGAATTGTTGAAAATTCAAATGGCCACTCATTGAAAAAGAAAAAAATATTTTGAGTTCGAATGAATTTGCTTGTGCTGCCTATTCCCAAGGGAATTTAATAATCAGGTCATCTTCGACAAAGGTTGGATTTGAATCCCCAGTTTTTCTAGAAAGAATTCAGGGTGATATTTGTGGACCAATAGATCCTCCGTGTGGACCCTTCGAGTACTTTATGGTACTAATCGACGCGTCAACACAATGGTCACACGTATGTCTGTTATCTACTCGCAATCTAGCTTTCGCTAGACTACTTGCACAAATAATTAAATTGAGAGCACAATTTTCAAATCACCCGATAAAGAAAATACGTTTAGATAATACGGGAGAGTACTCATCACATAAATTTGATAATTACTGCATGTCAATTGGGATTACTGTGGAACATCTTGTTCCCCATGTACATACACAAAATGGCCTGGTTGAATCCCTTGTCAAAAGATTGCAATTAATTGCTAGACCATTGTTAATGAGGTCTAAACTTCCCGTATCAGCTTGGAGACATGCTATATTGGATGCAGCAGCCCTCGTGAAAATAAGGCCGACAAGTTATCACTGTTATTCCCCTACTCAATTGGTTTTTGGAAAAGTACCAAATATATCTCACCTGCGAATTTTTGGGTATGCTGTCTATGTTCCTATTGCTCCACCTCAACGCACGAAAATAGGACATCAAAGAAGGTTAGGTATATATGTCGGGTATGAATCACCCTCGATCGCAAAATATCTTGAACTAACAACGGGTGATTTATTTACTGCGAGGTTTGTAGACTGTTATTTTGATGAATCTCATTTCCCGACATTAGGGGGAGACAATAATCAATTGAAAAAAGAAATTTTGTGGAAAATACCACTTGAATTTGATTCTCGTACGAAACATAGTGAACTTAAAGTTCAAAGAATTGTGCATTTGCATAAAATTGCAAATCAATTGCCTGATGCTTTTAATGATGCTGCAAGAGTGACAAAATCATATATTGCAGCAGCAAATGCACCAGTTAAAATAAATATCCCAGAAGAAAAGATGTTGAGCGCTAATGAGCATACTGCCCGCATAAAACGTGGTAGACCGTTGGGTTCCAAGGATAAGAATCCACAAAAGAAAAAAAATTGTAAATACTGGTGAAGAGATCAAGGATGATCAGATATCTGAAAAGGTCAGTACAACCCCTAAAGAGGTTAATACTAAAAATTCTGATGAAAGTGATGATGAAGTTATTGAAACTTCTGTTAACTATACTACCAGTGGAAAATATTGGAACATAAAGAAAATAAATATTGATAATGCATTTGCATATTCTGTAGCACTCGATATAATGAAAGATGGTGAGGATTATGAACCAAAATCAGTTGGTGAATGTCGGCAAAGAGATGATTAAGCAAAGTGGAAAGACGCAATTAAGTCTGAATTGGACTCATTGAATAAACGACAAGTATTCGGACTCATAGTCCAAACACCTGAAAATGTGAAACCTGTTGACTACAGATGGGTATTTGTGAGAAAAAAATAAAAATAATGATATCACAAGATATAAAGTTAGGCTTGTAGCCCAGGGTTTTTCCCATAGACCGGGTATTAATTTTTAAGAAACATTCACCGGTCATTGATAGAATAACATTTAGGTATATGGTGAGTCTGGCAGTATACAATAATCTTGATATGCGATTAATGGATGTGGTTACTGCCTATCGTTACTGCTCCTTAAACAATGATGTTTATATGAAAATCGCAGAAGGGATAAACATACCTGAATCATTCAAATCAAAGCCAAAAGAATCATATTCCATCAAATTGCAAAAAATTTTGTATGGGCTCAAGCAATCAGGCCGAATGTGGTACAATTGTCTCAGCGAAAGCTTAACCAAATAAGGTTACATATATGACCCTATTTGTCCATGTGTTTTCATAAAGAAAAATGGGTTAGGATTCATGATCATCGTTGTATATGTCGATGATCTCAATTTAGTTGGAACTCCTGATGAAATCTAGAAAGCTGTTGAATATCTGGAAAAGGAGTTTGATATCAAAGATTTTGGAAAAACTAAATTTTGTCTTGGTCTGCAAATTGAGTACTTGGAAAGTGGAATCTTCATCCACCAATCAAATTATACCACAAGGATACTAAAACAATTTATGATGGGTAAGTCACATCCGCTAAGTACCTCAATAATCGTCAGAACACTCGATCCAATAAAGGATCCATTTAGACCAAAAGATGAAAATGAAGAAACATTTGGCCCAAAAGTGTCATATATGAGTGCTATAGGCGCATTGATGTATCTTGCTAACGGAACCCGACCTGATATATCATTTGCTGTAAATCCATTGACAAGATTCAGCTCATCCTACTCGACGACATTGGAATGGGATTAAACACATTTTTCGCTATCTTCAAGGAACAATTGATCTCGGGTTATTTTACTCGAAAAATTCTCGACAGGAATTAATTGTTTTGCCGATGCAGGATATTTATCTAATTCTCATAAAGCCAAGTCTCAAACTGACTATATATTTACATGTAGCGAAACTGTGATCTCTTGAAGATCAATGAAAGAAACTTTAACTGCCACATCTTCAAATCATGCTGAAATATAGGCAATATATGAAGCTATTCGAGAATGTGTTTAGTTGGGGTCAATGACTCAATATATTCTGAAAAATTGTGGGTTAATACCTGACGATAAAACCCCCTCAACTACATTGTATGAAGATAATACAGCTTGTATAGCGCAATTAAAAGGGGGTTACATTAAAGGAGATAGAACGAAACATATTTCACCAAAATTCTTTTTCACTCATGATCTACAACAAAATGATGAAATCAATGTGCAACAAATTCGATCAGATAATAATTTGGCGGATATATTAACCAAGGCGTTACCGACTGCAACATTTGAGAAATTGGTAAAGAAAATTGGGATGTGTCGGTTAAGGAATCTCAAATAATGCTCAGATCAGGGGGAGCAAATTGATACAAGAATGTTGTACTCTTTTTCTTTCGTTAGGATTTTTTGTCCCACAGGATTTTTTCATAGTAAAGTTTTAACGAGATATATTCTGGCGTCCAAGAGGGAGTATTATAATCAACGTAGATGATATATCATCAACTTGTGGACGCCCTGTCTACCGAACAAATGTCTAAGGAATATTTGACCACGTCGCAATGATTATACATGTAATGTTAATTTGTATTAATTTCCTCCTATATATATATAGTCACGGTATGCAATGTACTAATTTCACCCATCCACTCATCCTCTTGCTTGTCCACTTCTTTTCTCCTGTCTATTTATATTAAATTCCTCTATACATATACATAAATATATAATACTAGGGGTGTCAATTCGTGTTTTTGGGTCGTGTTCCTGTCGGGTTGAGCCATAGGGATAACAAAAAAACTGTCAATCCGAACCCGAAATCTGACCTGAAACCCTAGACCCGAACACGATACAAATTCTTTCAGGTCGGGTTCAGGTTGACCTAAATTAGTTTCAGGTCACCCGGAATCCGAACAAACCCGAAAATTTAAAAAAAAAAATTAAATTGACCTAAAAAATATCATTTTTATTTTAATTTTTTATATTATTTTATATTTAAAATAATATAAATATTATAAATTAAAATAATAATAATAAAAATTTCAGGTCAACCCGAAACACGAAACTCAAAACCTAACCTGATTTTTATATTTCAGGTTATCAGGTCAACCTGAAATACGACCCAAACATAACACGAATTTTTTTCGTTTCAGGTTCGGGTCGACCCGATTTTTTTCAAACCCGAAATACCCAAACCCGAATCTGAAAAATTTCAGGTCGAACGGGTTCAATTTTTCGGGTCGGGTTTACTTTTGACACCCCTATATAATACTCCATCCGTCCCACATACCGTCCCATATACCGTGTCTGCTACACCGTAGACACGGTATAGGAAGAGGGTTCTAATTAGTAGATAATTAAGAATGTATTAGTGAAAATAATAATTTTATAATATAAATAATTATAAATTAATATTAAGATATCTAATTAGTTTAATTAATATTAAAAAAAATAAATTAAAAAGTTTAAAATAAAATTAAAATGTATAATTATTTTTCAAGAAAGAAAAGTGACATGTAATATAAAACATATATAAACGTGTAAATATAGTATATGAGATGAGGAAGTAATAAATAATATATATATATATTATCACGCATAACACACAAGCTTCATATATACATATAATATATTTATATTATATTATATTTATCTATACATAAAATTAATATTTTTATTCACTAATCCTGTAATATCAAAATTTATCCAAATTCAATTGTATATGTTGTTAGTTGCCTGGCGTTGCGTTGCTGAAAAAAATAACTGAAAGTAATTAGATAAAAAAATAATATTAGTAATAAAGTAACAAATCCAACAGCGGTCAGCAGGTCATCGCTCTTCCTCCCGCACCTGCCTAGTAAAAAGTAGCAATGGACAAACAATAATTACAGCAGTAAAACTAAATTGTTGTGAATGATATTAACAGCGGTACATGGTGGTGAAGCTTCCCTTCCCTTCCCTTCTCTTTCTCTTCCCCTTTCCCTGCCCTGCCGATCTTTATATCTGTCCGTCTCTGCACGCACACACCAATGATCTGATCTATCTATCTATCTATCTATCAATCTGTATACCTCCGTTCCCAATCGCCGCTTGGCACCGGCACCGGCACCGGCACCACCGGCGCCGCTCTCTCTCTCTCCCTCTCTCTGCACGGACAGGCAGGCAGGCAGACACACGCGCATCTCTCTCTCGTCGCGCTCCACATCTCAGAGGCACTCACTGACTGCCAAATCTCACCGGCGGATGGATACTAGCGCCCCCTCTCTGCCTGCCCCTCTCTAAATTCTCGATCTACCCACGTACCGATTTCCCCCTTTTTCTCGATTCTCTTTTATCCAAATCTATCTACATCTCTCTACCTATCTATATCTCTCTACCTATTCCCCCCGCTTTCCGATTTCTTCTCTATTTCAATCTTCTTCTTATCGATCTGACTGCAATTCCCTTTCATATTACCTTCTCGTATCCCCAATTGCTGCGACTTGCTCCCATTTTTCGGATGAGGACGATTATTGAATGCTCGGGGGATTGATATTAACGCCAAAATGCCCGGGATTGCCCACATAAATAGCACTCCTCCTCCTCCTCCTACTGCCCCCACTACTACCAGCGGCAGTAACAATGATACCGATACTTGTTGCAAGAAAACATTGGCAGGAAATGGAAACTTTAATGTTTCTTCCGCTCCTAGCCATGGATTCTGGTCGAATCAGCGTGATGATGTGAGCTACAATCAGCTACACAAGGTATTATGTGTGCCTTCTTTCTTTTTCTTTTTCCTTTTTTAGTGCCTATGGATGTGCTTGTAATACCATTCATTCATTTCTCTGTTCCTACTTGTGATTGTTTTGAGATGGTTGACAGTTCATTCGGTTCTTATGTCTCGAATCGCTCTATTGTGGAGCACTGATTTTTCTCACCTGTAAACAATCAACGCAGTGTGTTTTCCATGTTCAGACCATTAATTCGCGTGGAATTGCATATGTATAACTCGTGTTTGCATCTGATTGGTGCTTTTGTTTTCATTGCAATGTGTTGTACGAGTGAATAGCTCATTACATATGTTATTTAATGACTGGGAACTTGGACTAAGCAAAACATGTAGCTGGGATGTATTGCATTAGCAAGCAGATTGATGTACCTTCAGCAAATGTTTCTGCAGTTCTATGCATCACATTCATTTTTTCCTTTTCTTTAATAGCCTGCCAGACCATTTCCTAATTCTTCAGGCTTGCAAGATTGCACAGCTGCACACTATCTTGTTGGTAGTGAGCTCAAATTAATATTCCCATTTTCTAACTTATCACAGTCCTTTGAGTAACTGATTTGGTTTGTATCTGAGCTATTTTGTTCATCATTGTAACATGTTTACTTTTTGGTTCTGTTGATGAACTAGGAGTTTGTTCATTCTGTAAATGAGGTACTGAATTGGATTACTTATGAAGGGTTTTTCTTGCAGTTTTGGTGTGATCTGACAGTGCAAGCTCGACGGAATCTTCTTAGGATAGATAAGCAAACACTCTTTGAACATGCTAGAAAGAACATGTACTGCTCTAGGTGCAATGGCCTATTGCTTGAAGGTTTTTCACAGATTGTCATGTATGGAAAATCTCTACAGCTAGATGCTGCAGGAACCCCAAACAGTTTGGATGATGCAACCAATGAAAATGATGGGGAGCTGTCCACTGGGCACCAATACGATGCTCCAAATCCCTCTGTCCATCCCTGGGGTGGATTAACCACAGCCAGGGATGGGACCCTCACACTTTTGAACTGTTATCTTTATTCGAAGTCCTTAAAAGGGCTAAAAAATGTAAATCCCTTCTTGATACTATTGCCTCAGTCTCCTTTCTTGTTGCCGAACATATCTTTACCTTGCTTTATTCCAATTAGGTGTTTGACAGTGCGCGTACAAGGGAAAGAGACCGAGAAATGCTTTATCCTGATGCATGTGGAGGAGGCGGACGAGGCTGGATAAGCCAAGGAATTGTAGGATATGGTAGAGGGCATGGAACAAGAGAAACATGTGCTCTTCACACTGCCAAGTTGTCTGTGGAGACTTTGGTGGACTTCTGGTCTGCACTTGGAGAAGAGACTCGCCAATCTCTTCTAAGAATGAAAGAAGATGATTTTATCGATAGACTCATGTATAGGTATACCAAATGGGTTTATGCTTTTTTGCTTCTAGTCTGTTTCTGTGTGATTGACAAACATACTGGTGTTTGTCAATGTGTCTCTGCCTGGGAATTCTTTTTGATGTTTAAAAATCATGTTCAGATTAAAAACTTTCACGAGTACTAGTTTATTTTCTATTATTTCTAATCAGAGGAGCATGTGATTACTTGTTTTCAGGTTTGACAGCAAGAGGTTTTGTAGAGATTGCAGAAGAAATGTTATACGTGAATTTAAGGAGCTGAAAGAATTGAAGCGCATGCGAAAGGAAACTCGCTGCACAGATTGGTTTTGCGTTGCAGACACTGATTTTCAGTATGAGGTGTCTGATCTGGCCTTTTCTCTTACTGGAGTTACCTGTTTTCTCTTATATCATTTGCATATCAATATTACTATTATCATGATGCACTTTTTTGTCTTAATATCAGGTTTCCGATAACAGTGTTAAGGCTGATTGGCATCAGACATTTTCAGATTCATTTGGTGCATATCATCATTTTGAATGGGCAATTGGAACTGGAGAAGCCAAATATGATATATTGGGGTTTGAAAATGTTGGATTGACTGGAAGTGTTGAAGTGAACAATCTTGATTTAAGTGATCTTGATGCATGCTATATTACCCTACGGGCTTGGAAAATGGATGGACGTTGCAATGAATTGTGTGTGAAGGCTCATGCTTTGCGAGGCCAGGACTGTGTTCATTGCAAACTTATAGTTGGTGATGGATTTGTAACAATTAAAAGAGGGGAGAGTATCAAAAGGTTCTTTGAACATGCAGAGGAGGCTGAGGAAGAAGAGGTTGTTGTGAACTTGTGTAATTCTCGCCACATTCCCCTATTTTGTTTCTAAATATTATTTCGGATCTATCATTATTTGCAGGATGATGATTCCATGGATAAGGATGGAAATGAGCTTGATGGTGAATGTTCTCGTCCCCAGAAGCATGCGAAGAGTCCTGAACTGGCTCGAGAATTTCTCCTAGATGCTGCAACTGTCATTTTCAAGGAACAGGTATGTGCTTTCCTCCTCCTCCTTCTTCTTCCTTTTTTTTTTCTTTAATTTCTTTACATGCAGCAGTCTCTTATTAGTTTATCTTTCTTGTGCTTTCACTGATGCTCTTGTATCAGAATATTTAATGCATGGCTGTTTGTTTATGTTTCATGGTTGCTGAAATACCTTCTGTCGTCCTGGCTTTGAATTAATCTGTGTTAGAAGGAATGGAAACAAAGGATGAAGAGTTCAACTTAGTTCTATTGCTATTTCTACCCCCAGGAAATTAATGAACTATACTGCACTATTAAAGCTCATGATCCGAGGGTTAGACTTTCGAATAGGATGTATAACTATTATATATGAGAATGTTTTGAACTACTAAACCCCTGATAAGTTATATGGATCTTTAGTGCTGAATAAGATATTACACTAGCTAGTTTCCTTAGGGTACTAAACTTACCCAATTTATCCAATGAAGATTGATTATTATTATTATTATTATTATGAAAAGATATTGTGGAAGAATTCTTTATCTCGGAAAACTATGATGTAATCCATACAGACCACTTAACAGCAATGCAAAAATGACCACTACAATGACCATATCTTCGCAGCTGATAGCTTTCTAATTTAAGCATGCACTTCTGCAGGTTGAGAAAGCTTTCAGAGAAGGAACTGCGAGGCAAAATGCACACAGCATTTTTGTGTGTCTTGCTTTGAAGTTGATAGAAGAACGTTTGCATATTGCTTGCAAGGAAATCATTACTCTAGAAAAACAGGTGCGTAATATGTGATGATGTGTGGTTTTGATTAACTATTAACTCATATGGTGTTTTCTAGATTGGATGTGCACTAGATCCTATTGGATTCATTCACTTGCATTCTTGCTAGCACTACAGAAAGCTCCGGTCTTACCGCCCATATTTGATTCTACAGATGAAACTTATTGAAGAAGAAGAAAAGGAAAAGCGTGAAGAAGAAGCACGCAGGGAGCGAAGGAGGACAAAAGAAAAGGAGAAAAAACTTCGAAAAAAGGAAAGATTGAAAGTTATAGAAACACAAGAAATGCTATATCCTGAATCAAAATCAAGTCCTGCAATTGAGGATGATATAAAGGAGTCAACTTATTCCATCAATCAGGGTGTCAATATTGTCCACTCCCGAGATTCTGTCTGTGGAACAGCTGAAGCTCCATGTGGTTCAGGATCCCCTGATATTCACGATGGCCAGAGTTTAACAGAGTGCATTGATTCAAACATGGAGAATCTTTCTGAAGATATTCATGATCAGGATTTCAGCAACAATAAAGATTGGAGCTCCTCTTTCTTATTTGATCGTTTCAAGTATTCTCGCAGGAAGTCAACAAAATTTCGAAATGAATCAGCTGGTGATTTTATGATAAGATGGTCTGGCAGGAGGAAAACTTCTTCGGTATCATCAGAGAATGATGTGATCCATCGCAAACCTGAACCAAGATGTCATACTGATGGTTATGAATCTGCTAGGAGCATGGACAAGCAATCGAGAACAAATGATGCTAAGGCAAACAACACTAGAATCGGCAGCAAGTTGACTGAAAAAATTGTCAATCCTAGAATGAGTGATCGATACAATCCCCACACTTGCAGCTCTAGCTATCATCGAGAATATAGATCAAGGCCAGAGTCACGGGTGACGCGATCAGTGAGAGATTCTACATACGTGAATAAGCTGGAGACTTCACCTGATGAAATATCAAAGCCATACTATTGCAGCAACAAGCATACCCAACTAGAGTATTCACATGTGATTAAAGAGCAACCCAAAATCAAGAAAGTTTCCAGCTACCCTTCTAATTCGAAGAAAGTTTGGGAGCCACTGGATGTACGAAAGAAGTGCTTCGAAAGCAACTTGGGACCTGATGTTGCCTTGGGATCCGCAGCCAAAGTAGAAGGATCTGAATCTGATCAGCAACCTGAATCATGTTCCACTAGTTCTGATGAAGTGATGGACATTTCAGTCCAAACCAATGAGGACGATGTGAGAGGTGTAGCAGATTCTCTGGCTGAGGGTTATAGAATCAATAAGGATGCATTATTTGCCGCAGCAGAAAAGCCCCAAAGCTACTCAAAGGAAGCAGTAACTGAGAGTGGTGGATTACATTCTCTGACAAGATCTCTACTAAGAAATATGGAGTCATCACTAAACAGCTATTCTAACTCAGATAATTGCTCCTCTTGCTTGAGTGAGGGTGACAGCAACATGTGCTCAAACTCGCAGAACCTGGAATCAACTTCCACATCAGATTCAGAGGAACCTACCCCAAATTCTGGACATAGAGAAGTTGCACGCAGCCTTGAAGCTGGTATTCCTGCATCTCCCAGAGTTGTGGTGTCAAGTGGACAGGGTGCTGAAAGCCAGAGCCTTACCCCTCCAGTAGCAGATAGTTTGCCAAAGGAAACAGCGCTGAACTGTGGGAATGGGAGAGCAGATGTCAGTAGAAGTGGTCAGGCTCAATGTCAGCTACTGCCTCAAATGCATAACTTCCCCATCTTCCAGGCCCCTCCTACAGTTGGTTACTACCATCATCAGAATCCTGTTTCCTGGCCTGGAGCTCCTACAAATGGCTTGATGCCCTTTCCCCACTCCAGCCATTATTTGTATGCCAATAACTTTGGATATGGTTTGAATGCGAATGCATGGCTGATGCAATATGGAGGCTTGCAGCATCTGCCGCCCCCGCCCACAATAGGTAATGGTGTTCCTGTGCCTGTTTTCCAGCCAGTTTTGGAACAGGTGAATGGGATTATTAGCAACATGAAGGAACCAGCAGCAGCAGCGGCAGCAGCAGGAGGAGGTGGTCATAGTGTAATAATAGAGAAGGTGGGTTCTGCGGAGGGACAAGTGCCAAAAGATGCAGCAGCAACAACAGCAGTTGTGGACGGGGCTGACAAGAAGGTATATGGAGGCAATGATGGATTTTCTTTATTCCATTTTGGTGGCCCTGTAGCTCTTACTGCTGCTGATCCCGATCCCAACCCCAATCCCAAAGAGGGGGATGGAAGCTCAGGCGAGGATGGTAGTACCTGTCCAAAGCCAACAGCGGAGAGCTATTGTCACGGTGATGGTGATAATCTTAATCCCTGCAGCTGCAGCAAGGAGGATCATCATCATCATCACCACCACCCCATAGAGGAGTACAGCTTATTTGCGGCTACTAATGGCATTAAGTTTTCCATCTTTTGAGAGAGGAGATGCTGATTGATACAATGAAAGTGCGCTGTTGCTGCTTTACTTTTATTAAGTTTTGGTGGTGTTGGCTTTTTTGTTATTTTTACGGTGATAATTTTCCTCTAAATAAACTTAAAAAGAGTGAGAGCTGGATTTGGATTTGGACTTGGACATTTAAGGGGTTGCTGAATGATCACTGGCGTCTCTTATGTTTAGCACTTTTGCTATCTATGGGGTTCTTTGAGTAGTATGTGATTCCTACTACCTACCTCACCTAGGCACAGGTCAGGAACCGGACCGGGCCAAATTGGAATCTTCTTGTCAAGTGAAGTAGGCACCAATTTTGAAGATGAAGATGAGTAGTACAATTGAATCAAACAAAACAAAACAATGGTATTCATGTTCTCTCATGTGGTACACGCGGGCGTAGAAAGTCATGAGTAGTTCATTATGCCTCCTTGGTCAAAACGGCAAGATAAAACCGTGCAGGGTCGTCTGTGAATTCCAGCACTTGAAAAGCATGTCGAGCAGCGGTGCTTTGTAGCGCCGATTTGTCAGGCAAAGTGGACAGCACCACTTGAGGGTGCTGCTGCCGCTGCTCTTCAGCCGCACGCCGCCCCCGCATGTGGCTCACCACAACCCTTGCTCCTGAGAAGAAGAAGAAGAAGAAGAATAGTAAGAAACAAAGTAGGAAAGATAGCGGTTGACTAACAGCATTACACTATCATTTAGTAGTAACAAGAACCCCCTATTAGATTAGATTAAATTAGATTAGATTTTAGATAAACCCCAAAACAGTAACGACTGACTTCCAGTGCAGCGGGTACTACTGACTACCTGGCAAACATTTCTTCCCAAGGGCAGCAAGAAGCCGATCAAGGTCAAAGGGCAACGCAGGGAGGCAGTAGAGATACACCGCGTCCAGAGGTGCCCACTTCTCAGGTACATTTATCACTTCCCCCTGCCAGCATTTGACCTTGTCATGTCTTTCTTTGATGCCCGCCAAGATGAAGAGGGACTCGTGCACCACCAGCACCTGCGCGCAAGGGGGGCATGCAGCAACCACTCTATCCACAAATGCTTCTGAGCCCACTGCAACCAGAACCGCCTTTGAGGTCTCTTTCATGTTCCCCGCAGCAACTATGCGATCCATCTTCTGCAGACGTTCTCCCTCACCATCCTTATCATCATCATCATCATCATCATCATCATCAAGAATTGACCAATCCTTCTCCACAAATTCTTCAAACTCAACCGCAGATACTCTCCCCTGTTTTCGGCGAACTGCAGCACCAAGACGAGATTGAGATTGAAATGCTAGCGCGGCCGAGAAACGTATTGAATGAGAAGTCTTCAGGTGGGTCTTAGGATGCCGAGCATAGGTAGGAGGAGGCCAGCGGACAGTAGCAAATGATGCCAGGACGGCGGATGGCTTATATGCAGTGAAAGAAGCTGAATGCATAATAGTTATTAGCAGACTCAAGCAAGCTATCTAGCTAGCTAGCTAGCGATCAGGGATTCAATCTTAGGGGCTTCAGTGGATGTGCTCCGACAAGAATGACTGATGCTCTGCTTCTATCAAGCAACAATGTTATACTGTTTGTATTAATAGTGTGTGTCTCTCTCGTCTTCAGCTGCCTGTGCCATTTAATACAAACACAGAACAAGAAGCCGGATTAATTGCAGAGAGAGCTAATGAGAGCAGAGAAGATCAAATATGATTTCATGACTCATGCCCACGTGCATCAATTTCTCTTTCCCATCTCATCGGTTATAGGCACAGATAGCACTTGAGAATGCGAACAAAGAAGAGCTACTAATTGTACAAGAAAATGCACTCCACCCAGTAACAAGATGTAAAGAAAGAGTTACGATTGAAATTAACAAACGACTTGTTAGTTAAATTATGTACCGCGTTTACAAACCAATATAATCTATTTTGATGAACATTGGAAAGCAAATAGAAGGAAATTAAAGGCCAAACCAAACCACCCAGACGCCTTCGAGAAGAAGGGGAAATTTGTAAGGGAAATTAAAGGCTCAAACCGTCCAAACGTTGAATCGCTCATATTTTGCCAAAAAGGGTTGCGCAGCCCCAGTGTAGTATTACTTAGGCATGAACGGAAAGGCGAGGGCAGGGATAAATAAAATAATAGGTTAGGAGAAAAGATAAAGCTGGACCTGTGTACCTCCCGTCCCGTCCGGCGAAGATAGAAGGATGCCTGTCTCCCTCTGTCTCTCCCTCCCTCTTCTCTGACTTGACTAACCAGATAGAAGTTTCGCAGCTGCGGTGGGCTGCGCGTTCGGTTCGCCTAGTAATTTTATTCTACATAGGAGTATAAGACTTTTGTGCCTGTTTTTGTTTTTACAAAAGAAATATTTTTATTATTACTCCATTCGTTCATAAATAAATATAATTTTAATTGAGTTGGAAGAATATTGATATAATTGGTAATCGGTAAAAAATATAAATAAAAACCTTTTTTTTTTATCATTAATAAAAAGTAGTGACAATTGTGTAATAAAAATGAAAAAGTAAGATTAGTTTTACGGTGATATGATTATTTATGAAAACAACACAGTTATTTTGGTAAGGACAAAAATGATAAATAAACTATTGTATTGGAACGATAGGAATATTATTTTTCAATAAAAATACTCATTTCCTCCTAACATTGTCAACATTTTTTACTAAGAATATTATACTTAAAATAATAATAATTCTTAAGATCCACAAACTAATATTACATTTATATCGTTCAATAACTATTATCTTATTTTTTTTATTATAAAAATTTTATTTTTTTTACAAAAAAAATATTTACTTAAAAAATTATACAAATAAAATTTAAAACAATAAAATTTGAACTAAAATAATATATTTTTCTTTCTTTTTATTGTAATCTAATCACTAAAAGTTATTGTAAATAAAAAAGACAAATCGATATGAAATTTACATATATAATTTTAATTTCTCAAAAAAAACATACGGCGTAATTTAGAAGTTTCCAAATCTATGTACTATTGAAAATTATATTTCTATATTTTTTATTACCCGTCATAGTGCTCTAGTAATATATATCGTGTTTTTTCAATACCGAATTATATATTCTCTAGTAATATATACGTTGGAAAATCGATTAATTATTTAATCGATGAAATTTAATTTAAAATTAAATTCATGATTTTTGGAATCGATTTTCGATGAGTTAAAATGCACGTGGATTGTATGGTGGTTATTGATAATGTGGTTAGGCATATAAATGCCGGATCGGATAATTACATGCATATATGATAAATAATCATTTGAAATTCAAATAATATATTTATGACCGGAATTAAATTGATATTTATGACCGAAATTAAGTATGGTGTTTATAGCCGAACGTTACCGGAATTTAATAACGTCGGTTACGGCGATTTCGACTCAGGCGTTAATTGTCCCGCTTGATGGAGGTGCCGCCTATAAAAGGCCCTCTCCACCACCCCATTACTACGTCACACCAAGAGGAGTTCTTCCTCTCTAATCCTCTCCACCCCACTCAATTTCTGGCAAGTTTTCTGGCAAGCTCCGGAATCTATAATTGTCTAGCTTCCTGACATAGTTTCAGTCCCTTTATTTTAGCTCGTTGGAGCTCCGAAATATTGGGGTGTCACATAATTCAGAGACGAACATCGTTTTATCTTTGAGAACGTTACGCCACAAACCGGAGGCACTACTGGGGTGTATTCGTTTTTACGGAAAGAGGTTCCACTTCGACTCGACGTGATTATCGAATTTATTTAGATAAAGTTATTGATAAATTGATTATCGAATTTATTTTGATAAAATTATTGTGATTATAAAATTTATTTTGATAAATTGATTATCGAATTTATTTCGATAAAATTATTAAATTTGATAAAATTATTATGATTATAAAAATTATTTCGATAAAATTGTTGTGATTATCAAAATTTATTTTGATAAATTGATTATCGAATTTATTCCGATATTTTGATTATCGAATTTATTTCGATAAAATTACTGTGATTATCAAATTTATTTTGATAAATTGATTATCGAATTTATTTCAATAAAATTATTAAATTCGATAAAAGTATTGTGATTATAAAAATTATTTTGATAAATTAATTATCAAATTTATTTCGATAAAATTGTTGTGATTATCAAAATTTATTTTGATAAATTGATTATCGAATTTATTTCGATAAAATTATTGTGATTATAAAAATTATTTTGATAAATTGATTATCGAATTTATTTAGATAAAATTGCTCTGATTATCAAATTTATTTTGATAAATTGATTATCGAATTTATTTTGATAAAATTATTGTGATTATCAAAATTATTTTGATAAATTGCTTATCGAACTTATTCCGATATTTTGATTATCGAATTTATTTTGATAAAATTGTTTTGATTATCAAAATTATTTTGATAAATTGTTAATCGAATTTATTTCAATAAAATTATCGTTATTATCAAATTTATTTCTATTGATTATTGAATTAATTTCGATAAATTATTTTGATATCGAATTTTATATTTCGATAATTATTTGGTATTTTTTCCAACAATATATGTATTATCTTACCGCACACCATGTTCTTAATAGGAACTAAACTACAAGAAATTAATGTTCTATTTTTGCCGAAACAATAAATTAAATATATTCTTTTCTTTATCATAAGTAAATAATAAAAACATCATAGTAATAAAAGAACATTAGATTGTAATATTCATACACAGACCTCATACTCTATACTTTGTGCTAAACATTTTTTTATATATTTACATTTAATGATTTTATATATTTATGTAATAATCATTATTATAATTTATAAATGATATAAAAGTAACACTAATATAATTTTATTTATATAATTTTAATATTTAATTTAAAATATTTTGTTATACTACTTATATCATAATATATTTTTATTCATTTAATTTACTAAATTTATCATATTAATTTTTTGTTTCAGCGCAATTCTTTTCACTTTTATCATATAATCATAACCATTATCCATACACATCCAACAAATCCCACACGGCTCGATCCTATCCTCAAAGTTTCATCCTAAACACAGCTCAAGACTTTTAAATCTAATCTTTTTTTGAAAAAAGAAAAGGACTGATTATGTGTCTTGGATCTTCTACACCTAGCGCATTGCAGCAGCAACCGACCGAGAGTAAATACTACAAATCTTTTAAGTGCACTAAATACACAGGGGCTATGTAATAATGTATGATGCATTGCAACAGAAAACCAGTTCCTACTAATTTCTAAAACTACCAAACAGCTCTCCCTCCCTCTCTCTCAGCACGCCACCTACTAGGCTCTTTTACTTATTATTATAGTAATAGAGAATCAATCCAGTCCAGTCCAGTCCAACTATGAATTCAACCATTCACGGCTTGGCTTGGCTTCCCTGACTCTCCCTCCCTCAGCACAGCAACGCACCACCCACTCCCAACCCATAAAAAGAAAATATCCCCAAACAGCCAGGCAGGCACTCTTCTTGTCATTGACTTCATTTCATGACAGCAGCAGCAGCAGCACACACTTGGAAGTAGTGCAGTGCTGCTGCTGCTGCTGCTGCTCAGGGTTCGGTGTTGGGGAGCTTACACAGGACAGTGTGCTCGGGCTTGTGATCGCACTCATAGTCCAGGTGAACAAAGGCTCTCTCCACCTCCGGCAGCTGCTCTATCTTTATCTGCAGTGATTCCCCAATCGCGTGCGCCTCAATCAACGGCAAATCCTCTGGCAGCTCTATGTCCACCTGTCCTCCATGATACATGATGATGATGATGATGACAGTAACAATACTAAAGCACACACATCGCATAGCATAACATAACATAACACATCTCCCTCCAAATCTTATAGCAGCCAACAAAAGAGACCCATGTCTATTTGTATTCATTCATCAACCAATGATGCATGCATGCATACATACCTCAACAAAGTAAAGCACCCCAAATGTGTAAGCTCGCACAGTATCCACCCGCTTGATTTTAGGATCGTGGCTCAGGACTAGATACGTAAGTTTTTGCAGTACCTCAGGGGGCGCAGACTGCCCCACCAATGACACTGGTAAACACAAGCACAGCACACCACAGCATGCATCAACTCACTGCTGCATATTCCTCTGTTTTTGAGGGTACATATATTGTGCCAAAATAGATAGATAGATAGATAGATGGATGGATGTACGAACACCACTACCCATGAGGATCGAGCATAGATACTCACCGGCATTCTCCAACACAGTTCCCGACCAATTGGTGATTGTATAGATAGCTAACACTATAGCGCCAGCAGGATCGATCCACCAATAAAACCTGTCACCAAGAACAGCAGCCACCAACCCCACCACATTTGTCACCACATCAAAATAATGGTCCTGGATGGATGTTCGTTTCACAGACAGAATAACGAATGGTTATGCAAGGCAATTGTACAACAATCCGCTCATGGAATTCAACTTGCCCAATGAACAGAACCTCTAACCTTTGCATAAGCACGAACAATCTTGTTTCCTGAGCTCTTACAGTAAATCCACAGAATAAGTTTTATTCCGGTTGCTGAGAGCATGATGACGTATAGCCACAGCAACTGATCTCCACTCATCTTGTCAGACGGTACGTTTCTAAGCAGCTGTTCCACAGCCTGCACTAGCACCTGAAACCCAAGGGTAGCCATCACTGCAGCAAAAATGATAATCCCAACAGGCTGCAATCTCAGCTTCCCTATGGGGTACTTGTAGATGTTGATGCTTTTCATAGACAGGTGGGTGAACCAAAGAATTCCACCGGCCAAAAGGTCTAGTAAGGAATCCAGTGTCGAAGCGGCAATGGCCAGGGACCCACTTTGTATTGTGGCATAAATCTGAAATGTCAAGAGATGGGGGCTAACTGGTCAAAGGGTATATACTTGCAATATAATTACTATTAATATCACTCACACACATCTCCATCCATCTCACTGCCAGAGGTGCATTCCATTCGATTCGATGCTTAAAACAGAACCACCCCCCCCCCCCCCCCCCCCCCCCCTCCTTCGTACCTTAAAGGCAAGGAGGAAGATGTTAGCCCAATTGGAAAGGTTGATGGCTCTCTCATGCTGCGCGTCCTCGTGATGATCATGCTCTTCATCGATGGCACTGCAGGGTGATCCAAGGGAGTCCACTTCCTCAAAGGACCTCAAGGTCGCAAACTGCCTCTCATAGTACTCCTTTTCACCTAATGAGTTGGTTAACAAGACACCACAATATATCAATTTGTGTTTGCAGATAATATTGTCAAGCCACAATTGGAATGGAAACCCGTGCTTGCGTATGGTCTGCTGCCCCCCTCAAGACAAAAACAAGGCCATCGACGACCGTTATAAACTAGCTACGTTCTTCTCTATCCCTAGGTGTGTGGAAATGTTGTTTAGGATGGGATGGATATAAATAAGCATACTGAATGTAGATGCTGCTGGCTTGCACAAAAACTAGGAATATAAAACTTTACAGCAAAGCACAAAAAAAAAACAAAAAGAGAGAATCTTCACAGAAAAGCACGACAAGGCAAAACAAAACAAAGCAAAAAGAAACTTTTTTTGCAAAAGTGCAGGGATGAAATCAGCAGGGTAGATACTTGATAGCGAACAAACGAAAGCAGACAAACCGAATCCAGACAAGAATCTCACCTACAATCACTCAGTCTGGAAGCGAATCTAGACTACAGACATTTGCACGAATCTGGAATCTCTCTTTCTTTTTTTTTTTTTTCTTTATTTAAAGAAACTATCTATATATATAATACATATAAAAGAGTTTTGAGTTGAAGGGTGGTGTAGAAGTACCTGAAGCTAAACCCGTTGTCCTGGACAAGTCGGGATGAAAAAGGGACTCCGGATCAAGAGCCGTCTTCACCTTGTCCGGCAACTTACCTAAGAAATCGCATTTCAGAGTGTGGATTAGATTATTATTCCTGCAGGTTTTATGGGATGGCTCATTTGCTAGCAATGGCGATGTGGTGGTCGGGGAGTCCATTAATCACAAAAAGAAGAGAGAAGAAGAAGTTACTAATGGGCGGCCAGGTAAGGATGCGAAGGGAGCGGGGGGAAGGAAGGAAGGATAGATCCCACGAACGATGAAGATAACCGCTCGCTCACAGTCGCAGCAACAAACAATGAATGGGTATGGGATGGGGGGTGGGTGGGTGTGTGAGAAGTATTTAAGGGTAGGGTTGAGTTGTTACACTTACTGCGCTCTCCTTCGCTGGAAGCCCTCCAATTATTGCTAGCAGTTTAGTATTTTTATTTAATGGATATAGAAGCAGTAATACTCCATTAATCCTCGTGAGATTTTGGTGAATTTATATTATTTAATAATTTTTTCTTATAAAATCATTACATTTAATAATTTGATATTTAAAAGATGAAGTGAACATTTATTTATATAAAATATCAAATTATTATTCAAATTGAAAGATGAAGTGAACACACCTGATCTCAACCCAACCCATCCCATCCCATCCCAATCAATGGCTGGCTCGGTTTGATTGATCCGTGGTTGAGTTGAGTTGAGTAGAGTAGTACTAGTGTTATTAATCCAGCCATCCATTCATTCGTTCGTTCGTTCATTAAAATCACAGCTATCCGGTCCTGACATGTGTTCAGTTCTTCAATGCTAATGCTAATGCTAATCTGAACTCTTCTTAGTTCCTAATACTACTTACTTAGACTACGTTTCTTTGAGCGTAGGTTTGACAGAAGCTCTATTTAGAAAACATTTTCTTTTTTTAAAAATAAAATCAATATCCTATTAAATAAAATTTTCTACTATTCCCAATTTTAAAAAGTTTATTTATACTGTAGTGACTGGCTTGCTGACAGAGAAAACACACGAAAACGAAAGGCAACTTCGAAAATTATATTCATTCATTAATCATTGATGATTGATTATTGATTATTGAAGGTATGAATGTATGTATAGGTCAGGTCAGGTCAAATCTGTCCAGCTGCATGATTTCTTTGACCACTTCCCATCTATATATATTCTCTCTCGCTCGCTCACCCACCCTATTTGTTACTAAGCGACGACCATCAATATTAATTGTGACTACTCTCCATATAATTAAGCAACTTGTCATCCATATTACTACTTCCTCCTAACATATATTCCTACTTTCTGATACAAATCTAAGTGTAACCAAATTATAGTTCCAAGAAGATTAAGTTCGACTAGGATTTACCCAATGCGCACGGCTAGCAACTGCGAATTTTTATGTCATTAAAAAAATATTATAATTTTATCTTTTATAATAAATTTTTTTATAAAAAATATAGAAATCCTTTTGAATGACGGTGAAAAAAAAGGAAAACACATACACATACTACCTCCCTTTTATATCAATTCATATATACTTTTCTAGTATGTAATTTAAAGAATATTAATAATTTAATAACAGCAAACATAAAATAATGATTAAATATTTTTTTTTTGTTCTTATGAATATAAATAATTGTATCAAATAATAATAATAATGATATAATTATTTATAGCAATAAAACAATTTATCTGGTATGGATAATAGATATATCTTTAGAAGGTTGTATATCTTTAGATGGAGATGAAGTAGAACTCAATAAGGTTCAAAATTTTGAAACTAAAAAAATAAAATAAAGTTTTAATATTTGAAGCAGTTAATTTAACTCCATATGATATTTATCTTTACGGAGAGAGAGAGAGAGAGAGAGAGAGAGAGAGAGAGAGAGAGAGAGAGAGAGAGAGAGAGAGAGAGAGAGAGAGAGAGAGAGAGAGAGAGAGAGAGAGAGAGTCGCATGATGGTATTTGTCGGCGGCTCTGGCATAGCCAGCAGCACTTTGATGGGCGATGGGACAGAAAAAACACACGACAAAAAGGTTTTTATCTTCCATTCTAAGATGTTTTTTGATATGTCAAGATTCTGAATGTGTGATGTGGATGGTTTTTTCGTTTATTAAATAATAGTAGTAGTAATGTATGTAAATAATGCTATAACATTAATGAAGGAAGTTGGGTCGCCAAAAATACCCTACTCTTTCAAAGAAAAACGGAACGCAGATTTTAATTTCAGCTGCGTAACAAATACAATAACATACTCCTCCCCTCATTTTAAATGGGCATTTAATTTTGAGAAATAATATTTTATTCATCTCATAATAATTAACATTTTTTTTCACTTTTATATATCCTATAATAATTGATATTTTTTTATTTTAAATAAAATTTACTAAATCAAAACATAGAGTCTGTTTTTTCAGCCCAGTTTAGTGTTTGCACAATGATCTTGGACTGGAGGGGATTTGGGGGACAGACTTTTTTTTTTTAAATTATAAATATAAAAAAATTATTATAATTATAATTTAATAAAATATATACATTATATATATATATCATTTTGTAGAAAATAAAAAATTTTATAATACAAATAAATAAAAATTTAAAAATATATATAAATATAATATAAATTTATAATTAAATTATACAAATTACTGTATATTTATATTATTATATTCATACTCATCATATCAATACACATTAAACTCCCCAAATTCCAACCAAACTTAAACTAAAAAAAAACATCAAAATTCAAACTCTTCTCAAAATTCAAATAAAAACCAAATTTAAACCTAAATTTCTCCAAAACTCCTAAAGAAACACACCCATAGTAAATTGATATAATCAATTTAACTAATTACACAACATATAACATCAAACATTCGTAGGACACACTTAAAACATTTTTATTTCCATCTATTTCCTAAAAAATAAATATTTTTTTATCTATATTTAAAACTTTATCTTTTTTATAAAATTAATTTATGTTAATTATAAATAAATAGATGTTATTCACTTAAATTATAGAAAATTATTTTTTCTATAAAATGATATTCATATTACATATTTTTTATTGCGATATAATTTTTAAAATATTTAAATACATATTTTAATTGTTTAATCATATATATTAAATGTATTTTAAAATTATCAATATTATTAATTAGGGAAAAAATTAATTTTGGTCCCAATATAACAAGATTTATCAATTTTGGTCCAAATATAAAAAGCTCATCAATTTTAGTCTAATTATAAACAGTTTTAATCAATTTTGGTCCTATTTTAAATAATTTCAATCAATTTTGGTCCCACCTTTAAAAAATTAAAGGAAATTGCTGACGTGGACATAATGGAAGTGACGTGTCGGCTGACTTGGAAACTACACGGCCATGTACAATTATACAAGGTCATATTGTTATATGATCATGTATATTTCAGTGTATAATTATACGTGGTCATGTTGTTACACGACCATGTAACAACATAGTCATATATATTTCAGTGTATAATTATACATAGTCATATTGTTATACGGCCATGTATAATTCTATACGACCATGTACCTTTCTGTTTTGATCTAAAATTTTACTTTATATATATATATATATATATTAATTTAGAATAGTTGATATAGTTAAAATGGAAAAAAAAATCAATAATAATCATAATATAATTAAAATGTATCAATTTTAGTTTAAATATAAACATTTATTGAGTATGTTCTTTTGGAAGATTTTCTCTAAAATTCTACTATTTACCAAAAAAATTCTCTTACAAACATCCAATTATTATATTGAAATAATAAATTAATTTTTAATACTACTATAGTATACAAAATAAAAAAAAAATAGTTGTGTAATTGGATGTTTGTAAAAAAATTTTTTTTTTTTATGAGTAATAGAATTTTAGACAAAATATTTGAAAAGAATATATCTTATAAATTTTATATTTGAATTAAGATTGATAAATTTTAATTATATTATGATTACTATTTATTTTGTCCATTTTTAACTATATCAACTATTATAAATTCAAAATATTTTTTTTTAAAAAAAATATAACAAAAAAATAAAATTTTAGACTAAAATAGAAATGAACACGGCCGTGTAAAACTATACACTGAAATATATATGACCATGTTATTACATGACCGTGTATAATTGTACATGGTCGTGTACACTGAAATATACATGCTCATGTAACATGGCCGTGTATAATTGTACATGGCCATGTAGTTTCCAAATCAACTGCCACGTCACCTTCATTATGTCCACATCAGCAATTTTCGTTACTTTTTTAACGGTTGGACCAAAATTGATTGAAATTGTTTATAGTGGGACCAAAATTGATTGAAATTGTTTATAATAGAACTAAAATTGATGAGTTTTTTATATTGCGGCCATAATTGATAAGTTTTATTACACTGAGACCAAAATTAATTTTTTCCCTATTAATTATCTAAAAAAATAATAAAAGAATATCATAGATCACTATTATTAACTAATTAAAAATACTATTACCTTCACGAATAAAATGTATCAATTATCTTGGAATGGAGGAAATAATATTTTATTGGTTAATGAAAGTGAATAAAAGTGTCTTTTTAATCATCCAAATTCCGGAAAACAAAACACCACGGCTCCTTTCTTATCGAGAATTCATACATCTCTTATCAATGTATGGACAACTCTCTCTTGAGCATAGATTTAGGTTCGATTTCAATGGTATAAAAAAAATGGAGCACTTAACAATACACTTTCATAGACTAGACGAAATTAAGTTGACGAGATGATCGTTTGAAACAGCTAATGATTGAAGAAGCTTTTAAGAAAAGAGAAGATTCATATATCCCTTATCAATGTATGGACAGCTAATGTTTGAAAGTAAAGAGATGATTATTTGGATAAGTGATTTATAGTTGTTTCTATCGCTAATATTGAAATCAATCGCATAATCTTACCCGGATTCTTCACTTGCACTTTGGGCCATGTATCCAGTTTCCCGAAGCCTCACTATCCACAACCCAAACACCAAGCCCGTGCATATGTCCGTGTTCGGTTCGGACATACAATGTGCATGTAACTCCTTCGCACTCATATACCTATAATAATATTTTAGCTAACGATTTTAATTATATTTTTCGAATGACTCAGAAATTTTCAATTAATTTACATCTTTTTACAATATATTTCTATTCACCGAAAAAGTAATTTGAAAATTTTTATTTTTTTCTAAAGAATTAAATTCTATCGATTATTTAAATCAATTTATTTTACAAAGCAAGATGCATCGGATAGGGATATATACATATATTGGTATAACTTATATTAATAATTAGTAATTCAACAACAGCTAATGGAATGAGTTTTGCATATCCAAACACTAATATATATGTTATTAAAAACGCTAATAAAATCGTTTATTGTACTAATATATATATATATATATATTATTGTGTGGATGACTATATAAGTCGAATACCTGGCCACAGTACCTAACAAAATAAAAAATTATTGAACATTAAAATAAAAAATCAAAAAAATACTTAGAAACAAGAAATAATATAAATAAAAACATAGTCTAATTTTACAAATTCATACCAAGTATTTTTTCACTCATAAACTAAAAAAGTAATTTACTCGCTAGTCATGGGAATAAGAACAAAAATAAACATCACCTAAGATTGATTGGATTGACAGGAAAGAACTCAAAATTTTATTGAAGGAATCTTTCTTCTTCTTTTCCTTGGGTGAATCGGCCACCTACCTTTTTTCTTTCTTTTATTCTCTTTCCTTTATTTTTTGCCCTTTGTAATAATTGGACTTTTGAATCTTTTAATTAATTTTTCAATTTATTGGGTCTTTTTATTATTTTTTTCTTTCATATTCTCTTATAAATCAGAAATAAATAATATGTACACAATGAGTTGAATCTAATCAAATCAACAAAATATCGCAAATAATATAAATAGCTATAATAGATAATATTTTGTAGGGAATAAAATTATTTATAATAAAAAATTAAAAGAATAATCTAAAAATACATTTCAACCTCCTCAAAAGAAAAGTTTGACTAAGTTATGGAGCACAATTACTCAAAAATATATAGATTTTAAAAGATAAAATGACCGATGGCATCTGATGTTATTTTTAAAAAAATAAAACGACCGATGACATCTGCAAATATAAGATCAATGATGACATATGTAAATATAATATGGCCGATGCCGAAAATGAGCGATGCGCGTCTCTGCAAGTGATTAGTGATGCACGCTTCTGCGAGAGATGGCTGATGCTCGAGATGGGCGTCGAGACGGGCGTTGAGCTTCTGCGAGAGATGGCCGATGGGACCTGAGTTCATATTGAGACAATATGAGAAAATAACAATGATAATTACAAAAAAAGGGAAGGGGCATACAAAGACGAGTAGAGCAGCGGATAGTGGCAGCAAAGACATCTGGAAGAGGCTCAGGCACTCGTTCAAAAGGCGTATGTTGATCCGTTGAAGAAGGCAGTGACAAAAGGACTTTAATGGGAGGAGTAAGTGTGAGCTTAGAACCGCAGAAGATAAAAAAAAGTATAGGGTGTGTTTACTTGTGAAATTTGTTTTTTTTTTTTATTATTTTAATTTTTTTTTCAAAAAAGTATCAAATTAAATGCCTATTTTTTATTTATTATATTACACTAAAATTAAATTTTATATTCAAAACATCAAATCAATACATATTTATATCACGTTAAACTACTATTTCAATTCAAAATTTTACTATTCAAAACCAAAATATTATAAGTAAAGAAAAAAAATCACATTAAAGTAAATAACAGGGATTTAGATTAGATGTTGAATTTGGACACCGAATAAAATATTTGATACTTTAAAAATGTAACATAACAAAAAAATTTAACGATCAGATAACCCAAGAAATCCCAAACCGATAACTCTTATTCCTCTATCCCATAACCAAGAAGTAACACAAACTAACTTTTGGTTCTCCACTCGAGTCAGAGTAAATCTGTCTGGATGGATATTGGCCACGGTGGAAGAGCAGAAGATGCCGTATAGACAGCATTGGTTCCTTCCGTCGACGTTACTGCATCGGTACGAGGACGCGATTATGATTAAATAAATATTCAAGCAAATTCTATTTTTTGTTTGGAGGATTCTCCAGATTTCCATTATTCTAACATTTTTTTTTAAATAGTATCAAATCAAATCAAATATTTATTTTTTTATTTTTTATATTATATTAAAAATAAATTTTATATTCAAAATATCACATCAATATCTATTTATATTATATCATCGTAGTTCAAAATTTTTACTATTTAAATCCACGAAGATTCAAACCTTCAAACAAAACCCTTTGATTTTTAATTTTATAGGAATAATGATAATAATCATAATAACAACTGGCATGGGGGTACGCATGTCGTAAGCGGTGACATCACATCGAATTGAAGACAGTCAAATGACAAAGCCACCGTTGACCCGGATGATCTGGCCGTTGACCCAGCCCCCTCCGTCAGCGACGAGAAAGCCAACGAGGTGGGCGACGTCGTCGGGCTCACCCAGGCGCCCCAGCGGGCAGGCCTCCACAATCCTCCGCACCGTCTCCTCGCTCTTGCCCGCGTAGAAGAGCTCCGTCCCCACCGGCCCCGGCGCCACGCAGTTCACCGTTATCCCCGTGCCCTTCAGCTCCTTCGCCGCGATCCGGGCCATCGTCTCCACCGCCGCCTTCGACGCCGCGTAGGCTGCGTATCCCGGCAGCGCCGCCCCCACCACCGACGTCGATATCAGCACGATCCTCCCCGGCCCCCCGCGCGCCAGGCGATTGGTGGCCTCGCGGCAGGTCAGGAAGGCGCCCTTGGCATTGACGTTGAAGCAGGCGTCCCAGTCCTCCACGCTCGTGCTGGCGATGGCCGGGTACTTGGGGTCCAGAACTCCGGCGCAGTTGACGAGGATGTGCGCCGGAGCCTCGAATTCCTGCTCCGCCCGGTCGAAGAGCGACTTCACGTCGTCGGGGTTGGATACATCGGCCTTCACGGCGATTGCGGTGGTGGAGGAGTTGTTTGAGTTACTGTTGAGTTCGTGGGCCAAGGCCTGGGCTTGGGTAGCGCCGGAGGCGTAGTTGAGGACGAGCTTGGCGCCGAGGGCATGGAGGTGGACTGCGATTGCTCGGCCGATTCCGCGGGATGCTCCGGTGACTATAGCCACGCGGCCGGCAAGGGGCGCTGTGGCTGTGCTTGGGGCCGCCGCCATGGAAGTGGAACCTCCGCAATCGATGAACTAAGTAATCAAATATTGATTAATGATAAGCTGATTGATTGATATATATATATATATATATATAGAGTCCTGTAGAATGGATATATAGTAGTCGTAGTAATGGCGGTAGTAGCGTAGAGGTGGTCAGGGCGTCAGCGAGTGCGCATGGATGATGCGTGAGACCATGTGCTTTGGAGCCCACATTAATTAGCGTTTCAACGTTTCCACCGGCCTCTCTCTCAGCTCAAGGATTTAGAGCAATAAGATAACTCACGATGTCCATGAATTCTGTCAGGAGGCTTTTTTATAATAAAAAGTGTACAATGATAAAGATAATAGAAGTTAAAAAATGATGATAGCCTCCTCAAGACTCGATGCAGACCAAGCCATTTTTACGCAGATACCATTTGTACATGCTTTTACAATCAACTTTTCGTGAGAACGAGACCACGTTTCTTGTTTGGTTGGGATTTGTATCAGATTTCAGTCAATGCTAATTAGGTTATCGGCATAGACAAACTCTCCGAAAGTTTCTCCCAATTTTCACTTTATATATATATTTTTTTTCTTTTACAATCTCTTCAGTTCACCTCACTAAAAAAAAAATTATATTTTTTAATTTATATCAAAATAATTAATAATATTATTAAATTTAAATAAAATTATATCAATATATATAATTTTGTAGAAAATAAAAAATTTTATATAATATAAAAATAAATAAATAAATAAAAGATATTTTAAAAAAAAAAAGAAAAAAAAAGAGTTTTATTGAGTTGCTCTGTCCAGCACACCTTTTGCACCCCTTATTTTCCACTTCATCATTTTTATTTTTTTTTAAATTATAAATGATGACGTGAGAAAATCCGATGCTGATACCCTAATAGCATATGCAATGAAATACTAAATAAAAGCCTCTACAACTGGTAAAAATCCTACGTGGCTAATTATCTGACACTTCCCAATTCCATTTCAAAGTTGCACAATGGTCAAATATAATTTCTTTTTCAAATCTTCTTTTTTGTTGTAAAATTGCAAATGAAAGTTTTTATGGAAAAATCTTCCGGCTGTTGTTTTCTTCATATTCATCAATCAATTATTCTTCAAAGATGCGATAATGGCCAGCAGAGCGGAGGTCAACACTCTCAATAGGAAAGGAAGGGCACACGGGGCTCAACTCACTCACTGAGCAGGGCCAGGAAAGAAGTTCATTGACATTGGGTGCGCGAACAAATCGCAACCGTCCTCCGATCATTCCCCCGCACCCCACCCTACTCTGGCTTCTTCTCCCTCTCCTCCCTGGCGCTACGTAGAGGGAGCCCTCACACTCACACCCACTTCCACTACCGTTCAATTCAAGAATTTCGATGCCTTTTTACGTTTCTTGTTTTATATTATATTACAAATAATAAGAAATGAAATAATAAGAATATCACACTCGCACTCACACTCACTTCCTCTACTGGTTCCATAATCCCAAATTTGAAGAAAACGACAGGACATGCTATATACAGAACCACGAGATGATAATTAATAAACCCACAAAAACATTCATCAAAGTTCAAACTCTTCCTCCTTTGTATATTAACTATCAGTGAGTAGTATGTACATCACCACACACACACTGTACAACAATCTACAGAGATGAGATGAGATGCGAAGATGATAAATAGTGGAAACACTGCAGCTTCTCATCCTGTAGCAGCTTAGTAAATACTAATCTTAGCACAACTGCACGCACCAACTCTCCGGATATTCATACAAGAAAACAAGACTGCCATGTGTACAAGGAGGATGCACTTTTGGCCTTAGCTTATTGCAAACTCACAGCAACGGTGAACTCGCTATGGTTTCTTTCTTTCTTCCTTCTTTTCTTTTTTTAAAAAAAACTACTCTACACACTCAAATTTCATGCTCCCGGGTGGCAGCCATCAATCTACACGCTCCAATCATTTATTTCAACCACCCTCTTGACTTCTTCTATACAGCCCTGGCAGAGAGCACTTCGGGATTGGAAGCATTCATTATAGGGAGAAAAACCACATGAAAAGCTTCCTTAGCTTAGCTCAGGGCATAATGTACTCGCTCAAGCAATCGAACAACCTGGTTGACCATAACTGGCATGGATGGCTTCAAACCTGACACAGCCTCGTTTGAATGTTGTGGTGATGTCAACACCGCCTCTTGTTGCATCGTTGTAAGCTCCAAAAATTGGGCCAGAATGTCTCCATCAAGTACCTTAGGTATTCCTGCCTGCCAATTGATTGGAAAGTGAAAATTCAGTACTCCCTTCCCTCTCACTCACCACACATTCAATTTTAACTCTAGAAGGTACTGACAACAAAAGAGTAAAACTATTAGAATCATCTATTGTCGAAATAAATAATCATAATCCAGTATTAACAAGGCATAATGAATGAGAAGACCAGCCTTGCCATATACTATAAATGTCTTTTAAAAATTTTACTTAATGTTTCGCGTACACAGCTCATAATCTCTACTTATTGCTGCAATAGCAGAAAAATTACATACAGGTCACCACATGTGCGACTGACTTCAAATGATTGATAAGGAAAAATAGGAGTGCCTTATTAAAATTCATATCAAAATTAATGAGATTAACTTGGAACTCAAATCAGATTGATTGAATCAACAAACTCCCCGGGCAGAAGCTGTCTATTCATAAGAACGTCTTCAACATCATCCAAGGGCCAGGATATCCCACAACCACCCAATTAGCACATCGATCACACACATGAGAAAGCATCCACACGCACAACAGAAACTCCACACCCATCAGAACTTTAGGGAAAGGATAAACAAAATGGAGAAGGGTGTAGCAAAGAAATACTCATTAGCGCATTCATTAAGCACTGTTACAGTGAAATCAAATAAGTTAGTAGGGACTGACCCGACTCCCGCGGCTTCGAAACTCATTGTGATCATTTCCCAAAATAGGACTAGTGAGAGGATCAACCACCAGCCTAGCTTGAACATCTTCCAGTAACTCGTACTCTTCCCTGTGGAATTGATAACTAGTCAAGTGTGGCCAATGACCCACTTAGCACTGTTAAAGAATTCCTTAATTGGAAAAGTCTACAATTTTATGTAATCATCGAAACTTTTCAATGTTCTGTGGGAGGGCAGCGCCCAAAATAACAAACATTATATTGAAGAAGCCATTAGAAAATTAGATATTCTAACATAGATTATGTGTGACTGCAAAGAATGCTTAAAATAAGCTTCTATCGAGGAGAGTTCAAATGCAATAGCCAGACTTAAAATGTCTTGAAGACCTTAAATGTTGGAAATTGTGAGTGTAAAAGCAATGATGCTTAGTAGGCACTAGTTAGCACCAAGATGCATCAAAATTAATTGATCCACAACATCGTTCCAGCTCATACTCTTAGCGAGCAACAAACTTGTTAGAGCCATAAAAGCCTTTCCACCTTAAGGTTCAAGGACGTGGAAGCATAGAACTTCAGCATAAACAAAAATCTTGGCATCACTCAAACTGTAGAAGTCCAGAAGTTGGGATCTTGAAGCTTCCCTAATGGCCTTACTTCAGTTACTAGTCTCAAATCTCTTCTACACGGTGCAGAGATTCAAGATGACAAAAAAGAAACAATTTGACAACTCAATATACCTTGTAATTGGAATAAATATAACTATACTCCCCAACAGTGTAGATGCCATGATGCAATTCCTTGAGGAATTATTGCTATTACTAGCAGTACCATAGTTCTTCATCATATCATCAGCAGGGAGTTTATATGAGAAAGATCCCTACAAGAAGGTAAAACAACCCATGTCATGCATATAGATAATCTGATGCAATAGAAAATATTTCCTGTTACCAAAAACTCTTTCAGAATAAATAACCCATGGCTGCAGGTAGGTATAATCACAGCCTCAGATAAAAAGTTTACATTGCACCGCTCTAATATTTTCTGGTTACAGGATAGAGTTTTACTCAATGACACAATCCTGATTCCTTGGCTAGGTTGTAATGAATCTTTTATACTGGCTTGTTCATTCCTTTTGAAGGCTATGTTCTGTAACTTTCTTCCTCTGGTTTATTAACTCAAGTCGAATCAGACAACACTAAGGGGAACATATCTGAAAATTACCTTCCTCATGCTCATGGCAATCTCACCCATAAAATATGAACAGCTTAGAGTCAAGTTGCGTTCTGGGCTTGCATTATCTGGAACATGAAGTAAAGCATTTGAACTAAGTAAAGATATAATTCTCAAGAAAGCATTTTAAACTTCAAAATGTTTCATAAAAGCCACTGAAGTCCACACCATAACAAAGTTACTTGACTTTCTAATGTTCATAGATCTATATACATAACAACAAAGGATAAGCTGATTACACTTCTAAATTGGCTTTTCCCTTTTAACAGACAACACATAAAGACTCCTATTATACAAAATTTTAAAATTCATTTGCAACTTCAGCCAACTTCAGTTGTGCAAACAGTGGAATACAACTCTATATATCATTAATCAGGATTGGGGTACATATATATACACAGACAATCAGAGGCCTATTTATACTAGGAAATAAACTGAAGCTCTATATTTATGCCAATTTATATAGGTAACAGAAACAATGCCCTAATTTTTATTCTCACCCAGTGGAACAACCAACTAGCAATTCAAAAGTATCCCAATTCTCAATATTACTTAGCTTCGGATGTCCATGCTAAAAATAAGTTATTCAAATATTAAATTGTACTCTTTGTTTCATCATAATATAAATAAACTCCTTACTCTCCTATTTATTTTTTTTTTCTTTTAATATGATGTCAATGTACAACAAGATGCATTTCAACTCTGGATACAAGGACAAATATTTATTTAGTAGAGACATTAGGCACAAGATCAATTCACCTTCTAAATGATCCGCACAAGACAAGACAACAACACTTCCTTTCCGATCAGAAACAAAGGCAGTATCAACATCCATAAGAACACAATCAGCAACAAGCCTTTGCACAGGATCACAATAAACCTGCTCCAGTTTTCGCGAATCCTGGATTCAAATATTTAATATTGGTTTGTAAGAAATCCAACGCTATACTTATTCCATTTCCACCAGTAAACTTCTACAATGATTTTTTCTCCATTTGTATTTTGCAAAGCCACATACTAAAACAATATTAAACAATAAGGCTAACCAAATGCCAAAGCAAGAATATTCGCTAACCTCATGGTATGAATAAAAAAGAATGCCATCACGGCAATCTCCGACAGCTATCCTTGTGAAATGTACACTCAAAGTCATTATTGTAAAGCGTGTTCTCCCAACAGCCAATCTTCTAACCCTTTGGGAGTTATCGTTTGGAAAACCACAAACATAAAACTAAAAAGAACAAGAGAATATCTCTTTAGTACTACCAAATAATAATCATTGCCAGAATTTTCTGTCACCAAAGTAAAAGCTTCATGACTTACAGAATTACCAGCAGAAGCCAAAAAATAACGATCAAGGTAAGGGCAGATAGCAATGGGCATTCCAGGCCAATTAGTAGAATAGGCTAGGCGTAAGTGCCATGCTTCAGTTTCTTCAAGTTTAATCCCATCGCAGCTATTATCATCTGGGCTGCTACAGAGACTACTGCTGGAGAGCTGTTCTCCACCATACCCACCAATAGGTGAATTTCTTTGGACCGAACAACTATCTGAATTTTGCATTTGATCAAGGCAAAGAATCACCAGTCGACCTTTTGTACTGTAAATTATGCACCATAATACTGTAAATGATTTGAAATATATTCACCCTCCTAGTGAGACTGAGAGAAAGACTATCAAAGCAGAACAAATCAATAAATAAAAGTTCTGAAGTTTAAAAAATATGCGGGAAGGCACTCGAAATTTACAACCTTTCGGCTTCACCACTTGGCATGATAGCTGGTCCGGCAGATTGACTAACTCCAATCACCAACACATGCTCATTTCCCACCTTTACCAACTGCATACATTTCCCCGTCTCCCCAGGATCAAATTTGAAGGATGACAACACCGAGCCACTCAAAGGATCCACACAACAAACATCTGACGAGCACGAATCATTGTCTAATTCTGTCCTCATAACTAGCAACAGCCTGCTTTCATTGTGATATAATATCTTCCTTGGTGTACCACCAATATGAAATTTTTGCACATTTAGCCTCTTACTTGGGACCATTTCCACCTATGACACAAGAAATAAAATATTGTTGTCAGACACTAGTGTCATAATATTTCTCAACTTTAAAAAAATAAAAAAAAAAAGATGGAAGAAGGCAGTAGTCTACAAAAATATCCTAAGCCAAGATAAAAGGTGTTAATGTCATCAACATGTAAATATTGAATAGTGGATAGTGTTGGGGATACTTCTCTGCAACTACTAAAACATAAAAAAAAAAATAAAATAAAATAAAAAAAATGAAGCCTGTGGTGAACTGGAGATGCAGAAACAAATTTTAGCAGAATGTCCATCAATCAGAGATTCAAGGTAATCTTTTCCATAATAAATAATAAATGAAAGCTCCTATAAAGACATATTCTATGCATTTGCATGATTATAAAAACATAACATAAATCAGCCGCAACACTCCATTTTAGATGCCTTTAGATGACCTATATTCCTATCAGTATTTCCCATCATGATATAATAAACTCCATTCTTCCCCCAAAATAAAGAAAAAATGTTTACAAAGCAATATCCCAGCTGTTCAAAAATACTACCATTTAAGGAAACTTCTTTTGTCCCATATTTGTCATTTTATACTTTCAAGACAACATTTGCTACCTTTTGCAATTGTTATGCAAACTAATTGTATTAAATACTTCGATTTGAAAAGAAAAACATTTTTGGTCATAAAAACAAATAAATAAATCTTTAAATTTCATTATTTCAATACTTCATAAACCAAAACCTAAAATTACATGTATTTATTGATGAAGAGAGTAATATGTTTCATAGTGAATTATGTTTTATTAATAAAATAGTAGGCATAACTATAAGAATATACTGATGATATGCTTTAAATATAATATGAACATTATTTTGAAGCTTTTAAAATGTATATAATACGATATAGATATTGAATGGAAGATGAATTATTTTGAAAAGTGAACCGTAGGAGAAATTCAAAATAATACAAAGTAGAAAATATAATTCGCAACCATATGTGTTGCAAAGTACCAAAGGCTTTGTCATAAAATATACAAAGGGTGTGTTTGTTTGGTGGATTGGATTTTAAATACACTATTCATCCATTTCCCCCCTCCCCCCAAAAACGTCAAATCAAACACCTATTTTTCATTTTTTATATTATACTAAAAATCAATTTTACATTCAAAATATCACATCAACACTTATTTATATCACATCATACAACTATTCAAATTCAAAATTTTTACTATTCAAATCCCAACTCAAAATCCAAACTCCCAAACAAACACACCCAAAAAGATTGTCAATACTTCAGTTAGCCCCAACTAACATCCGTAAGGTCTGGATATATTGTGAAAAATATTGGCAGAAAAGATCAATAGTTTCATTACATTAAAATGAAATTGCATGCACTCACAAATCAGTACACTGTTCCAACTCAAACAACAATATGCTACATTTGCTAAGTGGCAAAATAATTATGACAAATGAACAGTAACAAGCACACAATATTCCCCTCCAGAGTAATACTCATAATATATGTAATCTAAGCATTTAAGTGAGATTATGTGGAGTCAGCCAGAGTTTACTGTCAAGTTTCAAAGATAAGAGATTTAAGCCAATGAAACGCCACAATTTTATTATTTTCTCACTAACTGATAAAGGTGTCTAATTTGCTCCTGAACATTCTGAAAAAGGCAAGCAGCTTTGAAAGGATCTATAGAACTTATATATCACTGCATGTGTGACAAATCTATTAAAGATTCTTACATACTCTAAATGACCAGTAAATAGGATAGAATGGGGGAAAGAACTCAATTCACTGTCTAAAAATAAGAAAACCGATTCCTCTACTGTGTCTAAAATTCCGTTAGATAGGAACAAAGTGGATAATTACTGCTAATCCTCAGATAGAGTATAGAACAAAAAGATCCATTTGATAATGAACTATTGCTTCTAAGTCATCTCGTACGATTAATCATCAATTCACGTTAACTATTAGTGCAAGACTTTTTGCAACCTCTAAAATCCACTCTCTTCTAGCCCAATACCTGGACATGCAAGGCATGACAAACAGATGAAGAACAATACGAGTGTAAAACAAGTCGGATATATAATCTGGTTGTGTCATATAGTATTAAATTCATACATCTCATCCTAAATGCTGTGTGTAAAAGCTGGCAAAAACTGACACGATACGACAACCCGATACGAACCTGACACAAGATAATTAGTTTTTGGTCAAGGATTTCAACCTGATTATGTAAGGATTGACACGAGTCCGATACGATAATAAACGAGTCAGGTTAGGGTTGAGGCTCTTAACTCAAATCCGATAGGACAACCCGTTTATAATGTATTAATAGTAATTAATATATTTATTATATATATAAAATAATTATAATTTTATAATTAGTTCACATATTAATTTAAACTAAATTCAATTTTACATAATTCAATCTAATTCACTGTACACATTACACTAGAACCAACAAAAACAAACATAACACCACAACATGACAAAAAATAATTGAATTTGAATAAAAAAATTTGACTTAATTATGTATACGGGTTAACATAAGTCAATACGAACCCAACAAGATAATAAACGGGTCGAGTTAGAGTTGAATTATTTAACCTGTTTAAAGTATTCAACCCGACACGAATCGACCAATTGTCTGCTCTAACTGTGTGTACCATGTCAATCAAGTGTGTATAAATCACACCTCAGGTGTGCTTGTTTAGGGTTTCTGATTTTTGGTTGAGATTTTTAATAGTAAAATTTTTGAATTGAAATAACTATACGATGTGATAGGATTGACGTGATGTTTTGAATGTAAAATTGATTTTTAGTATAATATAGAAAATGAAAATTAGATATTTGATTTTATGTTTTTGGTGATAAAATTCTTTATGAATAGTAGAAATTTGAGAAAATTTGATAAAAGAGCACACCCGAATTGTGAATTTTTTGTTCAAACTTCAGACATCTGGGTAACAGCCCACCCAAAGCCTGACCTACAATGCTTTCTCAGAATTTGATTAGTTATAACAATAAATGACCAATATAGACACTATACCCCAGCTCTTGATGCTTGAATTCTTGTCACTAGCCAATTTAACTAAAAGATGCCCAGCCCCAGCTAACCTAATTTGAAGGTAATTTCTACATAAGTACTAAAATTACAACGCAGCTTCATAGTGTGTTCACACACCATCTCTTTGGTGGAAATCCTGATAGAGCAGTGATAAAGTGAACAAGCAGAAAACTTGTACAGATACAGAAGCTCTATCAATCTCTCTTCAACAAATCTGTTAAGTAAACATTCCTCTAACAGAGGTACATATTTGAAACTGGATAGCAGGAAACACTTTCAAAAGAAGCCTGAAAAAAAAAATGCTTCCAATCGAGTTTAACTACAACATTTTTGGGTGAAATTAGCCGCTGACACATTCCTGAAATGGGCACCTAGTTATTGCAATACAAAAGGACATGCTGTCAAATTTATTTCAGATTCAATAGATATGGCACAGGCCCACAGCAAGTGGGTACATGTAAACATCCTTGTACAGAAAGTAGAGATATTTTAACATCCCTTCCTGGATGATATATATGGAGCGTATAAAGTAAATGTACAAGCATAAAGAAGCAGAATCAATGAACTTAAATAACATAAGAGTCAGAATGCTATATACCAAATGAAGACTGTTCTCCGCAACAAATAAAATTCCTCGGGGGCATTCAATTGAACACACAGGAGTCACATGAGTAGAAGGCTGAAAGGATATGGATGTATAAGACAGACTCTGTCTTGCAGTCTGCAATAACCAAGGCCTGTCACTGAGAGCAATCATATCAGCATCCAGGGAATCACTCAATGAAACCAAGAAAACAGGTGTAATACCAATGCGGCGCACAGCAATCAACTCCAGATTAACTGGGAACTCTCCTTTAGTCCTTCCAGATGTGTTGGACATAAAAATTGCTGGAATCTTAGTATTTGGGGCTATTGAATTGGATAATACAGGGGAGTTCATCATCCAGGAACCAACAGCTTGTGCACAAGGTGGCTCTGTTGAGGACAGGGTAGTGTTACAAGACCACTCAAACCTAAGTAACATTCCATTCCTCAATCCTGATAGAACATACATACGGTCAACTAACACAAGTTTCACATCTTGCGGAACACATCCACTAATGGTAGTCCCCATGGTATTGGTTAATGATATAATTCCTACAGCAAGAACTTGAAATCCTTTGTCATGCGTAAAGGATACAACTTCCACAGAAGGCCTATGAGTTCCCACAACAAACAAATTTCCAACATCAGGAGTTAAGTTGTAGTCAGCTGCAAAACGCATCAAAACTGTATTCTGCTGGGGGTGCTCCACTGGTATGGAAATACAGGACAACTCATTCTGCAATTTTACACAGTAGATTTGGTATACTTCATACTGACTGGCCGAGGAAGAAATTATGCCAAGAATGAACAAGTAGCATGGACTGGATGTTGCCACTACTATCCTGCCCTGTCCAACAGCTCCCAGGCTTATATTCATATTATCAGGAAACCATGATGTGCATACTGGTGACGAGGAAGCAATTCCTTCAGGATGTAAAGCTCTAACAGGCAAACAAAGTTTTACTCCAAATTGATGAATCTGGACAATCATGCCATCACCCACAACACCACAAGCCAATGTGCAGACATCAGGCTGAAAACCAACTAATTCAGTCACATCTGCAAAGCTGACACCAACAGAGAGAACCCTGGTCTCTTCAACAAATGATAACACAAGAAAAGAATGATACAAGTCAGAGACATTCATTTTGAGTGTCCATGTCCCAGTTACCCCTTGATAAATTGGAGCAGTTTTCAATAATTTCTCCACACTGATACCACTCCGAATTATTCGCAAGGATCCCTCAGATGCCATCCCAGAACATGCGAATATTTGATCATGTTTCTCATCAGGATAATCAACTATGCACATATCCAAGATTGGGGCAATGTTTTGAATGGAACTTCTGTATTTCAGAACTCCCTCTTCAAACTTGAACACCGTCCCATCAGCCATGTCAGCAATTGCCACCACAAACCCACCTTCAAGCCATAACAGAACATTACATGGTAAACTTTTATGGAGACAATCGGATAAATTGACCCTGAGGCTTCCATCAGGCTCAAAAATCATTTCAATAGCATAAAGTTCCCCAGAGTCGGCACTGAATATAATTCGTGAACTATTAATGGCACCAGGTTCCCAACACCATGAGCAAACATAATTGGAACCAGGCTGCACACTACCATAATCATCAATACTCATTGGATCATCGCTTTTATTTAGGTCACCAAGCTCCAATAAAGCAGAGGCAGCAACACTATGAATGCCTTCTTCATCCATTATATCTGGTATTCTTATAATGTGTTTAATCTTTTTTTCCTCCACTGGCGTAAAATTTAAGCTTGTTCTATAGACACAAGAGGGGGCATTAGAATTCCTGAAATCCATTAGAACAATGTCACCTGCCCTGAACAGGAAGGCAAATCCATTAGAATGGGGGACTTCAACTATATGATATGCTAATGGCCCAGCTTCAGCAAACTGATACACCACATTCACAGCATGTTCATCAATATTCCATTCCAATAACAGAAGCTCGTTTCTATAGAAAGATCCCCACCTGAAGGGAAAAAAAAACCATTTTCATACATAGTATTTTTCTACAAGACAACAACATTTTCTTTACTAGGCTTCTTTAAATGAAAACCAATGGAACAATATAAGAATATTACAGGAATACACAAATCACCTATTTAGAAGAATGGCCAGTAAAGGTTTGTGCTCTTTACTAGGCTGGCGGTAATCCTTTGAGATAAAGCACATGCTCCATATAGTACCAGAAATATTGGTAGAGCCTCTGGCAGTTTTTAAGCGCCCATCTTTTTCAGGAGGGCAGAAAATCCTCTGATATGCATGAAAGAAACAAGCATTTAACTTAAGTGCTATGAAATAACCCACAAATTGTGCATATCAAAGGAGGAATGCTTCAATGCAGAACCTTTGGGGCAAAGAACTAGGTCAAACTCAACCTTATCAATGATATCAGTACTATTTGGAGATGTTGAGATTGCAAAAATAGCCAATTGGTCCTCAAATGCACTAGCAGCAACAAAACACCCACTGAGAAAGTAAATACAGAAAAAAAACAGCATGACTAGCAATTCAATAAATTCTTATCATGCATGAGACTGTTTACTGTTGCATGCAGCATAGCAAGAAACTCACCTAGAATCAATTGCCAACATCCTTCCAACTTGATTCCTTGAGTTTCCAGGTGCAGAAAGTTGAACATTAGCCAATGGGAAAAACCTAAAACAATAGAGCACCACTCAAGCAAAACCTATTTATTTATCTATCCATCTTTTTCTTTGCAAGTTACAAATAGGGAAAACATCAAGTTAAAATAATTGTACATATTGCTGATTGAACCTGTGCATTTCATTGCAAAAGAAGAGAAATGACAGCTTTCCAGAATCTGAAATGACAATCAACGTATCCTTTCCAAGTATCTACACAATAACGAAGCAGGAAACCCTTAATCACTAGCAACTCCAAACATAAATTTGGTTAACAGAAAAATAAAATAAACTAAAATAAGAAAGCAAACAAACCTTAGGACTATGATCATAAACAGCTTTATTCGAGGGAAGGACCGCAAGATCTTTAATTGTGCCAAACACAGGTTGTTCAGAAATTGATTGAATTATCCCATCTTCATCAATTATCACCAGTTCTATTGATGTCTCCTGGCAGGAGGTTCCATCATTATATCAAGGTTCCACATCTTGCAAGAATAGCATGCCAGTGGTATCTCAAAGGTACTCATCACAAGCACAAGAACAATAAGTTGAGCATGTGTTTCAGTGACATATACATACAGTTGAAGAGCAATACAGAACTCCGCTTCAACACCACAGTGTCAGATATACAAAATGTTTCCTATCAGCCACGTCACAATCGATTGGAATCAATGTACTTGTGAGGGTTTTTGTTTGTACACTATATAGATGGCCCTAAGAATTTCTCAAAGGGAAACAATGATATAGGATTGATTGAAGTAAGTAATAGAATTCAGCCTCCACTTGTCAAATTTTAGTTAAAACTAGTTGCATACTCTTAACTAAATAGATGGCACTATCATGGTCATAGTTCAGAAAATGCCAAAAAATAAAGGTGTATCGAAATATCATAAATTTTTTTGTTTAAGAGGGACACCAAGATTCAAGCAATAACAAAAGTGATATGCTGGCGTTTTGCTTCAGTTAAGGATAGAATTTCACTGATCCTCCGGTGGCCTGAATAAACTTTCCTTCTTGCACCTGTAGAAACCTTCATTTATTCTTTCCAAACTAGTTCATTAAAGAATGAATGTTTTCTCACTTGATCACAAGGCTATTACGAGCCATAGATTAACTACTGACCTGGTGGAGTTTCTTATAGTTGATTTACAGGGAGTGAGTTTACTGTCACTGCTACTGCTACAGGTTATATAATTAATTAGTTTCCGCAGCCCGCTTTGATTTCATGATACAAATTAGAACAAGAAAGAAGGTCATGCCTATGTTACTGCGGTCTCCTCTACATTATCATGATTACAAGAGCTGCATTGAATATGATAGCTAGCAGAATAGAATTGCAAGCCTATGGTCGTGAGATAAGGAAGCTCCTCTGCCTCAACTCCTTTCTTGTTTATTTGCATAATACCTAGTGTTGCTTTTGCTTTGACCCGCTATTATGTCCTTCTAAAGAGAACCCATTACGACAGTGGAGTTGGAACGGCCTATAGGGGCTAGAACTAGCATATTTAAAAATAAATCAGGTAGTAGAGGATAGTAAAAAGCCAAGCAGAAGCAGACGAATAGTCACAAATACAGATAGAGGAGATCGCAGCAGAAAGAAGACATTTTGGTGATGAGGAAACAGCAGGCGCACCTTGCCAAAGACAACGTCGTATGAAGAGGGGGAGCGAAAGTGGCCGCAGACAGCTTGAAGAACGACGCTCCCTCTGAGAACGGTCTTGGCCAAATAAAAGGCGCCGGCAGCATTATGGGAGGGTGACCGGGAAGCGGCAGCAGGGGTGGTGGATGTATGTGGGCGGGACGAAGAAGACTCCTCTACTGCAGCAGACATGATGATTTCGTCGGAAGGTGGAAGTGAAGATTGAGGAGGCTCCGCTATGCTATGCTAGGCCAGGCTAGGGTTGATCGAAATTCCTGAATTGAACGGTAGTGGAAGTGAGTGTGAGTGTGAGGGCTCCCTCTACGTAGCGCCAGGGAGGGGAGGGAGAAGAAGCCAGAGTAGGGTGGGGTGCGGGGCAATGGTCGGAGGACGGTTGCGATTTGTTCGCGCACCCAATGTCAATGAACTTCTTTCCTGGCCCTGCTCAGTGAGTGAGTAGAGCCCCGTGTGCCCTTCCTTTCCTATTGAGAGAGTTGACCTCCGCTCTGCTGGCCATCATCGCATCTTTGCATACATTGTTATTATTATTATTATTATTTCTTTTTTGAATTTTTTTAATAAAAAAATATTTTTTTTTAAAAGATATTTTAACAGAATCTAAATTGTTTAGGAGTTTGAATTTTGAATTAAAATTTGAATAGTTGTACCGTTGATGTGATATTTTTAGTATAATATAAAAAATAAAAAATAAGTATTTAATTTGATATTTTTGGAAAAAAAAAAAATACAAACACACCCTAAATAAAAAAATATTTCAAATGTAATTTAAAAAAAAAAACTGACAAATTAATTGATAAATTTGCTTTTATTGAGTCGAACCAATCCATTACTAATTCCCCAAAATTTTCATTTGAAATCTAAAGAAAGATGATCATTCATATATATTCAATAGACAGATGCAATGCAACACCAACAACAGGAGGGAGGGAGGGAGGATTGTGATATGGTAAAAGGGTGAGGGAGGGTCATAGAAAGACAATAGTGCGAGCTAGCGAGCCCGATATCAAAAGTAAAAGCATAGTGATAGGTGAGTAAGTCAACCATCCACCAAATACACAGGAGATGGATGGATGCGTAGCCCTGTGTGACTGTGGGATGAGGTGAGATTCAATGAAGAGGCCAAGCCTGTGCCAACTTGGATGGATGAATCTACCTTCATATGACAAATTGTAAAGTGGCATGGTCATCCATCTCTTTGTTGCGAAGCCAGTGGCAGCCTCATCCTCTCAACCATGTGTTGCGGTATGATGAGTTGTCTCGCAGGGAGGCGTCATGGGGCTTGTACTCCATCACATAGCTGTGGGGAAGCTTTAAATGTCTTTTGATGGAATCTCTCAGAGCCATAACCGCCTGCTGGTCAGACAACAAAGCAAATAAGCACAAGAGCATGCATTCTCCCTTGCAATCTAACATCACCAAAGGAAAATAAGGCTTGGAGTATTATTATGTATAGCCAAATAAAAAAGAGCAGCTGACCTGATGGTCAGACGCATTGCGGTTCCACACACTCACTATGTCCTCGTTAAAACGGATACTCAATACTGCTCCACAAATATTATCACCATAATCAAGCTGGTCTCCTATTAATGCCAGAATCTGCATATCAATATCCAATACACAACTACTAATCAAATTTTTCTGATGCTACAAGCTACAAAATAGCAATATCAAATAATAATGCCCGTAATAGTTACTTGAATGCCACCATCAAGTACCTAAATTAATGCCCAATCAATTTATTATCAAGCAGGATCAAAGCCACAACAAGCCATTTAACAAAAAATAGTACCTCCGTCCTATTACAAAGTAAACATTTATTTTTGGCGCAGAGTTTAAAAAATAATAATACGTAGTGGGTAGTTAAGAATAATGTAATGACATTTTTGCCCTTACTTTTTGGTGTAAAACTAATGATGTCATATAAATTAAGGGTATTTGTCGAAAAAAAATTAGCATTTAATGAAATAGTTACTTTGTAGTTGGACAACCCAAGATAGAAATATGTTTACTTTCCAGCTGGACTGAGGGGGTAAAATAGTATGCAGTGGATAGCTAAGATTAGTATAATGACATTTTTGCCCTTACTTTTTTGTGTAAAAGTAATGATGTAAATTAGGGGTATTTGTGAAAAAAAAAATTGGGTATTTAATGAAATGATTATTTTATAATTGGACAACCAAAATAGAAATATGTTTACTTCCTGGCCGGACAAAATATGCATATCTGATCAAAAAAAATAGATATGCATAAAAACATTCAAAATAAGCACTTCAAGGGTTTTCTAAGAGTTCTGAGAAGAGCCCTTCATGATCACCCCCCTCACTGATCATGAACACTCTCAACAAATAGGAAGATCAATCATTTATCAAAATTATGTACACAAGGAATAAAATTATGTGAGATTAGCTTATGCCTGGGCACATGATTGACATCTAAATTATAATTATAAACAAAAAAAAAGTATTTAAATAGTATATTGTTAAGCACTTAGCTCCATACCAGGTCCTCCCAGAACCGGCCTGATACAATCTTTTTAAACCTAATAATCCATTTCCCACCATTGCAGTTAGCAGAATCCTGAGAAAAATAAAATGTTTAACTTAAATGAAACGCAATCTTAAATTAAAGTAGAAGCACATAAAACAGCTCAACAAATAAGCACACCTCCCACAGTGGACGGATACCAGCCTTGAATAAATGCAAATCAGTTGGGCTTGGCAATGTGGATGGTCGAGCTAAGTGGCAATAGCAGACCCAGAAGGCTTCAACCTGAAATACATCACATAAACAATAATGGTATGTTCGTTAATAAATACAGTGAATATTCAGCTTAAGAGAAAAGATGCATCAAGACATCACAACCTCCTTAAACCATTCAAACTGGAAAAAGAAAGCATACCGTACTGAATTCCACAATCTTCTTAACATTATCCTCATATGATGTTTGAGTTCGAACTCCAGGCGTTCGGCGAGTGTACCAGAATACAAATTTGTGCTGAAAATCATATATATAGATTTTTTACTTGCAGAATAAATGATTGTATTCTTTTGCGTCTTCGTTTGTATTTTACATTTAAACACTTCTAGTAAAAATTATTGTCTAATGTGATGTTTTGCATGTAAAAGACTAATTATTGAACATGATGGCTTTTTTAAGGAAAAATAGAACATTAAATAGATTAAAACAGGGTTTAGAAATATAAAAGAACAAACTTCTTGCAAAACTAATTCAGGCGTCTTTCCTCCCACAAAACATTAGATATGTTTTCTAATCAGTTTACATTTTTCCAAATCATATAAAAGTGTATTTTTTCTTTGCTCAAAATATTACATATTAAAAATTTAAACTCTCTTAACTTTTACCTCTAGACATTCCCCATTATTTATGAAAAGTATCACAACAAGTATAGGCTAAGTAAACAATAATAACAGACTATGTTAAGAAGTAAATATGGAAACACATGCACAAACATAGTTAGGTATAGAATTATTTTAATAAAGACCTAGAAAAAAAAAACTTCGAATTTGTCAATACCATAACCCCCCAAAGCAACATGAAAACAATAATTATGCATTCACCGTTAAGATGTTGACCCAAGGTCTCTTAAGGGTCTCCAGATGATATCTGGGAACTGACCATGAAACAATAAACCAATGTTTTATCTTCTTTAATAAATCATCACAGCGAGCTGAGAAACCACATTTATAGATCACGATTATACATATATGTGGGGATGCACGCAAAAATATAGTTAGGTATGAGATAATTTTTTTCTTAAAAACATGATAATAAATAAATATAAGAAAAAACAGATGCATAAACAATGCCATGAAGACAATAATAGCATTTCATTAAGGAGTTGAACTAAAGGAACCGTTTTATAGGCCTCTTATGGGTTTCCAGATGATGATGTGAAATGAATGTGAAACAATTAGCTAAAGTTTTGATCAAAACTCGCAAGTGATCGTTCACAGAAGTTAAGTATGTGCTTTGTTGGTTCCCTGAAATAGCTTGAAACACTTGACTCACACGCTGATTGATTATGAACCAAGGGTTAAATCATAAATAGGCTATCGATATAAGAATCTAAAAGGGAAAATAAATAAATAAATAAATAATAATAATAATAATAATAATAATAAAAAAGCAGGAACTTGTATCGCATAAATTTTCACTTTAATTTCAGTTGATAAGCATAGTCCAGACTAGAAATCCGAAAGTTCTCAATGGCGAAAACTAAAAACTTGGCAGACGATAAAACCAAAAGTTTAACATTGAGTTTCGGGGTTAAAAGGTATGGTGGCGACAGAGCAATGAAGCAACAAAATAGGGAGCACGGCAAAAATGAGGAACGGGAACGAACCTTGAGAGGGTGGAGACCAGCCTTGAGATCGAGGGCGATCTGGTCTTTATCTTCGTCCACAGCTGGAGGGGGTAGATTGGTGGCGGTGGTTTCCTTTTTCTCTGCTGCCAATTCCATGGTAAGCCGTGAGCCCTACCCTCCTCTCCGACTCCGTCTATGTGATCTCCCCTTTAAAGTTGAAATGAATGAAATGATTTGGGCTTTAGTTTTAACTAAAATAGTAGTTTCATGAATATGCTATGCTGGTACATACATCTCTCAGTTGAGATTTTATCAGGCTTCTCGAAAGATATACATATACCTCTACATTCGGATGCATCCAACCACCCTACTACTGATGCTTATATTAAATATCATAAGTTCAATCCACAGAGAAACAGAAACATGCTTCTTGAAGTTATGTAGATATGCATAATGCAAACACAGTGACTATAGCACGTAATACAAATAGAGCTATACAACCTCCATTTTGCAGATCATTAACAAGTTACATTCCAAGATTGTATCCAGACTAGTTTTTCTATTGACAAAGGCATCAAGAGGTGCAGGTTATGGAACACTCAAAAGATTTAATTTGTGGGACGTTGTTGCGACACCTATAGAAGGCCTCTCCTATATGCATCTGCTTGTTCTGGTGAAGGGCAACAATCAGTTAGGACTGATATGTTTCATTGATACAATCAAAGTGCAGCTTAAATTGCCTAACCATTTGATAGACAGGAATCAACAACCCAAATTCTGACAAGTCAAACTCAATACCAAAGTAAATCACAAAGTCAAGATCCCTATGGGTGAGTAACCAAAAGTTTTTCTAAAATTAGCTTGACGAACAATCATAAAATATTCCCCCTCCGAGAGCCCTAGCTCATCATTATTTAGGTTAGCATCATTATGATCAGCACAAACACCTACAAATTGACACCTAGAAATCTCATAATCGTTCCTAGACTTGTAATGACAAAGTGAGTGCAATACACCCTAAAAAACAAAATAAATGTTCTCCGTCGTTAAACATCACCATTACAATTCCCTCCCGCTCATGTAACCATGGAAATCATGATATCAAATGATTAACAATCGGCAATATCTACAGTTACTTAAAATCATGAATTGTAACCTATACAAAAAGACCAGGTGCGAAATCCTTATAAGAAATTCTCCTAAAAAACAAGCAGAGAGATGGAAATAAGATCAGACAAACAAATATATATATGCATACATACATACATAATCGAAGAAATAAATCGACTGAGTTTCCGATAATTCGAAGAAGCTTGAATGGTAGACAGCCATCGTGCATTTAATAAAAAGAACAGTATATGGTAAATAAAAATGAGGAATTCACACAGCCAAAACTACAGATCGTACCACAGAAACAGGAGAATCGAAGACAAAATACGGACAAAACTAGTTAAGAATCCAATCCAATCAACCCATCAACAACAGATCTTCAGTGAAAATACTCATGGCATATTATTGTTACCTTGAACGGGGTTTACCGTTTTTCAAGGAAAAGGAGAAAGAAAGGGCAAGTGTTAACAACAGAATCTGCGATTTGAGTCCGAGGTGCGGAACTGGACGAAAAGGAAAGAGGTAAGAATTTTCGGAGGGGGCTGCGTGTTTCAATATATCGAAGTGTTGTGTTGGTATGGATGGATCATATGGCTATCCTTTTTGTTCATCCGTCTGCACAAAGCACGCCCTGCCTGCCCAGCCCTGCCCTGCCTTCATTATATATTGGGCGGTGGGAGTGGGGTGTGCTGGGTTGGGTTGGGTAGGTCATTTCTTTTTCTTTTCTTTTTTTTTCCTTCCTCTTATTCTTATTTTTATTTAGTAGTCGTATTTCATTCATGTCATTACCCACTCTGCCCTGCCCCTGAAAGAGAATTGCAGATGCCCTTGCCGCGAGAGAGAGAGAGAGAGAGAGAGAGAAAAACGAAGAAAAGCCGAAACGAAACCATTGGGCTATTTCGTCGTGGGATTACTTCAGCCAATAAAATGAAATGACAGGCATTCGAAGGTCACTCCCCCGGTTGTCGACGAAGAAATTACTCAGAAAGCAATTGTCTGTGTTTGGTGGACTGGATCGTGCGTTCATTTCAAACAGGTGCATTTATTGGATTTATAGCTTCTGAATGATTCATATTCGAGACTATTTTCGGCCCAATTCGATCGTAATTTGGTCCAATTTGCTTTGAACGGGAAATGGTGATTTCAAAATGTGGTTAGGGTTTATTTATGTTGATAAATCATTGAACACACACACATATATATATATATATATGAGAAATTGTACGGATGACTATCTGTTTTTACTAAATTACTCTTAATATCTTTACATCAGTTGTACGTAATAGTAATATTGTGGGCAAGTATGACTAAATTTGTTAATAAACCCTCACGTTGTCAGTTATAACGAAGATATTGGATGTTCTTGAGAGTTGTGTTTTTTGAATTTCATTTGCTATTTTATAGTGATTTACTTGTACAGAATATATTGATATGACTATCATTTTGTAGATCGTAACGTTTTCTCTAATACAATAACTTAATTACAATATTCTAATGTTATGATATATAAAAAAAATGCATTTGAAACTAATGCAGAGGTTATTGAATTTATTGGACACGCAAAACAAGAAAAAAAAATTAGTCCGACCGGACGGCTGATCTTACATAAATAAAGAAAGTGACTAACCTAATTGGTGAGATGGAAAAAAAAAAAAAAGAAAAAAAAAGGGAGAAATAAAGAAATGAATTATATAAATAATTTTATAACTATGCAACCAATCAATTTTAAATTTTTTTTTTTTTATGTAAAATAATGAAAGAAGTGGGAGACAAATGGAATGATAAGAGCAAGAAAGTGAATTAATTATATAAATATATTTCAGAGAGTAAACACTTGGGGAGTCGGTTGGCCTCATATAGAAAGGATTGAAGACAACGGTCTAGAAGGTCGGTTAGTGATAACTCTTGATTTTGACATATTTTATAGCTTATTTTTATTAAATTAATTAATTATTTATATCGAGTTTTGGTATAATTTATATTAATTTAATTCAATAATTGTATTAATTGTATTTTGTGTATAAAATATTAATTAATTTTTAAGTATATTTTATAATTATTGTGCTGTATAAATTAAATTAATTGATGTGTTTCTTAAATTATATTTTATGCATTATTTATGTTTTATTTAAATATTTAATTTTAGCTAAATTAAATATTATTCAATATATATCATTTTGTAGAAAATAATTTTTTAATAAAATAGAAAAAAATTATTCAAAAAAAATATATATATTTTTAAATTGGTTGGTTGCACATATATAAAAAATATATATTTATATAATTGATTATATTTATTTCTCTCATCTTTTTATGCCAACCGACTGGACGATTCTTCTCCTTCTCATCCGACCAATTCAATATATATATCATTTTGTAGCGAATAATTTTTTAATAAAATAAAAAAAAAATATCCAAAGAAAAATAATTTTTTAAAAAAAAAAATTTGTTGGTTGCACAGGTATAAAAAATATATATTTATATAATTTATTATATTTCTTTATCTCTTCTTTCTATCCCAACCGACTACTACTGGACGGTTCTCCTCCACTTTCTCATCCAACCAATTCAGTATATATTATTTTGTAGAAAATAACTTTTTAATAAAATAGAAAAAAAATTATCCAAAGAAAAATAATTTTTTTAAAAAAAATTGGTTGGTTGCACATATATATAAAAAAAATATAGTTTTATAATTTATTTTACTTACTGACTGGACGGCTCTCCTCCACCTGACTACTTAGTAACGGCTCTCCTCCGACCGAACGTTCAAGACGCTGACTGTTCGCTAGACTAAACGACTAATCATTCGCCCGCTCAAACGACCAGCTACCAGACGGCCGTTTGGTCAAACGGTGGTTCAGTCGCGTAAAAGGGCGGTCAGTTGGTCGTTTGATTGGGCGACCGGTTAATCGTCTGTTTCTTTGGTTGCTCCGTCGTCTGGACGGATGGTTGTTTGGCCGTCTTACCATGGCAGGGGCAGGCAGGCGCGCAGCAGAAGAAGAAGAAAAAAGGAGTAAATGAGGAGAAAGGAAAGAAATGGGAGGAAGATGGAGAACCTATGTGTGCGGGAGCAGGTGCGGCTGCGGCATCCGAAGGAAGAGAAGAATGCGAGGGCGGTTGTGGCGTCCGTGGAGTGTGGATGTGGATGGCTAAGTATTGATTAGACATTACGGTTAAATTGTATATATTTTATGATATTATTTTTTATAATTGATTATATTTTTTTCTCTCCCTTTTCTATCCCAACCGATTATCTACTACTGGAGGGTTCTCCTCTTGTCATCCAACCAATTCAGTATATATATCATTTTGTAGAGAATAATTTTTTAATAAAATAGAAAAAAAAATTATCCAAAGAAAAATAATTTTTTAAAAAAAAATTGGTTGGTTGCACAGATATAAAAAAATATATATATATAAAAATAATTTATATATATATCATTTTTTAGAGAATAATTTTTTAATAAAATAGAAAAAAAAATTATCCAAACAAATATATATATTTTTTAAATTGATTGGTTGCACATATATAAAAAATATATATTTCTTTCTTTCATTTTTCTTTCGTTGATTAAATTACACAATATAACAACTTCTTCCTTATAAAAAAATGAAACAAACGAACGAGTGGCGCGGTGTAGCGCGCTTTCACGAGTACTAGTATATAAATATATGTATATGTTTCGTTTCATTCGGTGTTTTTAGATAAAATAATATTTAGCATGTAGTATGAGAAATTGTGTCAAAATTATAAAATATATAATATGAAAGATATTTGTAAAAAAAAAAATTATACAAATATAAAAATATTTTTAATTTTAAGTAAAATGTAAATATATAATATTTAATATTAAGTTAAATATTTGACTTTTTAAATTTTTGTAATGAGTATTTGAATATTTTTCCTTTTTTACTTTTTGATTTTTTTTATAAAATATTATGTGTTTTAATTAAAACTCTCATCTCCATGGGGGAAAGAGCTAATACATCAAACCAGGATGGCGAAGTACCATCCTTGATAAGCGGTGAATCATCTAACTCCATATCAAAAGACGAAGAACGCTCATCTCGACTAGAATCAAGTCTACACGAGGACTCCGCGACATCCTCGACAAACTCGTGCATGAAAGCACCTGTCTCTCCTAGTCGTCAGAGTATCAACTATCAAAGGCGTCGTTAGCCTCAAAGCAATCATAAAGCATGTCCCGGTAATACATATGCAGCAGAAACTGTGGGAAAGTCACCCACACCGGGAAAATAGAAGGATCCTCCGAGGCCTTAAACTCTGGTGTCCATTTAAAGACGTGCATTAGTGCCCCCGCACCATCCAAAGGCCACGGATCAACAGACTAGTATAATCACGACTATCCGACAGATGAATGATAATATGTCTATGGTATAAACGATAAAGCTCATACCGCCCCAACAATCTAAAGCTAGTAAATGCATCAACTAAATCACGCCATGACGAATAACTTATCGGGAACCTCCCGACTAAATCACGCTATGACGTACCTCGACGTCTCCGCCGTAGTAAACCGGAGACATGGAACCTCATCATCAAAATTAAACCATGCACCTACATTAACTGGTCAAGGCCCTTCCATGAATGAAAATGGACCATCGACATCCAATCAAAATTCCGACGAAACTCCCGAAACAACATCCGCAAATGACCTCCCACCCCAAACTGTGGTACGAGGGGGTAGGGCCCCGGACTGAAGTCCCATCGGGGCCACAACAGCAGCTGCTGCCGGAGGGGGGACGGCGGCGAGGGAGCAGCCGGCAACAGGGGAACTGTTGGGATCGAATCTCACCGGCGACGATCGGGCGACGTGGCGATGAGTTGGGCAGCACTACTCTGGGGTTTTCGGGGTCCAGGAATTCACCTGTGCCATCAGCACGGCGAGATTCTGGCTAGATTGCTAGAAGCGGAGGAGACACTGTGGATCGGAGCCGGGGACCACAAATCAGCATGGGACGGTTATGAGGTGTGGGGACCATGGCCTGGGGTTTTTTGGGACCACAAATTCATCAGGAACCTCCATTCGATGGTTAGACGAAGAACTTGGCTGGAAACCAATATTCCGACGAGAGCCATGGCCATGCACCACCACCTCCTTACCATCGTTTTTCGGCGACGCCTGGCTAGTATTTATGGTTTTCAAGGGTGGAGAATTCATATTCAATGAGATCTCAGCGATTGGAGTACCAGAACAACCGGAATCGGAGCCTCTACTATCCTGTAACTCCGGCGAAGTTACTGTTCCGACCAGAAGGCGACCACCGGCGGCAACAAGGGTGGCAAGGGGGTTTTTGGGGGCTGCGACTACCATGGTGGAATCAAATTTGCAATTGGACGTCGGAGTTGTGAGATCTTAACCTCCGGTGACGGTTACTGCTTCGACGACGGTCTAGGGGGATCTTCCGACAATGACGATCACAGTATGAGGTTTCCAGGGCCAGATAAACTCAATGGAAAAGAAAAATTGATGATCGGACGTCTGGTTTGGGAGCACTGGGAATCGTATAACTCCGGCGAGATTCCGCCGGACGATTGAGACAACCTTCAGGCACGACGGTTAGGGCTCGGAGGCTATCACGGATGGCGAACTCAATGACGGAGAAACATGAAGCAGCCGACATCGGGAACACCACGAACGGAGAATCGAGGTACGGCGGATAACGT